ATTAGCTAAAATAATCAGTCCACAAATCGGAACTTTTAATATCAATTAGTTTCTCTGCAAGGAACATTAGCTACTTATCTTTATCAAAGCATTAGCACAGTGAGCCACTGTTGCAGGAGGAGTTACAGAACTGCTATAAGAGGTAGTACTTTGATAGTGTTCAGAGCAAAGAATAAATCTGCTTCTCTAGTTAGTATTTGTTCTTTTAAAAAAAAGGAGCCTAGAATATAAATAGGTTAATCTACATCAGTACAAAGCCATATTGCACATGTTGAAAGAAAAGGAAATGTTGTCTACTGTTTATTTATTTTATTTTATTTAACAAAATTCATACCACTTGAAACTCTAAAGTGATCTACAAGAAATATTAACGTGTATCAATTGAAAACAGTTTGAAATTATTATTTTTTTAAATTAAATATAATTAAAATTAACAGTAAAAGAAACTAAAACGCATCAACATCTGTGTGTCTGCATAGGCTTTCCTAAGTAAGTGTGACTTAAGGTAAAGGTAAAGGGACCCCTGACCATTAGGTCCAGTCGCGGACGACTCTGGGGTTGCGGCACTCATCTCGCTTTACTGGCCAAGGGAACCGGCGTACAGCTTCCAGGTCTTGTGGCCAGCATGACTAAGCCGCTTCTGGCGAACCAGAGCAGCGCACGGAAATGCCATTTACCTTCCTGCCGGAGCGGTACCTATTTATCTACTTGCGCTGCATGCTTTTGAACTGCTAGGTTGGCAGGAGCAGGGACCGAGCAACGGGAGCTCACCCTGTCACGGGGAATCGAACCACCGACCTTCTGATCGGCAAGCCCTAGGCTCTGTGGTTTAACCCACAGTGTCACCCGCATCCCTTAAGTGTGACTTAAGTGGATGCCAAAAAGAGTACAGGAAAGCTGTTGGCCTGACATCAAGAGGCAGGGATGCAATGTGGAATAAATTCGCTTCTGAGGCCCCTCCTGGATTATGAGCCCTGAAGCTTAAGCTTCACTACTTTCATAGTAGATCTGCCCCATCTAAGCTAGAGTTAGCCTGATGATAATGTGAGAGAGGGTGGCTTCTTTTGCCATGTATCTCCCGATTCTCTTGGAAAGCTGTTCTCCTCCCCCACCTGCTGGCCAGATCCAAAAGTGGACAGGACTGCTGCATCTTTTAGTTCTGCAGAAGCGGAACCTTCAGCAGGCACAGCTTGCATGACACAGCTGTTAAATGTGTGGGTGTCCAATCCTCTTTTTCACCTAGCTGTGTGGAGAAGGACAGCAAGCAAGTGGGAGAGTTAGGCAAATGGGAGAATTCAAAGTTGTGTATTCCCCCACTGCCTCCCTAGGAGCAACCTGGAAACCAAAGGCCTGATTCATTTAGCATTTGGGGATCTCCTCTGCATTTTATAATTTGTGCTACAGCTACTGCAATGTACCAAATTGGCCACAGCCTTCCAAACAAAGAAGGTTTTGGTCTGTTTTTATTGTGTGTAGTATTCATGGCAATATAGACTGAGAAGCTTTCTACTGCCATCCATTTAGCTTTCCCCCTGCTTGCTCTTTATCATGTTCTGGATCTTTACACTGATTCACATCCCTTATAAGAACAAAGTCTGTTTGACACTACTAAGGAATCTTTATTACCTCCTAGTAAAATCCAGTTTATAGCTGTTTCCCCTCACAATGTCATATGTATTCCAGTCACTCCTCCAGTCTTCACAAGTGATCATCTGTCAGTTCAGTGGTGCCTGAACAGTATTATGTGTTGCCACCTGCTGTAGAAGTGATGGGAATTTCTTCAGAGAAAGAAAAGTAACACAGTGGTGTATGTCCAGCTCAGGCAGTGGACTAAATCAGTGTTTCCCAACCGGGATACTCCAAGGGGAGCACAGGTGAAAATTACGTAAATGGGGGGGGGGGGGACACAGCATGATGCTAGGGGGCCACAGAGGGAAGTGAGAAGGAAAAAAATCTTTTTAACAAAATCCTGATTGGCTGGCTATCTGCTTGGGCAATCACAAGCAGGTAAGGGGGCAGCCCAGCGCCTATTTTTGGCACATGCATTTTCTTCGAGCAGTCCCAGTTTGTTTCCAGGTGGAGAGAGCGATTGCTGAGGCTCCCAAGTGCCTGGCCGAGCAGGGGCGTCTGCTTCTGCTGACTTGCACCTAGTAAATAGCTGTCTACTCAGACGAAAGCTGCACTAAGTTCAGTGGGCCTTACTCCCAGGTAAAGGTGTGTAGGGCTATAGTGTTTTATCTAGGCAGCCAGGGCTCCTCGGGTTGACAAGATCTTTTTACACCAGGTCAGTGAGGGCCACTTGTTTTATAAATTCTCCTATATCGGTATACAGAACTTCCTGTGCTCCTTTTGCAGACCCTCCAAGTATCCCTATTTTCCAGGAACAGTCCCAGATATACAGAAGTCATCCCAGTTTCTGATTTGATGTCTCGCTTTTCCTTAGGAAGTGCCTATTTTCATCTGAGAAATATTGGAGGGTATGGTAAGATGTCCCTATTTTTATCAGAGAAGTGATGAAAAGAGAATTTCTGTGTGAGGGCCGTGTCCCAGTAGCTCTACTGCCTACATAAATTAAAACAGCCATACTTACTCACACATGCACTGGGTTCTGCCCAACGGGGGGGGGGGGCGGGCAGTGTGCACCGATGGGAGGGGGCTTGCTGGGGTCCACCACAGCCACGGGGAAGCCCGCTGCAGCTGCAGAATATTGAGGGGGCCTGGCCCCCTGCTTGAAAATTTGGGGGTCTCGGCCCCATGCCCCCACCTATATGGTGCCCCTGCTTACTCATGTGTGAAATCCAAATGGGACAGATGGATTCAGCAGGTGATATCTTTCAGGGATCAGTACCTCAGAAGAACCCACCACTGATGTCTGCCCGGGGCTGCCGTGAGTGCCAGGTGGCTGGGTCTGGGTATTAGTCATTTTAGCAATGCTACATTGGGTTACTGTGGGAATTTTCAATGGCAGTTTGAAGGTGCCTGGTCCCACCAGACAAGTCTCAGAGGGGCTACTATCATAGGAAGAGTCCAATCAGAGAGCACTTTGCCAGGGGACCCATGAAACCTGAAGCCAGTCATCATCTGTCAACATCCATCTCTTTGGAGCAAGATGTGGATAGATTTCCATCTGGCAGCTCCACTGTCTCATAAGTGCACTTTCTAGTGGAGACTCAGTTCTGCGCACTTAGTAGTTATTTATAAGGATAAGCTTCATAGTAGTTCTGTAAGTTGCATTGTGGAATTGTCCGTAGGCTGCCTTTAAAATGGTACATCATAGACTGCTGCAAGCAAAAATGGGAAAATAAAAGAAGGCTTCATTCCTCACAATTTTGAATAATAGATTTCAGCAGAACCCCCAGTTCTAGCATGAGAGATGCCTGATAATGTGCACTTTATTGTTCTTTACGTCTGGATGCAGTGGAAATTCATAGTGCTGGAGGCAAAATATGTCATCACAAATACGTTATTGGTGTACACATTGCCATTAAGAGATCTCTAGAAATATTGATGTTTTGAAATCATTTCAGAGGCTTAGCTGATTGCCTGATCTCTTTCATTTTGACAGCATTGCTTTTACCTCAGTACAGTATTAGTCATTTGTCAGCTGATCAGAGATATTCCACAATGATATTTTATTGAGAAGGTTAAACAAGGGGGTGGGGAAGCAGGGAAGTCTTCTTTCTAACTAAGTAGGACCTGCAGGAAGATACTGCAGTGTGGAGTGCAACAGTGTTCTGGACAGCCAACTCAATCCTCCTGATTGGACTGATTTTGCATATGTGCTTCACTTATTATTTAATTTAGTATTGTAGTTTCCCCAGGCCTGTTGACACCTCCCCTCTTGTGTGTAAAAATTATGCAGTTTTGGCTGCACAAAAAGCCATACGTGGATAATGAGCAAGCTGTTAATATGTACAGGGATGTGGGTGGCGCTGTGGTCTAAACCACTGAGCCTCTTGGGCTTGCTGATTGGAACTCCCCGGAACTGTCCATGCATCCTCAAAATGTGTTGGATTTGTACACCGTAGGAACGTAAGAGACTGATGGATCAGACCAGCAGCCCATCAAGTCCAGCATCCTGTTCTGATAGTGACCAACCACCATGCACCTTATGGGAATCTCCCAACTGCACTCCCTACAACTAACCCTTAGCAAGTACTTCAGCCTCGCTGGCATTTTAAGTATTCCCCAGTGCCTTTACAATAGGAAACTCCATTATTTGTGAGGAAAAGCTGAAATTTTAGTGAAATAAACCTACTGCTAAACCTCCGCAGTACAGGAGCGACTCTTGGTCATTACGCAAAGCAGGAGAATCCGGAGAATGCAGGTGCCTTCCTGTCCGCCTAGGAATTTGTTTTCAGTCCCACAGCTTGGCTTTCTTCAGCCTAATTTAGTCAGGGAAAGTATTTCTGTTGCTGCTGCTGTTAAGCAGCTGGGAACGAGAAACCCTTAAGAACTAATGCACATCATCAAGGGATCTTCCAGAAGATCTTTCTGCCTTCCCCTAGACCAGGCGGAATCTTGATCAAATCAAGCACCTCCAAGTCCCTCTTATAATTTAGACTGCAATCCTGTGCACCCTCATTTCGGTGCAATCCCCACTGCGCTTAAAGGGGGCTCGCGCGGTGCTTCTGCGTAACCACAACAAACCCTCCAGCTCCGCTCCGCCCAAGCTTCGTCCCTCAGACGCGCCCCGCCTTCTCCCGCCCTTGTCACGTGGCCTTACCCCTCAACTGCCTCCTCGCTACCCGCCTCTCGGGCCCGGGCTCCCATCAACGAACCAATCAGCACGCGGGAGACGGCCCGTTCTGTTACGTCAGAACCCACGCTCTGGAAGCCCTTAAAAAAAAAAATCCCTAGCCGAACTGCCCTTGCTTCTGGGGTTTTAATTGGCCTTCGTCACCAGCAAAGCCCCGCCTCCGAATGCGTGTCCGGAGTGCCGATTGGCTATCAAGCGGGCTGCGCGACACTGCCCTGTCAGCGGGTCTTTAACAAGAGGACGGGGACCAATCACAGACGTGCTTTCTTTCAGGGCTGGCAGTTTGAAACTGTCAGGCTTCTCTTGCTGGGGAGGTGAGGAGCGGAGGAGGCTGCTCAGGTGAGGGAGGCGGCTTTCGGGGGAAGGGGCTGCGGGGACCTCGAGCCAGGGGCAGGCTGGAGAAGCACTGGGTCGCGGAGGCGCGTCACTTTCCTCGCGTCCTGACGCGCAATAAGCACCATTCTAAATTCTGCATCTGCCCGTTGCCTAGAGGGGCGAAAGCGTCTCTTCCCTTCTCTCCGTGCAATGCACCCTTCGCAGCACTTCCTTCTAATTGCACGCTCCTGCCTGGCGCCTTCTAAGGCCTGTTGGCCCCTTTGCGACTCACAGTGCATGCACTTGTTTGTGCCTACTCAGAAGTAAGCCCCATTGAGTACAGTGGGACTTTACTCCCAGGTAGGTCTGTAAGAACTGCGGCTTTCCTGTACCAGTGTACCCAGCGACGCTCTCTTTTGGGTTGCCTAGAGGAAAGCAGGAGTTAAAGGATATGGCGAGCGTGAGAATTGAGCCTGTGTGGTTAGAGGGCTGGGCTGTACAGGAGAGCAGGCTTCATAATCCCGACTGGATGGGTGGCCTTGGTCCAGGCGTAGGCAAACTCGGCCCTCCAGATGTTTTGGGACTACAGTTCCCATCATCCCTGACCACTGGTCCTGTTAGCTAGGAATCATGGGAGTTGTAGTCCGAAAACATCTGGAGGGTCGAGTTTGCCTATGCCTGGTTCAGTCACTCACTCACTCAGCCTAACTGGCCTCACAGGATTGTTAAGAGGATGAAATGAGGATGGGGAGAACCATGCAGGCTGCTTGGAGCTCTTTGGGGGGAGTGGCGGGGTGTAAATGTAGTGAGAAATAAAGAAGTAATCAAAAATAATGTTGCCGCTGACTGAAGACCAATACAACAAAAAGAAAAAAACACCATATGGGTGTGATTGTCAGTCCAGTAGCCTTACTGCTACAAAATGCTTGCTAACATGCCTTTTACACTACTGTTGTTAATGCGCACAACGTATGTTTTTTCACAGCATTTTAATTCACATTCTGTGAAATTGAGCAGACCCATGCACACACATGTGTGTGTTTTAGGTCTGTTGGGTTGCCTAAGCAACTTGGTTACCTACTTTTCCCTCATGGTAGCTCAGTCGTTTCTTACTCCCAACCTAAGCCATATGAGCTGACTTAGTGACAATAGAAAATTTGCTGTCTCCCTCTCTTATGCCCTTATTTGAAATTACTGTGCGTGATATGCTTTAAACACTCTTTAAAGTGCTATAAATTGGCTACTTTGCACATTTTTAGGACAGCTGGATAAAATTGAAATATGGCCGCCTTAACCTCCTGTGTCTGCATCTGTTGTGCATTAGCCTTAAGCAACACTTTAGAGCTGATTAAGATAAAAGCTTGATTGAAATAGGAGCTGAAAGAGTATTTCTGCATGCTGTTGGTACCTTTACTTGAGTAATGCTTCCCCAAAACCAGTGAACTACTCCATTTGTCTTAATCAAGACCTGCAGATTCTGCTTATGTGATCTTAGAAGACTATTTACAGTTATTCAAAACAGTTTCTTGCCACATAGGCAGGATTTGTCTTATAACTTGAAAGAGTTTCTAGCAGGCTCCATATTTGGAGGGTGGAAGCTTAGTGTATGGTATAAAGAAGGTGATTATATAGACCAGATTAGGTTATTCTGCAGTGCAAGCTAACCTGCTTCTAGTTAACCTGTGAATATGTGTTAGAATGTTGTAGGATGGTCGGTCTTAACTTGTACATTGCATTGCAAAAAAGAAAAGAAAAAGAATGGTATAGAGACAAGGTGTCAGGCCATGTTTTAGATTTTTACCTTTTTTTGTTTTACTCAGTGTTCTAATCAATATTATTAGTTTTTGATTTCTGGTGCTTATTTATATTTTATTGAATAATCCCACTTTTCTTTTGAACAAAACTCCAAGTCGTTACCAGATGAATAATTAAAAACAATATCAAAGCCTATTAACAGTAAATCAATAATAACAAAACAGCAATATCACTCCCAAAAAGCAGGGAAAGCAACAAAATTTAAGTGTTGGTCCCTTATTATTTTATTCAATACGGTATTCTAGTTAGTGTAAACTGGAGGTGCAGATTATTCTGAAAAAGACAGCCTTATTACACTTTTTTGGAAGAGAGTGGCAAGTAAGGAAGTACTCTGCTTCCTAGCCTAAATGAACCACAAATATTGAACTAGAACTGGTTATGGAAAAGTTTGTGACCCCGTAAGATTACCTGCCTCAAATTTGGAGCCCATTAATGATTTAGAAGAACGTTTGGTCAATGCATATGAAGAAATGGGATTTGGATAAAAAATGAAGTTCATCCTCTGGATTATTTTTTTTAAAAAATAGGTATACCTTAGTGTGGGATGTCATCATCTGAAGAGAACAGCACAAGTCCAGTTTTGCCAAAAGACTCTGATCGAGGGAGTTCTGTTTCTTCAGAACTTCAGGTAGGCTAGAAATAGTTTTTGGAAATTGTGCAATGTTTTTTAAAAGTGCATGTCTTAAGAACTGTTAACTTTCATTTAGATCCTATTCACCTGTAAATCTAGCAGAATGAAACAGTACAAAATGTCTGTGGAGAAGAATAAGTGTAGTACAATGTACATCTTCATAAATAAATGCAGCATGTCAACCTTTTATAACGGCCACAATCAGAAGCTCAAATTTCTAGTCTTCTGCTATGTATTTTCATCTAAGGGTGGGCACAACTCTGCCACACTAGGCTGAGGTAAGGCTGGCAGGTGGACCAGCAGCCATGGCTCTGAGTGGCACTCTGCACATGTTTGTTCAAAGCATGCTGTTAGGAACCAGGAATGTTTGCACATTTGGACTGCAGATCAGTGGGTCTAAACCTCCTGATGGCTATGCACAGGCCCAAGCTAGCATAATTTGAATGCTGGCTGCTCCCTGACCGTAGCTCTCCTGAGGAAACCAGATCCTTAGCCCATCAAGAAGGCGCACTTCCTCAGTCATGAGTGGGCGTTTGGGTGTCAGCCCTTCAGAGAGGGAGAGCCACCTTGTTGACTCTGAGTGTGAGTACTTGGGTGAAAAGGTTGGCTGTTTCAGGATGATTGCTGAAGTGGCTTCTGAGTGGCAATATTGTAGAAGCTGTGTGGTAAGTAATATTATTAAATTTCTGTCCCACCCTTCTTCCCAAAAGAACCCAGGGTGGCAAACATCAAAATGACTGAACAATACGATTTAAAAAGAAATAAATAAGAAACATTTAAAAATATTTAGAACATCTAAAACATTTAAAAGCTATTGTATCTCACAGTTCCTAATGTCAAGGTTGCCCTGGCCAGTATCTTTTAGCCATCAAATGTTGGTAATAAACAGGAATGTTCTAAAATTTATTCTGAAAGTCAGTAATTAGGGAGGTGGGTACACCTCACCAGGGAGCACATTCCACAAATGAGGAACCACCACTGAGAATGCCCTGTCACAGGCCAATTCCAACCAGGCAGCAGCCAGAGGCAGCACCACCAACAAGGTTTCCCCTGCTGATCATAGGCCCTGAGGTGGTTGAAGTAGTTACCGTAATAGTGTTGCCTTCTCTCAGTAGCTTTGGTATCGAGGACTAAGCTCAGCAGCAACAATTTAGAAGACTTGTGAGACACATCTTACCATCTGCTCCCCAGTTGCCACCACCAAAGAGACAGAAGCCCTGTGAATCCAACCCTCCCCCTAGGTATTATTATTACAATTATTACTCCTACTGTTAGATATTATTGTCAACATCCACTGTTGGGTGCAAAACCAGCAGTGATGTCAATTGCATGGGTATTTTCCATGAAGCTACTGCAGGTGGCGGGTTCTTTCCTTGGTGGTTGAATGAAGGTGAGACTCTGTATTCTGATCCATGTCATCAGATCCCAGAGCCCTCACTTTTGGGATAGCTAAGAAAGGACTTAGGTTGGCCCAGGTAAGAGAGGAGGTTGAGATGCTGGCCCCACAAGTGCACTGCATACTTCTTACGTCATATGAATTTCTTGGCAACTATATTCTGTCCTTTTTAAATGTGCTGCTTTTCTGGTGCTTGCTCCCTAGTAAGTGTGCTTATGGTCACAGTATTATTTTTTTGTATTAGGTGGGATATGTGTTTTAATTAGTTCAGGACTAAGTTTTTAGTTTTGAAATACTCTTATGATTTGGTAATTATGAACCTGTTTGTTTTGAGATTGGTTTTTCATCAGTTACATTTTGATGAATTGTTTAATGGGCTGTTACCATATAATGCCTTAAAGTAGTGCCTAATTTAGAATTTGTTTGTGTGTTTGGTGGTGCTGTGTTGTTTTTTATATGATTTTGTCTGTTTTGTTGTAGTCTTGAGCATAATATGTGTTAATACAGTATATAAATAAAACAGACATTAGGTGTTAGTGATTTGAGTAACTCAATTTAAACATTGGGAATGGTGTTTGAAAAACCAACAAGCTATCACAGTGGGGGGAATAGGAGGGCTGAGCGGTGGCAAGACCCCAGAAGCCATGTCTTTCTCCATTCAGCAACTAAGAGATTTGGCAAGCAGGGAAACCTTGAGATCAGTAGCCTGCTTTGCATGGGAAAAGGAATGAGCAAGGATGGAAATAGAAAGAGAGCAAGTTAAACTTCCCGCATTTTGAACTTTTGATTTGGCATCAAATTTTGCAATTATTTGCGTTACGTTACGGCCCCCTAAGTGGTAAACAAAATATTAATGCATAGAAAGATACAATAAAAGTACAATGAATACATTAAGACAATTTCCCAAACAATATGATAGCAAAAGCAGAATGCGTGATAATAGCCTTCCTACACAGTGGCACAAACTGTCGCACTCAACCCAGTCACACCCTTTGACATCTGTCTTGTGGTCCTTTTATGACAGGATGAATATGAAGAGCTGCTTCGCTATGCTGTAGTTACCCCAAAGTTTGAGCCAAGTGTATTACGGCAGTCGGATCGCATAGAGGTTCACCAGCAGTCTGCAGGTAACTTGTGATAGAAACTGGATATTTATCAGCAGATAAGGGGTGATTTGTTTTTTTATGAAAGGAAGTTATCTCCAACTCTCTGACATGCCAGTGCAGGAAAGGGAGTTACTCGTGATTAGAATGAAGGCCCTCCCATGCCTTATATTTTGAAATGGAGTACCTTGACTGGTATGTGAGCATATTGCAAAGGTTGGCAACATTTTATTTATCTGCACTGTACACCCAGGATTAAACCTGAACTCTCTTTCATGCTCAAATGCTCTGCTACCAAGTAAACCTCATAACCCAGAAGAGGATGACTTTGTGTAGTCCCACATGAAATATACTCATACTTTGCCTGATCTTCAACGAAGCATTCTAAAATTGTTCAGAGTTTCCCATTGGCATGATATCTAATTCATGGTAACATGTTAACTCATAATATGATTTACTTCAAGGAGATTTCATAGCACATATTCATTTGTCAGTTTATATATGTGCTATATTTTTACACGTTTGCTAATCAGAGTAGACTAGTTCTGGCCAAACTGAACATTTAATTCTTCCTATCTAGTCATTATGTTCCTATAATCTGGTGCCTTGTGGTATTTTTCTTTCTTGGAAGACAGGAATGATTGACTTTTAATGATGATGATGATGATTTGTTTCAGACATTTTTTTTAGTTAACAATATATATCCTGAGGCATTTTGAAAAGTAACATTTGCATTAATATTTCCTTTTGAAAATGTGAAATAGTTTTAATTCATGTTAATGCCTTTAATCTTTCAAGGCATTCAGAAAGTATGACATCCCCATAGTTCCAATTTTTACAGGCATTTATTCAAAATTACAAAAGTTTGTTTACTTTGCAAGAAAAACAAACTAGGACAGTTTGAAGTGGCAAGATTGTAAAGAATCTTAAGAGATGCAGCAGTTCTTACTAGCACTTGGTTTTGTATATATAGTGTATAAATATAGTATTATATATATATATATATATATATATATATATATATATATAGTGGCTTCAGGACCTCTTATGATTCTTGCATTTTCAAATGGATGCAGTTCTGCTTCACTATCAGCTTGACTAGTGATATGAAGGTCTGGGGAAAAACTGGAAAAATAGGGGCTGGACCTGCCCCCTCTTTTTCTGGGCTTCTTTCCAATTTTTCTCTTTGTTGTTTTCTGGACATTCATGTCTTTAAGCTTGACACAGCAGCACAATAACACCTATACTCTCTTTCTCTTGCTTGTACGCCTGAGACATATTTTAGATATAGCCAGGTTTGCATAAAAAGACACGCTGGGTGTTTTTGTCTAGGAAATACAAATCAAGCCTGAAAAACAGAAGTATAATGGGCCTTCACTATGTTTTTAATGCTTACATTGCTAAGACCTTTCTTTTCTTTTTAAAACACCTTTATCAATTTAAGAAATGACTATCCCCATCCTTTGTCAGCAGGGTGGGTCACAACAAATACATACATTCTTGAATGTTACATTGAAACTGGGATTCTACCTGCTGGATATCAAGGTTCCAGGCTTGTGTGCTCCTTATCGGTTTCGCCTTTGTCTTTCAGCTAACAGTCATCTTATCACATTAAGAGTTTTGCTGTTACATTTCTGAATCTTCTACTTTTTTCTTCTTCCAACATCTATTTCTTCTCTCCTATATTTCTTTCCTGATCATTTAGCCTTTTTGTTTCTTTCCTTGTGTTCACATTTCTACTTGTGATGTTGAGTGTTTGGCCACCCACTGGATCATACCAGAAGCCTTGTCTTTGACTCTAGCTTGGAGCTGAGGCAGGTTCCTGAAGTTCCACAGTTTCATTTCATAGACAACAAAATAAAAGGTTTAGATAATGATGCCGTTTTGAGTTTTTACTGCAGGGTCTGCACATGCAAACATATTTTACTAGCCTTGTATGCCAAGTGATGGACAAGCACTTGAGGGTAAATTGGTCCTTTTGTCACTGAGTAAGCATGAGTCAGAAGACCTTGCACAAAATAGACCTTTAAACAACAAATTATGTACAGCAGCAAAACTGCTAGAATTCAAATTATTGCAAGACTCTAGAATTCTACAGTAGTTCTAAGAGCAGTTGTAAGATGGTCTGCTATTGGATATGTACTCACATCCTTAATGGGGAGGGAACGCTTTTGCAAGCTAATATCAGATTAGCTGCAGGTGTAGTAATCCCACCCTGTATGACGAAACAACGTTAGGAATTTCTCCTCCTCCTCAAACCATCTGGAGATCACAGTGGCTTTCCTACTGCTGAGCTGACACTGGAGCCTAACAGCATCTTGCATGAGCCCAGCTCATTCTTCTCTAGTAAGTGTGTCCAGTAGGTGATGAAATTTCTAGTTTTGGGCAGCAAGACAGTTACCAAGCAGGCAGCCTTCACATTAGATCATGTTCATTGAAGAAGGAACTGACAAGAGTTTATAATAGCCATCTAGTTCATAGATGAAGTTTAATTTTGTGGCTGAAGTACATTCTTGAATGCGTATGCAAAATGGCCCCTTCTAAAATATGTAGAACAAAACCCTGGGTTGGATCCAGTGAAGTCACTGAGGGAGTGAACAACTTCAGCTTGCACAGCAGAATTTCCCCTCACCCACTGCACCCCCCAAAATCTGATCGGGGTTCCCCAACACATTGGGGAACCAGTGTGGTGTAGTGGTTAAGAGCAGTAGATTTGTAATCTGGGAAACCGGGTTCACGTCTCCGCTCCTCCACATGCAGCTGCTGGGTGACCTTGGGCTAGTCACACTTCTCTGAAGTCTCTCAGCCCCACTCACCTCACAGAGTGTTTGTTGTGGGGGAGGAAGGGAAAAGGAGAATGTTAGCCGCTTTGAGACTCCTTCGGGTAGTGATAAAGCGGGATATCAAATCCAAACTCTTCTTCTTCTCTTCTTGCAAGTTCTTCCACTCATACAATGACTCGGTTAGATTCAACCACCTGAAAGTCACTTCTGCAGTCCTCTCCCGTTTCAAGGGCCCTTGTGTCTGAGAGTGTTTAACAAAGGCATGAGTATCAAGCATAAAGCCAGTCTTGAAAAGGATGGTCATATTCCCTTATCATGGGATGTCTGTAGGTGGAGTGCTTTTGTGAACTCCCACAAATGCATGCATAGAAAAAGGGCATGAATTCCCAGGGATTTGGGCATGTTGAGGAGGAAATGAAAGAGAAATTTGTAGTTCTTGAAGCAAACCTGGCTATGTAGGTATGGATACTGCAACCTGGACTGGCATATTTCCAACTCTATGGAGCCTGGTCATCCAAAGCAGCAAGCATGTAGAAACGTTCTGGGAAATATTGACCTCTTATTTTTTATCTGCCTTATTTTGCCCAGTTCACATCTGCTTTTCATTAGAATTATGAACTCTGCATTTGGGATTGCCATCATCTCATAAACTGTAGAGTTTTAGTACTGTGAGCATGCAGAAGAGTTGATGCTTTTGCAAAAATTTTGAACTGAAAAACCTGTTTTGTGGATTAGTATGCTTTGGTGGGAGAACTCCAATTACTAATAACAAGCCTTCCTTTGAAATGATAGATCTAAGGATAACAATTATCTTCAAAGAAGCTTCCTGTCCTATAAAGAAGAAATATCAGAATAAAACAGGCTGCAGTGTTAAATCTAGCATTTGAATGGTTTTAACACTAAAATTTAATTTCCTGTCCTGTGTTATCTGCTTAGTTAATTAAATCTGAAAACTTGTAAGACTGATGCAATAAATTACTGAGCAGCAGTGACTCATCTCCAGGCGGTTAAGTGCTGGTTTCTCCTAAGGTGCTGGTCCTCCAGTATTGAACTGTTGCACTTCAGTGGATCTGTGTTAAAGCTGACTTTATCTCTTGTCTATGAAAATATATTGCCAAACTTTCTACTGTGTTGTTAGCAGCCCCTTGTGATTTTCTAATGTTTGGCATTTTATTTTATTTTTCACCCAGTAAATCTAGCATTTAGTGAAATTTCCCTTTCAGCAGGAAGTAACAGACTTTGGAACTCACACAAATAAAGTGTTTGTTCCTCTTCCTCAACTAAAAGGCTTTGGAGAGCTCTAGTGCATAGTTAGTTACACCAAGACTGCAATCCTGCTACTGCTTCCTTCCATTCTAATAGTACTAGGAGTGCATATTGGGACCATTTTGTTAGTGTTGCAATCCTAGTTTCAGTTTCCAACATAAGAATATTTTCATTAGTGGTATTCTGAAGTACCCTATACCAGCCTATGCAAATCTGGTCAATCCTCATATTTGAAACAGGAATAAGTCCAGTAATGGATGAACGCAGACATGAAACTGCAGCAGTGAGACGGAGGAAACATGGGAGACCTTCTGATTTTGCTACATCTACTCGGACAACAAGGATAGAAGGTATAACTTAACTGGGGTGAGAAATAAAATTTTGACTCGTGTATCTACTGCTTAAAAACTCTCATTAAGGTTCAGTTTGCAGATACGGCACATAGGGGTTTCATGCTTTTCTTTTTCAAATAAATGCTGTGGTTATGCTGAAATAGTGTCTGGCCCAAGCTAACTTGATGGGTGCCTAGGGGTTTGAACTGACTGTTAACACATGATTTTACCTGCAAATTTGCTCAGTGTCCCGCCTATGGTCTGTCGAGTGTATGTATTTCTAGAATAGCTACTATGTAGAGAAGCATGAGGGGTGATCTTTACATGGAATGGGGTTTTGCCTCTTCCACCACCACCCCATGATAAATATCCCTTCTGCTTAATCTCAAAACTGCCTCTCCCCCCTTTTTAAAATAGTTTCTCTTACCATTGGGGGAAGGTGTAAGAAATGCTTTGCTGTAGAAACCATCTTTGTTAAAGGGGTTGTTTATATCGTGGTTCAACTATGTACAGTATATAATTTCTGTGTTAGGACATAGCAGGAAGCCATTAACTATGGTTTAGCAAATGGCGACTTCCCGGGGTGGGCTTAAGGTATCAGTCTCTTAAGGTCAAATAGCTTGCTTACAGTGACCAGCGAAAGCTTTCCAAGCAACAACTGTGCTAGTCTGTTGCTGCAACAGAAGGTACTAAGGCATCTAATGAAGTCAACTCCAGTCCAGGAAAGCATACCCTGTAATAAATTTGTTTTCCAATTAAGATGCCACAGTACTTTTTGCTGTGTTGAAAAAGCCAACACTGGCTTTGTAAACCTTTTGTTTGACTTTCACCAAGTAAGTTCAGTGATAGGATGTGGAAAATCTAAATGCCCTTTTCATTTTTTCTTTTTTTCAGTTTCAACTGCAATAAAGGAGCCGGCTCGTACGAACTTGGGGGGTCTTTGCCCAGTCCGTTCAGAAGACAGCTCTTCAGAAGGGTCCTCATCTAGTCAAAGAGATATTCAAGAGTCAAATGTGACTGATTTAAGCCTTTCAGATGAAAGAGTGACCCAAATAGAGAGCATACTTGATCTCTGGAGTGGAAGTCTTAAGGTATTTAACTTTGCATTAATTATAAAATCATCTTGCAGATAGCTTTGTCTTTTGCAACATTTTGAATGTTTAGTGACAAAATGTGTATGGGAAATGCATGTTGAATGCTTTGGCCAAGTAAAACAAAGTGTTGTTAGACTTCCGGGGTGGCGCCATCGGTAATGGCGGACTCCCTCTGATCTGGAGGGACCAGCTCCACGGGAAACAGGTCTTTCCCGCTACGGCGAAGCGGGAACCCTTTCAAAAATCACAGGCGGATGAAGCCTGTGACCATGGGACTCGGCGGGCACCTTTAGCGCCCCCCCAACCCGCAAAGGAACCCACTAACGGGCTCCGGAGCGAAGAGGGGGAAGTGGCGCGGTGCTGAGAGTCAACTGCTTCTTCCGTGGAGCGAAGCCGCACAGCCGTTGCCGGAGAGCGCTGCCATTTTCCTGGGACAATTTGGCTTTTAAAATAATCACCCGTGAGTACTTAAATCTCGGACAATTGGACTCTAAATAATGATTTGTGAGTAGAAAGGAAAATTGGACTTAAAAATTTACTTTAATTTGGCACTGAAACGGGAAGGTCTAAACAGGAAGTCAGCCTTCCGTTTCTTTGTAGATAGATCAAAGCAAAGACATGGCAAACTAGAGTTCAGAAAATCGCTTGTAAAGGATTAACTTCCATCATTTAAAACTGTTGAACCCCCTTCGGAAGCAGGAGAAGAGGGGGGATTTTTTCCGGACTGTTTAAACCTGCAGAAGAGAGTGTAAAGCAAAGTAACTTTCCACCGTCTTGATCCTGGAGCGGGGTGTCAGGACTGACGTTCTTTGGGAAGCTCATTGACCAGAGACAAACGTTTTTGACAGATAGTTAAAAGAAGAGAAACATAGTGGTTCCACTGTTCCTTTTCGCATTTTAAAGGAACAAATATTGACAAAATATCTGAAAAAGGAAACTTTGTTGTCAGATCTGCCTTTAAAAGAAAAGAACAAAAAGAAGTTCTTCCCCTAGAGGGAGCCTGTGAAACAGTTTCAAATTCTGAATCGGGGAGCTTGCAGCTGCTACAGATTACGATCGTGGGAATAGCCTTCTGACCTTGCAGAACAATGTATTCAGAAGCTCTGCTGCGTGCTTTCTGTAAAACAAGTGCCCTACTGGAACAGCTACATGAGAAGACGGACTTGATGACTGATGCGATCAGAAATTTTGGACAGGCAGTGGGAAATTATATAGAGCCCACCCAGGATTCAAATCAGGAGTGTGCTCTGACAGAACAGATGAGAGAGGATGTTGCTGAACCTTGGGCACCAGAGACGGAGGGAGCTGTGGCCCAGCAGGAACATGAGTTCTTGGATTTGACAAATGAACTTGGAAAAAGCCAGATTTGGAAAGATAAAGTTTGGTTTGGTTTGGAAATGGGGGGTTGGATAGACCCCCCTATGCAGAGATGTTTGGACTTTTCAAGTCTGGCAATGGGCCGTAAGATGTTTGGGGGGCTCTTAATTTTGGAGGGACTTTGAAACATGTTTTTAAATACCACATGGAGTTTAGTGTGGACTATGGAAAAGGGGCTGATTTGTCGAGAAGGGTCAAAAACATTGTTAAGTTGGAGTTCCCACGAGTGAAAGGAGCAGGAGACAAAGTAAAGTACAGGTATAAATATGAAGAAGAGCCGCGGAAGGGACATGGAAGGGACTTGAGGGCCTCGGACATAAGATTACCAGGTTAATGCGCTAGATTGATGAGATAGAAAGGACTGACAAAACCCGGGACCAGGAGGAAGAGACGCTGGATGAAGATTGGAAGAAAAAAAATTTTTTTTTATTAGGATTGTTTTATAAAATTGATGAATGTTAGAAAAATGTTGGAACGAAATTATTTGGCTTCAGCAAAAATGCTTAAAGAAGTATGTAAGAATATTATGGTTATGAGAAATTGGTATAAATAAGATCTAAGTTTTAAATTTTAAGGTTTTTTTATAGTAAGATAAGATTAAAATAGATTAAGGTAATGTAATGACAATATTATGAAATATGGAAAGGATTTGCTGCGACAATTAATAATTAGGATACAAAAAAAGGGAGGGGTGAGGAGGTCAAAGAAAGAAGGTAATGACAGTTAAGGATTTGAGAATATTGGATTTGTTTTTAAATGTTTGTGGCACATCTTTGTCTTTTGATCATGATGTGTTATTTTTTGATTCTGATTTTTATTAATTTGTATTGTTTGATTGTGACTTGTTTTTCTTTTGTTTTTTCTCTTTCTTTTTTTGTTTCTTTTTTGTAATTCTAAAAATTCTTAATATCATTTAAAAAATAAAAATAAAACAAAGTGTTGTTTTCAAGAGGCTCTAAGTCAAATCCTGTACTGTTTGCAGGGCCTTGACGTACCTGAGCAGTACTGAGCCACATGGCTCAGGTGGCAGATTGGGAGGGGCTCCCCATATGCCACTACCATGGCTACTCCTCCCCACAGGCCACGACTGCTGCCTACCCACCCAAGCCCCTCTTCATGGTATTGATCTTGCCAGTCCTGCTACCACTAACACACTGGCAATGCAAGCTAAGCTGGAAGCAAGAAGAGATGGTGCGGTCTGCCCACCTCAGCTTGTGCAACTTCTTGCGCCAGCCCTCGGAACAAAATCCCCTGTTCTAGAAATGTTTCCTTCTATCACTGCTTCTGCGGGGTTTTATAAGATTAAAGAACCAACCTTGATTGAGTGGCATTTGAACACATCTTTTGTGTGTAAAAAAAGATCTCAAAAGTTAGTCATGTCAAAAATGTTGTTCAAAAAGGAAAACAACTGAGAATCTGTGCGTAACAAACCCCAACAAAAGATATACTGTGCTGTTTTTTAAAATAGCAAAACAGCTTCAGAAGCAGCAAATTTAGACTGTAGGAGTAGGTGGGGGCAGGACTTTTTGCCTACCCATTGTTTCCCTGTTCTAAGACACCCGGCCCCAGCTGTTCTTCCCCAGTGGAGCTTCACATGCAAATAGACAAGAGGGCTCTGCTGCTCTAAATTCTTCTTCTAATATTGCTTTTCTGCTACTGCTTGTTTTTTTGAAGTGCTATACTCTCAGTGGCTGTGCATCATGTCTAGTTAGAAGAAGGTTAGTCAATATGATATCCTCCTGATGTTGTGGGCTACAGTTCCCATCATCCACTTGATCACTGGCCAACCAGCTGGGGCTGATGGGAGTGGTATTCCCAAACGGCACACATTGACGTCCGCTGAGATAGAGCCTAAGGCTGCAAGTCCCTCTGAACAGAAAACAGCCTGGACTGCAGATTAGAAACCAAATTGCCTTCACTTGAACAACAGCTGTCAAAATATAATTACACTCCTGCCTTCTTAAGATTGGATTACCTGAGTGAAACATATATGGGGAAAATGGCATTTGAATGAGCCATTTGCATTGGACTCGCATATCAAAGCAAGTAAAAAAACAAAACCATCTGCCTTGTGTTTCTGTGATACTGGGCTCTTGTGGTCCAATGTTCTAATTTAACTCCTCTTCAGAGAAGGCCCTGCATAGGTTCTATGGGTTCATGAATTTAGATGTTCAGAGCTGACACCTAAACGTGAGCCAGTCATTTGAATGATTGTTCCGTACTGCTTTTATATTGCTGTGCATCACCCTGATATTTTGTGGAAAGGCAGTATATAGATACTTTCATAAACAATAAATAAATGTCATGTACCAGGGAGCCTGAATGTGTCTTGTGGCATGTGAAAAAGATGTGCTGTCCCCTTTCTGCTCGTACATACTTCTTAATGCAGCATTAATATCGGTTAACTTTTCTGTGGAATGTGGAACTACTTTCTATAATAGCAGTGATACATTTCATTGTATGTGTTTGGTGGGCTAGGGTTCGTTCAATTTCTTCACTAAACTTCCCCCTTTAATTCTTCAGACCAATGTTCTGACTGAACTGAGGAAATGGAAACTTCATTTCATTGAACATCACACGCTAGAACTGAGACAAGAAAGAGAGAAACATGCAGCCCATGTGAGACAATTGACCAATCAGATGGAGAACCTGAAGGAGCTGCTGCATACATATGAGATTTCAATAGGGAGAAAAGATGAGGTAACACTTTTTGCTAATTTATTGTAATAATTCCTACAGTGTTGCAAATTAGCTGCTGGGCTAAGTTCAAGGTGCTGGTTTGGGTGCATAAAGCCCTATACAGCTTGGAACTAGGAACCTGAAAGATCGCATTGCCCCTTATATACCCAGTCAATCACTCTGTAGGTGAGGGTCTCCTGTGGATACCATCCTATTATCTTTATTCATTCCTTCATATCCTGCCTTTTCCCCAGAACTAGGACTCAAGACAGCTCACAAACACTAAAACAAATACAGTCGTACCTTGGAAGCTCCTGCACCCAATCGGAAGCCGCGGAAGCCTCGTCAGACGTCCGGCTTCAAAAAATAGTTCACAAACAGGAATAGTCACTTCCGGGTTTGCAACGTTCAGGAGCCAAAACGTTCGGGAACTAAGCTGTTTGACTCCCAAGGTACAACTGTACAGATAAAACACGCATAGCTAAAAACATATAAAGGGTTATCATTAAAAAGAAACTATGTGAAAAACCCCTATTAAAATGCAGGTAGAAAACATGCATGCTCACACTGAAACAGCAACAGTACAGCACACTATCAAGAGCCCTTTATTTAAGAGCAATCAGTTCCCCAAAACCTGCTGGAATAAAACAGTCTACACCAGGCAGCGGAAGGACAACAAGCCTGTGCGCAGATTCATGTGAGAGAATATGGTCCTTCAGACTGCCTAGACCTGAGCCATATAGGGCTTTATAGGTGATAAGCTGCACTTTGAATTGTGCCCAGAAACAGACTGGTAGCCACTGGAGCTGTTGCAACAAGGGAGTTGTGTGCTTCTATCAGGTCTGTTCCGCCCAATGTAGGATTCAGCCCTTTAAGTGTTGTGGCACCTCCCCTTCAATATTATGCAGGCACAGTCTCAGCCCCTACTGAAGACCTTCCTCTTTCAACCAGCCTTTTGAGCTGAGATCTTTTTTGGTCTGCCTCTATATTGGAATTTATTTTAAGATGTTTTATCAGTTGTTTGACACCTTGGCCTCCTTTGGGAAGAAGAGTAGGGTAGAAATTTAATTAATTAATTAATTAATAAGGAAAGGTTTACCTGCAAGCTGAATCCCTTTTTCCTCCTTGGCTGCTGAGATGATTCCTAACACCAAATCATTATGTCTTGATCGGTTAATGTATCTCTGGGTTGCCAGCCATTTTCTTACTACTTGCTTATGCCACCATTGAATGGTGATTGGCGTTGGGTGAGATGCCTGCTATGAAAGGGAACTGCAGGTAGTGCTTTAATGGCACTGTCTGTCAGATTTTTTTGGATCAATTTAAGTAAATTACTGTGTAAGGTAAAGGTAAAGGGACCCCTGACCATTAGGTCCAGTTGTGGCCGGCTCTGGGGTTGTGGCACTCATCTCGCTTTATTGGCCAAGGGAGCCGGCGTACAGCTTCCGGGTCATGTGGCCAGCATGACGAAGCCGCTTCTGGTGAACCAGAGCAGCGCACGGAAATGCCGTTTACCTTCCCGCCGAAGCAGTACCTATTTATCTACTTGCACTTTGACGTGCTTTCAAACTGCTAGGTTGGCAGGAGCAGGGACCGAGCAACGGGAGCTCACCCCATTGAGGGGATTCGAACCGCCGACCTTCTGATCGGCAAATCCTAGGCTCTGTGGCTTAACCCACAGCGCCACCCGCGTCCCTAAAAATTACTGTGTAGCAGCTGATAAATGTCCTCTATGCGTTTTATCCCATTTTCTTCACTTTGCTTTGTTTAGATAATTGCCAATTTGACACATGCAATTGAGAAACAAAAGGACAGAATAGAGCTAATGAAGAAATTCTCAAAGTGGCGCCTTCAGCATTTCATGGGCAAACAAGATGCCAGACATGAGGTAAACATGAATGTTGATAGTTGAATTTCTAAGGATCAGAACTCTTGCAGGGCCTGTCGATGAAGAATGTCTTGATTCTTTTAAACAAACAAACAAAATCCTTCCTTTAAAGTAAGATGAATAAAAAAACTGAACAAATCTGCAGTTTTCAGTCTGTCTTGGAAACTGGTGCCCTCTTTCCCTTGAAGCAACTAACTGAGCTATCAACAGGTGGGGCAATGCAAAGGTAACATTTTGCACTGAAAAGATTATGCTTGGATCTTGTTCCCATGAGACAATGTGCATGGAAAAATTAAAACGTATTTCATTAACCCTTTTTGCTACTCAGTAGCAACTAAGCATCTTTGTCTGAATTCTAACATGACAGAACACCAGCACATCCACTAGCCCAGCACTTGTTAGGCAACGCTGTGGGTTAGATATGGCAATATATATCCCAAAAACCTCTATCTTGCTTTTACTGCACTAGAAGAATGCTGGAGTGATTTAATCACAGCTTAGCCAGAGCAGATGAATGCCTGTTTTGTGCCCTGTTCACATAAGTGGCTGACTAATGAATAGGAATTTCAGACCCGACACTGATTTTCACTCCTCCTCTAGATCTACACAAATAGACTGGCTGATCGGTTATATGAAATGGGTTTATTGAAGAAAGCGTGGGCAACCTGGCGCTCTCGCATCCATGTAAAATGGAAAGAGACTGTGGAAAGGGCTTGTCAATCAAGTGCTGAATCTGTACGTGTTTCGCTATCAAATACCTATGAAAGTCAACTTCAAGAGGTAAGGAAATTTCTAAAGGACTATTTTCCTGATGAACCAATCTAAAAAGGCATCATTTCTCCGGTGGAGCAGGAAGCAGTGTTTGCCCATATGGTGAAAGTATTTTAACTATGAGGGTTTACTATTTATTTTTAAGCCTTTGTTATAGTAAGCAGTATTGAGGTCATAATAAAGTCAAACAGAAATTGGTCCTAGCTTTGGATTTTGTTATGGCTTCTGGTGCTTTATTTTGTTCAAAAGCAGATCTGATGAGACTGAGGAATTTAGCTTCAAGTGAGTTGTGGTAATTAAGTGTGCTGAGATTTCATAACACCCAAGTAGTGAAGGAAAAGTTGAGTGATCAGCCTGAAAATCAGAGAGGCTGTAAGGAATGTAAGAGAGACTTTGCTACCACAGAAGCATATATTCAGGGAGTTGAAGCATGCAGGAACTCATGCAGATTACTGCAATTTGGTGAGGTTGGATCTTACCAGAAAATGTTTCAGTGAACAGCAAGAAGGGTTTTAGACAAAGGAAAATACAAACCATAGGTTGGATCAGTGCACAGAACAACATGCAGCTGGGAGAACAATTGAAAGAGAGAATGGGGATTAAATCTTCAAAGGTAAAACTTTGTTTAGATTGGGTTATATAATCATAATTTTGAGATTCCTGCATTGCAGGGGGTTGGACCAGGTGATCCTTGGGGTCCCTTCCAATTATACAGTTCTGTGATTCAGATGGTACCTTCCTGCTCTTCAGGCATGCTGGTTGGGACATCCAACGAGTAGAGATAATGCTTTAAAATCCCAATAGGTATGGGCCTGAGCTGTGGCTATGATGACCCCATGGTTTATCTGGACCTATAATTTGGGCTTATATGTAACACTGAATGTCTCTGCATACATGCGTCTTTACAGATATTCTACTTAAATGTGGCATCCATGTGTATTGAGGTGGGAAGGGCCTTGCTCCTCAGTGTACACATGGGAACACAATCGGGAGGAGTGTTGCCCAATATCACAGTATGAAATTAGTTTTTTAATATAGAAAGTTGTTTCACCAGTCCTTTGGTATATGATACACAGAATGGATACCAGGTTGCTTCTGAATCATTACTCTTCTGCTATCAGGTGCAAGTGAAATTGTAATTTACTTTCCACACTGTTGGGAGCATCACACTTTTTCTATGTGAGCATTCTGTAGTACACACTCGTGGCTGTGATTTAGCTGTTATGGGTGTTAAAGGGAATGTCCACATTCACTATAGGCTTTGTGGTCAAATGCTTGAAATAAACAGCTATTTGCTGTGTTGAAATGTTGTTAGTCATTCCAGGCAGTGTCCTAATTTCACAGCTTTTAACACCAGCCTTGAAATGACAATTCATAGCAAGTAGTCTGCCCCTATATTGCTTGCCTATAGCCATCCCTCCCACCCCTGTCTCCATGCCACTTCTGTGCTATCGAGTTGCCTCTTCCAGCTATTTAAAGCTGCACCTGGCAATGTGAGTTGCACTCCAGTCCTCACTGCAGTTTCCGAGCATTAGCCTATTTTAAGTCTCTAATGGTGGTGGTGATATAGTTCTCCCATTTCCTTTTTGCCACAAAGGGGCCAGTACCCTGCAGTATATATACCTAATCTCAATATCTCTCAAGACTTTCTGTAAGAGAAATGGCCCCAAAATACACTTGTTAGAAATGTTTTGTTTCCTTGCTAGTTAAATATTGCACTGGAGAAGTCGAAATCTGAGCTCATGGAAATGCAGAACAAAAGGCACGATTATGAAGATGCTATGAAGAAGGCCTTCATGCGTGGAGTCTGTGCATTGAATCTGGAAGCAATGACCATATTTCAGGGCAAAGAGTTCAAATTTGACCATGGTGAGTATAACAAGGAAAGCAAATACTACCAGCTTGCGTCAGCATGCCTATGGATAACTTGTGCATTTGTTCTGATTTCAATTTCTCAGGAAAATTAAGTTGATTATCCAGTCATACTGGAGGATAAATGGTTGAATCAAAACTGCAACACTGCATCAGTTCAGTTATTTACTATTGGAGGGCAGTGAAGGGAAGCTCCATGTTTATATTTGATTATAAATGTGTAAACAGTTTAGTCCTTAAACAATCAGTTCTCTAACAAAATGATCCTGTCTTAACAGCCCATAATTTCTGTTTTCCGCTTTCCTTTCCACTATATGACCACTTCCTTCTTGCCTCCTTGAAATGCATTTGAAAAAAGCAGTTACTCTCTTGCTTCCCTCTCACCCACCCCTGGTTATTCCAAAGGAATTACTGTTTATAAAAGACTTAGCTGTGCTTTTAGAAGAAAGAAATGTTAAGATGCAGTATTTGCACGTTTAAATCATCTTAACCTGGTAGTGTGGATATAAAAAAGTATTGTTATGGGGCACGATGATGTCTGGGGCCTTCAAAAAGCCTGCAGCCACCGAATCAAGCCCCTTCCCTTTCTGTTATCCCACCTGCCATTGGCAAGGAAAATGGAGATCTGAGGGAGGTAGGGCCTGAGACAAACCTTTGAAAGAGTGACCAGTGGCTGGGTGCATTGAAGGGTCTGGAGCAGATATGGAAAATCTCTTTTTCAGTCGAGGGCCACGTTCCCACACAGGAGCCCTTTTGGAGAGGGGTGGGTCACATGGCAGTGGTAGACAGATGCATAAGCAGATGGATCGATAACTCTCTCTCTTAACTTATTTCCATTAAGCTACATTCTAGCTATGGAAAAGTCAGGGGTTTCTAACCACACGTTTCCCACTGTCCATCAAGGCAGCCAAGAGGCATCATCACCGTTCAAAGACACATTCTAGCCAGGCAAAACCTCTCAAGGAGGCCTTGCAGGACCAGTGGGAGTGTGTCCTGGAGAAGGAGCTACTGAGAGTCCTGAGGGCCTGATGCAGAAGCTTAGAGGGCCAGATTTGGCCCCCAGGTCTAAAGACTGTTTTGCCACCCACTGTCCCCAAAAGAATTATGAACAGACTAATCACAAGCCTAGAGTTGGTTCCTAATGTTAATCCTCGGATTCTCAAAATGTATCAGCTTCTCCTTTCCTTGGTTTAATGGAGCATATACACAACCTCTGATTACAATGTTAATGTAAAAGAGGCAAGGCTCATCCGTTCCTGTGTCATCTGACAGCTTCTTGTCCAATTTGAGACGGTTGCTGATGACCCAAATGGGTTGGGTAACGTCTCTCTCTTCACGTGACGGATATACATTCCTCCTCCTGCTACTTCTTGTTGCTAGATTTCCTTAAATAAAGGAGGCTGCCGTTTTCCTTTTCTTTTCAAGGACCGTTATCAGAATACAGTCATATCTCGGCTCCCTGAATGATAAAAATTTGAAAATTTTTTGGAAGCCAAGCATCCAGTGTGGCTTCCGCTGTTGTTTCTGGCTTGCCTGCAGAACTGGAAACAAACTGGAAGCCGCACCTTGGTTTCTGAATGTTTCGGAAGTCGAACAGACTTCCGGAACAAATTCCATTCAACTTCCGAGGTACGGCTGTAATAATTATTTTTAAATCTGATGTACCTAGCTTGCCACAGGGTGTCACTCTAGTCCTAGAAAAAGCTTTATGGCAGGAGTAACCGGAAATATTGCGTGTGTCTGCAGACACTTTCCAAGGTCCTCACCAGGGCTGTTTCATTTTTATGTGTCCCTTTGTCTCTCTTGACTGCTTTATATATTAGCATTGGCCATAGAGTGACTTTGTTTCTTGCCACATCTGTTTTCCCTCTGTTGATATTGGCAAGCGTATACAGCAAGCAGGAAAGCCCAACAGCTTATACTACTTGCAAATGAACTTACTTGTAGGAAGGCATGCAAGTTTGACACTTCATTGGTGAAGCTTGAAGAGGACAATGCTCTCTCATATTCCAGATATTATGAGGAATGGGAGTGGAACTTAATTTCCCTGGGTAGTATGGTTTTGAACTGAACTTCTAAATAGAAGGCACAGCATAACATGAGGTGTCGCTGTTTGTGGAAATATTTCTCAGGAAGAATAGCTGGTTGCACGTCCTTGAACGAGAGCAACTGTATTTAATCTTCCATAATATCTTAGTTCCGTTTCCAGTGATTAAAGGCACAGTTGGGAACAACTGATGGCCTTTTGATCCTGCTGGGTTCTGGAATAAGTTAGTCTGTAAAGTATATTTCCAGTAGGTATGACGGCTCTTGCATTAATGTGTGTGTCACTGAGCAAAACTCTTTTACTTCCTTAAATTTAAAGAATAGTTTCTGTCCCTCCCTTCTAGTGCCCATGCACCACTTAGAGATCACAGGTAAAAGAAAAGAAACCTAGCTTAACAGGCAAAAGGTTCCTTGCTTGCCCCTTTCGTTGGGAATTCTCTCAATAATTCTTGCATACCACTGCCTCTCTCTACGTTGAAACCCTCATCACAAAACCCTCCTCATTTTTGAAGCATCAACCATGTGAGATCATCATAGAACTATAGAGTTTGAAGGGACCCTATCTAGTCCAACCCCCTGCAATGCAGGAATTCTGCCCACTGTTGTCCCTGGGTGGCTCGAACCACCAGCCTTCTGATTAACCAGACACCCAAACCCATTGTGCCACAGAGCCCTTGCTCTTAATTCTTCACACACCCCTGAAACTAAACCTAACTATGTATAACTACATTTTTATCTAGATTCAGGTAGGTAGCCGTGTTGGTCTGATGCAGTCGAAATAAAAAAATTGTCCAGTAGCACCTTATAGACCAACTAACCATGCACACGAAAGCTTATACCAGAACAAACTTAGTTGGTTTATAAGGTGCTACTGGACAATTTTTTAAATTTTTATTTCAACTACATATTTATCTAAAAATAAATATTCCACCTTTTGGCCAAATCTGTTCGGAAGGCAGTTTTACAGTCCTTGAAAACAATTAACTACTGTATTAAAGAAATACAAAATGTACTTCACAATATAAAAGCAGTGCTACAAACAGGAATAAGCAAACAATATACTTGGTAGCAGAAGGGAAAGGTAGGGGAAATTAAAATGTTAGTTTGATATGCCAAAAAAAGTTACAGCTTGATTGGTGCGGGAGTTCTATAATCGGGGTGCCGCAATTGAAAAGGCACTGCCCTGTGATTTTTGCCAACCTGATGGGGATGATACCAAGGAAGGCTTGAACATTTTCTTTCCCTTTGCTTACTTCTGTACTTTCCCCTTTGTTCAGCTGGTTTGCAACTGTCATGGGGACCACTTAGAAAAGCATTTACCAACTGTGACGGCTTACAACTTTTAGCAATAAAGATTTCATTCATTCAACTATCACGGGGAAAGGATCTGGGTTTTTTAATGTATTGAAGTTGCTCGGTAAATTGCCAAATTTATATAGATAACAAATGACCAGCCTCTGTCTTAGAAGATCCTTCATCACACAGTTTTGTTGACAACGGGTGCTAAACTGGAGTAAATACACTGATCTCTTTTTGCTGTGTCTCTAAATTGAATAGCACATATTAAGCAGTGTATTTAGTTTTGAAATCTTCATACAGCTATATGGCTTCTGTTGAATTCAGTACAAAATGCAAAAATAAATAAATCACAATTTGTGATTTAACTCTTTCTATGCAATTCAGTTCTGAATGTTTGCATGCAATTTGTTTATAGTGGTTGAGCTATCAGATAGAACAGAACCTGGTGCTGGCACTGGTAGTTCTGGTGGTCCTACAGCAAAGCTTCCTACATCTCACTTTGATCGGCATTTACCCCCATCCTCCTCCTTGCCGCCGCCACCACCACCACCACCTCCTCCTCCTTCCACTCCTCGTCCTCTAACTGCGGCTCCAGGCTCTGCTCCTGTAGAGGATCTGGTAAGTGAAGAAATGCAATCTATAACTTTGCGCAGGAGCAAACTCCTAGTTTCAGTAATTCTAGATGTGTTTAAAATTTGGTGGACAAGATTGGGAAAAGATCAGGAAAAAAATCAGTTAGGATGGGTTATGTTAAGGTTATGCTGGTGATATAGGGCTAGTCTCCTACAAAACAGATTAATACATTATGGAGATAATTTGGGCTGGGAAATTGGAGATACAGAACTTTTAATTGGACGTTTGCAACTTTCTCTCATTGCTTTGCAGTTTTCTTCTCACCACGGCCATGCAGTCACCTCCCAAACCAGATTAGACTCGGCTGCTATGGTATTGGCCTCTGGTGCTGCTACAGGGTCAGGCGTTGTGTCCATTCCAAAACTGGTAAATAAACCATATTATTAACAACACAATGTACACTTTGAATGTATGCTTTATATTTGTATGCTTTATTTTTGACTTTCTTAAGTAATATTTTATTCTGGATTGTTTTATTTGATGTTTTAAAGTAGGTTGTTAACTGCTTTGAGATTTTTTTCTTAAAAATACAAAGCGGTATAGAAATGAAATGAATTATTATTAGTAGTAGCATTTATTATCACTAGATATGCCTACTTGGAAGTAAGTTCCATTGAGTTCAGTGGAATTGGGGGATGAAATTCAGGAATATGAAAATACCCAGTGGTGGGCAAGAGAGGTGTGCCCTATTGCTAGGGCAATCTGCCCAGCCCTCTTTTTAGTCCTGTGTAGTGTCTGCCACACAGCAAAACAGTATGTGCCCTGTTGAGGCAGCACGGCTGCCTTTGAAATATATTTGGCTCCAGACTCATGTAAACTGACAGTGAAACATTGAAGTCATCAACTCTGGTTGGCTTTGCCACACCATGGCATCATGCTTCCTAGATGAGAGCAGATATTCTGGGGACCAAGCTGCAGGGTAATAGTGTTTTTTGATGCACATAGCTGGTAAATGGTATCTGACTGCAAAAAACACTATGTACTACTCCCTGTGTAATTAGGATTTGTGTGTTGTCTGTCATAGTCCTCGGGTCGAGTTGTAACTTCAGCACAACAGAAGGCTGGAAGGACAATCACTGCTAGAATCTTCGGCCGGCCTGATTTTGCACTAAAGAATCGGATTTGTAGTAACCTAGACGTGTTGGGCGTTTCTCCTCCCATGAATTCTGTTGTTGTGGAAAAACATCATCCAGTCACTAAAGTAAGTCTTGTAAAGTTTAAGTAATGTGTGCCTTTTACCTTTTTTTCTCCTGTGATTTAAGTTTGTATTTCCTGTGTCGGTTTGAAAGATCAAGTACAAAACGTGGCTAGAGTGATCCAGTACACAAGCATAGATTATTTTAAGTTTTATATGGGAAGCAATAATATCCCTCTGTTTGTAGACACCTGAGTTCTCTTGATTTGGAAGCAAAAGGGGCCACTTTCAAATAATAGTGGTTGTTACATAATTCGGGGAATACCCCAGGTACTCGGAAGTATGATTCTGTATATTAAAAGTAAAGGTGGGGATAAAAAAAAACCTGGTAAGGGCTTGGCATGCTGACAATGAACAATTGTTTTTTCATTGCTCTTCAGTAATGGCATTTCTGATCTCGGTATAATTTACTTCTAACCCTTCTGTCAAGAGAGAGTGGCATGATCCACCCATTTCAATCTAAGCTATACTTTGCATCTAGTGCCTTCCCTGCCCCCCATACCATATGCTTGTTTTGAAAACTATTCCTCTTTAATTTGTGGTAATTCGAAGTAGCTGTTTCCTGTCTCTACTAAAAGCTAGAGGCAGGACTAGAATCTGATTGTTAACTGCTAGAGGTGACCATATGTTTGTTTGGTGTCTGGTCTGATTAGTACACCAGCAGTATTATGAGCAATTGTCTTGGGACATTACAGTCCCTCCATACCTGTCCTGAAATCTTGTTGAACTCATACATACTCCCATTACACCAGCTGTGTTTTTACTATACTTAATCCTTCACCATGGACAGCAATCAGTCAGTCATGTTCTTGCATGATCAAGAGGTGATCCATAATGGTTCTGGTGAACATCTTAAGTCTTATTTCCGCAAGAAGGTGGGAAGCCTCTTCCAAACTGCAGGTGGGGGCTTGCATGTTGGAATGCTCTACAAAACTAGACTTATAATACTAGTATGTCAAGAAGGCTAGGACTATTCTCTTTATATCTTGTTTTCTATGCCCAGGGAATTCTTGTTTTATAGGAGAATGAGCAGTTACATGAGCCCACTCTGCAGCTGAAGCTGTTAGAGCCCAGAAAGAGGTTTTTCATCTCATTTGCTGCTGAACTAAAGACTGAGTCAGTTTCTGTTGCATCCTGCAAGCTTATCACTCTACAGGGGCCTTTTTTGAGTAGGACTAAACTATGGTTCTCTTGTTACATGCAAAGTTCTTAGGCTTGTGTGCCCCACCACCACTCCCCTGTTCTGGTATAGCCACAAGGAGATGTTTGGGAGGGGAGGGCACAAGGAAGTCCATAAGCCTGAAGCTTGTGCATATACCATTGGACCATAGTTTAGCAGTATGCATAAACCAGGCTGTTGGGTTATGCTTTTCAGCAGAACAAGCAGAGAATTGGAAAAAAATGGAGGAAGAAGTCCAAATGAGAAAGATAATAAATATAAGGCCTTGAAACTGTAGGAAACCTTGACAAAGTTTGTTGGTTCTGAGATACCGAATGCCTTTTTTGCCGTAACTGATAAGAGACTTGGTATAAACTCTGAAGTTTTCAAAGGTGATTCTTAATTCCTTTTGGAGCTTCATGTTTGTTCTCTATCCTTTTCACCCTACTCCTTACCTTTTGGTACGTTGAAAGGTCCAGATGCCACTTGGACTCATGTTTTTTTCTCCTGCCAGTTTCCTTAAACTACAGCTTGTAACAAAGGTCATCTAAAGCTTTTTGAAAGCAATGTTTCTTGTCAATCACTATGTATGTTTTTGCGTTTAAGTGGACACATATAGGCCAGGACCCAAGGCTATAAGAACAGGCTTGACTGTACTATTGTGCTACTTTCCCTAATGACAATCTGTCAGTCAGGCTGCTTGTCTGAGAAGACAGCAGGAGAGGAACATAACTCCCATTTCTGCAGGAATCATTACTTTTTTTGCAACTTTTTCACTGTAGAGACTGTAAATCTTGAATACAAAGAAAGAATATGTGAGGGAACCAGCTTACCTACTGTAGAATACATGAGGGATGTTTGACTTGAAATGTGAGAGTTCAAAAATTTTCAGTGCTTTTTGATGGGGAGTTTGTGAACAGGTGTGATGCATAATCTGCGCAGCTGCAAATCAGAAAATTCCTGGTTTGAATTTCTCCTTGACTATGTGCTCTCCGGGTAGTGTTGTTATTAATTTGTCCATTTATTAGATTTCTTACCTTTTCTCATAATGTCCCACATTATGGAATATACAGTTATGAAAACAGCTACAGCCATAAAACAAGAAGGTTATAAAAGCAATTAAAGCAGCTCCATTTTTTGAAACAAATGAAAACAATTCCATATGTTAAAATAGTTAAAAATAGCTCCAATACAGATGCAGACTGGGATAAAAATAATCCACTTTAAAAGCATATGGAAAGAGGAAGATCTTCAGGAGGCACTGAAAACACCATGGAGTAGCCATCCATCTAATGTGTAAAAGGTTGCCGCCGCCACAGTAACCGTTTCTGCAGAGAGCAGTGATGTTAGGTATATGAGGCCTTAGAAAATCCACATTCTCCCAAAATGACTTACATCAGTAATAATAATAGGCATGGGCCAGGATCAGAGGCAGTATACTTCTAAATGCCAGTTGTTGTGGAGTGAGAAAAATGCTGCTGAGTTCATGCCCTGCATATGAGTTTCCCTCAGGCATCTGGTTGGCCAATGAGAATGGAATACGGGACTAAATAGGCTTCTGCAGTCTGACCCAGCAGGGCTCTTCTTCATTCTTAAAGCTTTTAAGTTGCTAGGTAGGACATTTGACTTTCCAATTTACAGAGAACAAATAGAAAAGTTACTAGTTGAGCAGTTGCTTCACTTTTTATTTGATGACCTATGGGAAACATTTTTTTAAAATGGAAGTATTTTTTAGAAGTCTCTTTGAGTATCTGGTTTACCTTGCCAATGTTATGGACTTGTTTGAGATCATGAGATGGGACAGGAAAAATAACTCCTTCTTTCTTGTATGTTTCAGCAAACCATACCTCAAGCTACTGCTGCTAAATATCCTCGAACTTTGCACCAATTTTCTAACACTATCAGTGCGAGGCCTTCAGGACACAGTGCGAAATCTCACTCCCAGACCCACAGCAACATCCAGTCAATAAAGGTGGTTGACTAGGTTTACAGGTTAAAATGCTTGTATTTTACCTTGAACACATGGAGGCAAATATTCTAGGTTACAGTTTAAAATGCTCCCTGATGTTTATACCCCAAGGATGCATCATGTTTTTCCTTTCACTAATAATAATAAATATGTAAAAATGTTTTGAGGCTTAAATATAAAGCGCCTGAGTTAGTGCAATGTAGTTCTTTGTAACTGCAAATAAGGTCTACTTGAAATTCTTATTTTCTTAACTATTTTATTAATGATTATTTAATGTTTTTAATAAAAAGGATAAACTGAACTCTGTATATTTTAAGAAGCACGAGTATTTCTACTACTTAAACATCAATAGTGCCTTACATATATCTTTTATTATTCTGAAGCCCTAAACTGTTGATGTACCAATCAGACTTGAAATTCAGGGTGGTGGGGATGTTCCTCCATAATTTTTGCTGACACCAAATGAGAAAACAGGGCAAAATACAATATGAAATAGGTTTCTTTGCCATGAGTAGTAGTACATTTATAGACATAATTTGAGTGAAAATGAATGCTTTTATAGAGAAGTAACGTCCCAGTCCTTTGTTTTCATGATAGCAACGTTTTGGTTCCCCCCAATTGTAAAAAGTGGCATCTGCAGTGCCACTTTTAAAGGTCTCATAATGCACTCTTTCATGATGAATTTGAGTTTTATCAGTTCCACTGGGCCGAGGCCGTTTAGGGCTTTAAAGGTCAGCACCAACACTGTGAATTGTGCTCGGAAATGTACTGGGAGCCAGTGAAGATCTCTCAGGACCGGTGTTATATGGTTCCGGCGGCCACTCCCAGTCACCAGTCTAGCTGCCACATTCTGGATTAGTTGCAGTTTCCGAGTCCCACATAGTCTAGCGCATTGCAGTAGTCCAAGCGGGAGATAACTAGAGCATGCACCACTCTGGCGATGCATTCTTCCCTGTATGTGTACTCGGTTTCACACTTTTATGATAAAGACACAAAATAGAACAACTCCAGTTGTTCAACACCAGCTTCCATCAGTCCTGACTCTTGGCCATGGCAGATGGGAACTAGATTTAATAATAGTAATAATAATTTATGCCACCCTTGTGACTGTAACCTAGTTTGAACATCGTTATTTAGACACCACCCTTGCATATAAAATAGCTATATGGTATTCAAAAATTTTTACAGGTTCAATAAAATAGAAAATACCTTGAAAGCAATACAAAATATTAATAAAAGGATGGTCTCATCTTGAAAGAAAAATGGTTGGACAGCTAAATAGGCCTGTTGCCATAAAAACATTTTCAAGAAACACCTGAAAATTAGTGGCTGAGAGTATTTCACAAATTGGACTGGCGACACTAAATGCCTGACTTCTAGTAGGAAGACAAGAAATTGCTCTCCTCCAGGTGATCTCTGGTCAGGCTGGGATATTCTTGGCCCAGGATCCAAAGAGGCTTTTGTGGACATCTAAGGCACTTCATGCAGAGGTCCTGCCAATTTCCCTTCCCAATGCTGACTGCCACTTCAAGGAGCAGCATTTTGAAAAACCACAGGAGGTTGCATTGAGATATGGATGGTTGCAAAAGCTTGGGTATGTACAGCTCTTTCGGCCCTAATACACAATTTGTATAATTTTGTACCATCACGCTATTCTGGGGGAAAAAATTGGTTTCCAGGTGTCTACTTGCAAAAATAAGAGAGAGGAACCTTTAAACTTTAGGAGGAAAAAATTATGCTGAAAAACACTTTATACTTAAGGAACATCAGTTGTGTACTGTATGGTAACCTCATGTTAGAACCTTCAGATTATGAAGTTTTGATAAAATTCATTGCATTAAGTTTCAAGATTCTGTTAAGTATCTAACGCAAAGTTTTAAATCACATGTCCACTATAGAATTGTTTGCCGTAAGAAAAATACATGGCATTCTCTTGCCAAAAAACCAAAAACCTTCTGTCGTACAATTATGTTTCAGTGCACTGAAATAGAAGTTTGGGGAACAAAGTGGCTGCTTTTGAAGAAGCATCTTCTATTGAAAAATAAAAATGGCACCTGTAAATTCCAGAATGTATGTAGTTTCCAGCTCTTCGGTGGATAAGTTCATGAAATTGCACATTTCTTGGATTCTGTGCCAGCATTATTTTCTGCTCTGATCTTCTCTGTAAGAGGAAATACTTGTGAGACTTCAGAAAACATGGCATGCCTATAATATGTCAGATGTGAACGATTCATGTTCGTTTCTGCACAATGCACAATATTCAGTATCCACCCAACCATCTGCTGTTAAAGTGAAACCAGAGGCAATTAAAGAACTTCTGAAATAGAAACAGGCACCCCCAAAACAAAGTTGTTTGGCTTGCTTTCTTTTATTTAAAATGCTTTCAGTATTATTTGTATACTGGCTTCCTGCCATCTTGTTTCCTTTACTTATATGTACTGATGATGTAGCTATAGCCACACCATGGGTATTTGCCTTTTTAAGAAATTGGTGCTGCATGGGAACTTTTCATCTTTTTTTTGCAGCCCAGGCTCCAGTATATCCCATCATTTCGTTCTTAAATTTTTTTGCTCACAACTAAAAGCTCTTTCCCTCCCCCACTGAAGCATTCAGGGCTCATCCACACTGCTGCTTGTCTTCTGCCTAGAAAGCAAGGGTCCAAGTGGTTTTCTGTTTGCCCCTCTGCTTTCCCCAGGAAAAGCCACTCTTAATAGTGCTCAATCAGAGCAAATGTCAGTCCATGAAAAACCCGATTGATGTTTGCTCTGATTCAGCAGTTAATAATGGGTTTTCCTGGGGGAAAGCAGTCGGACAAGCAGAAGTCTGGATGAGCCAATATTTTTGTTTTGTTTTCTCCCCAAGTAACAAATTGAGTACAGCTTGTTCCTGTCTTCCTCCAGCAAGCAGCTCATTATCCATGAGGAGGACATGGCATCGCACCCTTAGGGATAAGGTGAACTTGCTCAAAGTAAAATTTGGGCTTTTCATCAGCTGGAAAGGCCCTTTGCCTCATCTGAAGTCTGGTGCCTCACTTGTTTAACCACATCAAGGAATTGCTACTGTGTTAGCAACCACAATGTATTTTTTGTGTGTTTTAATGGCTTGATGATTGATTGCAAATGGCAGGCATTTCCTTCATCTGGGGTGGAGATGCTCAAGAATGGGGGGAGGTGTTTGAGAAAGATGCTGTTGAGCAGAGGGAGGGAGTTGCATGTATTGGAAGTGTTTGCATTTGCGATGCGTGTGAAAGTGTGTGGTGTGGCTTTTCTGGTACCATGGAATGCTCCCTGTTATTAGAAGACAACCACATCATTGTTGTGGGGGATCAATATGGTATGATCTCCACAAGCAGGACCAGCAAGCATGAGGTTGTAGTGGGAACAAAGCCGCTGTGACTGTACTTGTATTCTAAATTATGACACAGCAGACATTTTTTTAACTGGCACAGCTGATGACTCCTGAACTATGACTAAATAAATCAATATGTGTTGGTATAGCAGGGGTGGGCCAGATCAACTAAACCAACTGAAGTCACTTTCCAAATTCCCAGCAAAATTGATCCCTTGCAATGTACCTGTTTTTCCTCTTGTGCACTGCCATAGCTAGCAAGTTGGAAGGAGTGTCTGCACAGAAGGAAGCAAAGGTGCCTTTGTGGTATATCTTACTCCCACACCAATTGGAGGTACCTTACGCAAACCAGCAGTGTGTTGGGGAAGAAAACTTTCTTCTCTTACAGAATCAGAGAGGCATTTATGTTGTCAGCTCAAGCATTTCACTTTGCCAGATGGAATGACTGCCCCTCTCCTCCCCCTACACACAGTTTTCGGGGTTCTTGTGACATACCCTTAGCCATTTTTGGGGGGCGTGTGGAGGAGGAGATGGGGGAAATCATGGTGTATGCAGAAGAACTTGCACAAGGTTTCTGCTGACAGGACTTGTTCGGTAAATCCCACCCAATGTCTCTGCTCTTCAAAGACCAAATAGAATATCTTCATTTGATTGCTCACCAGCTAGATCTCTGAATCCTCCTTTTACCAGATCTTCATACAAATATTTAACTGGATTCTGGCCCGCCGTTAGGACGCCATGCAACCAGATAAGAAGCATTCTGTGTCCATGTTCCTTGTAGCTCTTTTTTCCTAGGCAACAACATATGTAATGTTAACTATAGTTTTAGAAAGAAAAATGTTTTCACATGGGATGTTATCTCCCACTGGTGTAGGGATGCTTGCTTGAATGAGCTTGATACTCCAAGCCCCTCTGTTCACAGGGAAAGAAGAGGCTCTGTTGGGAGCAGGGGTTGTATAAAGGGTCTCTGTTTCAAACTTGCAATTCTTAGAGGGAATTATCATTAGTCTCTTGTCAGCCAAAGATTCTCCAAGCACTGGAAAAGATGTATATAAATGTACTATGCCATAGGGAAGAAAGGGATTGATATTCCATACAACAAATTAGGGAAAAATACACTCCCGTAACCATGATAGCATGCTGCCAAACAATGAAGCAAGCAATACTCCCACACACCCCTAACCAGCAGATAAAAATAAAAACTCAACACCAACACCCCAAAGCCCAGAAAATTCACACTGAATATGGAACCACCAATTTGCTGTGTGGGAGGACTGAGAGTTAAGGTGGACATTACATGGGAGATGTGAGAACAGAAAACCCTTACTCTTCTTTTTAACTGAAAAGTAGCCGTGGAGTCTAAAAGGAAGGTGCTGCCTAACTCTTTTGTCCACCATTTGTCCACTTAAATTTGCTCTCCCCAAACTGCTTCACTGTCTGTATGGGGATCCTGTATCTTCTCCCATGTGGGAGAGAAAGCAGCTTCAACTTGTGTGATGGGGTGCCATCCCCACCCCCAAAATGGAATGAAAATGGTTAGGTATTCCCTCCACCTTATTGTTCTTCTCTTTTTTTATTTTAAAAAAAAGACCAGCACATGTGAGATGCAAACACAAATCTCATGTAACATCCAGTTTGGCTCTGAGAACGGAACCTTTTTGGATACTTGCTTCCACAACTTGAAAGCAACTGTCTTGCCACAAATAAGAGCATCTTCTGCCCTACCCGTTTCCACTTGGGATTTTTGTAAGCTACCAACATGCTGTTTTATTCCCTATCTCTTCCCAAGTTTATTAGACTAGGTGCTAAATGACTTGCAGGGAAGGCGCTAACCTTTCCTTGTTAGTTACAATTTAGACAATTACTCAGCGGTGAGAGGGAAATGCAGCTTAAGTGTGTGTTTGTCTTTTCATTTCCCCAGCTTGATTGCAGAGGTTGCAGGGTTCACATACTAGGAGGAGGAATGCTCCCTTTGAAACTCACAGTTGAAATGGTTAAAGAATAACTTTCCCCACTCATGGAAATTGAACAGAGATCCTACTACATGTTAAGTGGAGAATCATCACGTAATTGCATTAGGAACATGGCTTCACAATTGTCTACCCTTTGGCCAGATTGATGGGTGTCAATCTGCATAAGGTGACCTTGGGCATGCTAGAGAAAACATCAAAGGGCTCCACATTATGGCTGTGTGGAAGAGCAGAGCTTGTAATCCAAGAGTTCACTTGGTCCCAGTTGGCTGAACCAACAAGGGATCCTTATCTGTTTTTAACACACCATTTACTTATAAATGTAAATATTGAAACAGTAACATACTACACAATGTGCTGGTGACTGAGCATGAACCAGTGCTCAGTGGGTGGGGCCAAAATCAAATTCTCTCACACACACCCCTTTCAAACATTGACAGGTATGAGAATATGTATGTTGACTTATGAGACGACTTTTAATTCAATGTCTAAAGGCAAAGTCTTGCTTTAAACAAATGCACCTACAAAATTTGAAAGAGGGGCATTTATAGAATCCATTTTAAGACCTAGTCTATGCCAGGAGAACATATATAGCACAACAACGACAAAAGTACATCCTGTATTTTATTATGTACAGAAGAACCATATGATTACATTTTCTATGCTCACTTTGGAAACAACTATCCAAAGTTGGCAAGAAAGGTAGCAGCTATTGATTGTATCCTGCATTTAAAAACCAACAACCATACAGCTACATTTAATTTTAAATGCTTAGAGCCAGAGAAATACTAATTTCTCCATAATTCAAAACCTGTAGCTCAGGCTTATATGGACTTTCTTATGTCTGGAATGAGGACACTACCATTTCATGTAGTATATTTACCTGTCCACTGTTCTTCAATAGCTTTGACTTGCTCATCTGTAAACTTCCAAAATTGTGCCAGTTTTGTCCACTCACGCATTTTTAACTGGTTGTAAGCAAGATTCCAAAGGGAGGAGCGAATCTGTTTGGTCTGCACACTGTGATCTTGTTTAAAAGACAGGATATTGTTTTGCAGATCATCACCACTTTGAAGATGCTCCTGGAAAGAAAGTTAAAGATGAAGCCATGTGGTTCTTCCAATAATAGGGCTCCCCTCCCCCAATTATTAAAAATATCCCTGGGCTTTGAATCTTAGCCCTGATATTGATTGCAACAAGAAGCATGACATACTACACCCCCAAAGGGAAAGAATTGGAGGAGGACGCAACAACAGATTGTAAAAACAAACCAACCAATAACCAGGGTTCGCTGATACAGGGAAACAGGATACTAGGCTCCTGTTTCCAGCATTTCTCATAGCAAACACTTCTACCTCTGCTCTGCCTGTACAGAATTACCGACATGAATAGCCCCCAACTTACTTTATACTGCTATCCCCCTAAGGCATTTGTTTCCAGGAAGCAAACAAGTGAGACATTTATAAATGCTACAGCTTTGACAGTGATAGCAGAGGTGAAGCAATAGAAGAACATCAGAGAGTCACTCTCACATATAGCAACCCCTCTCATCTATTTATATTCTCAAGGAATGGGCAGAAATCAAAACACATTGCTAGAGGCAAGATACTGCCAAACATACACTACACATAAAATATATGGTGTAGACTCTTCAAGATTGTGTGAGGCCTCATGCCCAATAGCACACCTACATTTATGCATTCATGAGCATGGCCAAAAGTTTCCATGCACCAGATCTTGCAGACCTAGATTAGATCATAGCCTAGATGAGTTCACAGGTGCTGGACCATTTTGCATGGTTCATTAGATACTAAATTAATAAACAATTTCAGTATACACTTCTAGAATATTAATGCCGTTAGAGATTCACGTGGATAGCCTTGACATTTTAAATCAGGGCTGGGAAACCCTTTTCAGCATGAGAATCGCATTCCCTTTCAGGCAACATTCTGGGTTTTTCATCTTGTACAGAAGGGCTGCACAAAAAGTTGAGAGGTTTCTATATTCACACATCTCTGCATCTTGGCAAGTGAGAGACCCTTGTTCTGATTAAAGACAAAACACATTTCTGCTCCACCTCTGCACAGCACTGAATGGCTGGCCCTTGTTTCAATCTTGAAGCCACTTCAAGATAAAAAATTATTACTTTTTCTAGGAACAAGCATTTCATCAGACATATATACAATGGTTTTTGTTGTTGTGTTTTTAACCAGCCCAATGCAGGCAGAGTGCTTGAAGCATTAGAGGAGGGGCAAAGAGGAAGACACAATCTGTGTTCACGTTGGAGGCCATGCTTTGAGGTGTGAAGATGGGGGAAGCAGAATTCACCCCCACAGTAGAAAAACCTGCTGGTATACCTAATGCAGCCCCAGTCAATTTCCAGGTCTAGTTTTCAATAGCTCCCTCAAAGGCATACAGATGCAGCGGAAGGTCGGCAGTTTGAATCCCCGTGACAGGGTGAGCTCCCGTTGTTCGGTCCCTGCTCCTGCCAACCTAGCAGTTCGAAAGCACGTCAAAGTGCAAGTAGATAAATAGGTACCACTCCGGCGGGAAGGTAAATGGCATTTCCTTGCGCTGCTCTGGTTTGCCAGAAGTGGCTTAGTCATGCTGGCCACATGGCCCGGAAGCTGTACGCCGGCTCCCTTGGCCAATAAAGCGAGATGAGTGCCGCAACCCCAGAGTCGGTCACAACTGGACCTAATGGTCAGGGGTCCCTTTACCTTTTAAAGGACTGGACTAAGCTTGAGATACTAAAAAAAGCAAAAGCAGTAATAGTTCATTTTCCCCTCCTGTCCTTCTGTACAAGGGTATCTCACTGCACCTTCACATCATAAAGGACAGAATTTGAACATGACACAGAATCCTGGCAAAAAAAGAGACCTCATCAGACCCATCTGTATATTGGGCTGAGATGGAGCACACAGAATCCCAGCTTGCCTATGTTGAATGCATGTTACAACAGATGCCATTATGGATTTACTCAGAAACCCAGACATTGCTTTGCTTCCCTTGACCAGCAGCTGTTTGCTGTGAAATCTTCTCCTGCCCTCCTTTGCCCATTTCTGTTGCAAACATCTGCAGACAAATATCCATCTGATTATCACCAGACTCCAAAGCCATTCTCTCTGGTAAAGAATACAGCCGCCGCCTCCTCCTCCTCCCAGCTGAACCTTGTTTCCCCATATGGAAGAGAACTGCGAAGACCTGCACTTAAATAAGCATGTAATTAACCTTGCGACACATTATGAAAGCCAGCTAACTCCAAACTAATCTAAGCTGAATCTGTACTTTGTGTTCCCTTCCTGCCCTTTCCTCCATTCTCTGTTTTATTTAACGGAACAAAAAACAAGAGCTTCAAGTACACCAACTCCATCATGGAAAGCTCTATGTTTCTGCAGTAAAAGTGTGCATTCTGCTGGCATTCCTTTTCCCTCAATCAATATGTTTGCTTATTTCCCATATTTCTTTTTCTCATGTCCTTCCACAGAGCTTGGCAGCTTGATTTTATCCTCAACAACCCCTGGGTGGTACGGGACAGTGCCTTGCTGAAGGACATGAGTTTCATGGCTGAATGAGTTGCCAACGTCTACATTTTAGCCACTGCAGCACATTAGTTCTGTAAAAAGGAGCACGCCAATAATACCCTGATTTTTAGGATCTGTATCCCAGTTGGAGCGTTACTTCGTATTTTATCACTATCTTCTACTTCTGTTTCATAAGCTGCACAAGGAGGACTTGAATGTGACCATTCATGCACAGTATTTCCAAGGCCCTCTGGCATCATGGAAGTTGTAGTTTCAAAGAGGCATGTGATCTGTCCTGTGGGATCTCTGACCTTGATATAGGCCAAACTGTTTTCATTGGGCCCACGTGGTTCCACGGGGGCAATGGGAGGGTTGAACATAATCCATATTATGTGGCTAGCCTCAGACACGAAATAAACAAATGGAGCCCAATCACCTGCGCAAAAAACCCCCCACAATTTCATTGTGTGGCCAGCCAACACACCATGTTCACTTTAAAAGGTAAATCCCCATCATGGGGATTCGAACCGCCAACCTTCTGATCGCAAGCGCTGTGGTCTAAACCACAGAGCCACCTGCGTCCCATATGTTCACTGTAGTCACTACCAAGAATGCCACTGCAAATATTCTAAACGTGCTGTGACAATGCCAAAACATGAGTGTGTACTTACCTTACTGAACCATTCAGACAATCAGACTGTAACATAATACAATTTGGGCAATAAAAGGTGCATGAGTATGCAAATAATTGCCCCAATGGGGAAAACCTCCCCCCACCTTTAAACCCAGCCACAGCAGAAAGTAGACTGACGGAAAATAAAGAAGTCTCCAAAGCTGCAATCTTAAACATATTTACAAGGGAATAATCTCCAACAAATATGGCGGTACTAACTTTTAAGTAAATATGCACCAGATTGTGCTGTATGGAAAGGATCTTTGGGTAGGCAGAACATACTGATTTTCCCCGCCATTTCCCATACAGTGCGTTAAGAATGGGAAGCACCAAGTTCATCAGGATGCCAAGAAACTTCAGGAAGACAGCTCAGCATCTAACTCAACATGCTGTTGGATAACAGTGAAGACATAAACAAAAGATGCAATGGAAATAAGAAAAAGAAATGCCCACTTTCTCTCTAGCATTTTCTAGCCCCTTTACAAGGAAGCCCACCTTAGAGTTTGGGAATCCAAAGCCATTAGATTAACATCTTTTGAAAAAATGGTTTCACTTATTGGATAAATATGTGTTAGCAAAAGGATAAATAAACCAGAGTTTTTTCTTACCTGTTTCCAGGTGTAATACCTTTCTGCTTTTATAATCATATCTACAATCAAGGCATGATTGCTCCTGGAAGCTACAGCTAGTGCAGTTTTTCCTTGCTGAAAAGGCAAACAGTGTGAATCAATTAAAGCTTGAGAAAACAGAGGCCAAGCTAAAAGAGGTTAGCAGCTTCATCTTTTTCATTTTTTAAAAAACTGAATTTCGAAATATTAACAAACACAAAAAGGGGAAAAGCTTACAAAAACTAAAACAAGTAGTAGTCATTAGGATCTAAGAGCTCATCCAAAAAATATCTCTCTTCAATATCGGGAACTAATGGTGTACTAATACCAGACAAATTATAATACACTTTTCCATTAACGGTGCACTGTTTCATATAATCCAAACATTAACTTGTTTACTGTCAATGTTACAGGATATGGATAGTGGAAAATCAAAGCAACAAGAACAAACTGTTAGCAGGTTCTATAATTATGTATGACTACTATCCCAGAGCATGAAACACAGTATCCAGTTGTAAGGAAGAGCACAATATAATGGGTATTTCAAATTCGTAAAAATTAAAATTATTTCAAGTATTTGTAGGCTGCCTTGTGGGGTCCAGCTCTCATACAGCAGTTTCCGCTATAGAAATTAATCACAATAAGAAAAAACACACATAAAGAATTGTTCACACAGTGACCATGTGCAAACCCACAAGCAGGACATAAGTACAATAGCACAGTCCTGCTTGTGATCCCCAGCAACTGGCATTCAGGAGCATGGTGGCTTATCTTCCATTAAGTTCTCCAATTCCCTTTGGAAGATTTATATTATAATCCAAACACACTCATTTTAAGCTTAGGTTTGGCCGCCTGTCACGATACCGTTGCCAAACGTGGACTAAGTGTTCCAGAGGTGATGGTGGTGGGAATCTTCACTGATGTTCGGATGCCGGGCACCATTTTGAATCAAGATGGCTGACTGAAATATAATTTTGGCACGGCTTCACCTATTTTTTGGCACAACAGGTACAAACTATGGTGGTTTCATTCCCTCTGAAGATATCGTTGCTGTATTTGGTGGGTCTTTGCCAAATCCGGCATGACAGTTCCAACCTGCATCAATCTGGATGCCTCTTGAGAAACCAAACTCAGCATGAGGGCTCCCAAGGTGGAGGCAGCAGACTTTGTTTACATTTGGATGCCAGGTGCCATTTTGAATCAAGCTGGTGGACCAAATTAACCCTAATTAAATGCTATCACCTCCCTTCCATCAAAAAGCAATATAATTCAGGGTCAAGTGCTCCCCGGCTTAGGTTTGAGCCCTGGGATGTGGGGGGGGGTCTATAGGCATGTGCATCTGCACAGCTCCCAAACTCACAATCCTTTTTAAAAGCACATTTTTGGGGGTCCTTTGACTTCCCAGGGAGCACCAGCACTCTCTGCTAACAAGCCATGGTTTAGCATAATGTGTGAGTACGGCCATATTCTCCTGTCTTATATCAGGCTCTAAACCAATATAATAATTATTGCATAGCTTGAATTTGTTCTTTGTTTAGCTTTAGGTAATATTTTAAAAATAATAGATGATTACGTTAAACATAGAGATGGGGATTCAATATCATGGTAAGGTGATTGTTCTGTCAGAGTAAGCATTTCAGCTAGCCAGACAGGATGATCTCCCCCTCCTCTCCCCTCCCTCCGTGTTCCAGGGGTTCTCCCCTTCCCCAGCCAATTGTGGGGGGTGGGGGCAGAGGGGTGAGGAGAGTAGGGAAGCCCCATTACACAAGTGGAAGTCCTTGTGCAGGGCCCCTGCTGATAGGACTTATTTGCTCAGGGGTAGGCAACCTAAGGCCCGCAGGCCAGATCCGGCCCAATCGCCTTCTAAATCCAGCCAGCGGACAGTCCAGGAATCAGCATGTTTTTACATGAGTAGAATGTGTGCTTTTATTTAAAATGCATCTCTGGGTTATTTGTGGGGCATAGGAATATTTCTTCCCCCAAAATATAGTCCGGCCCACCACATGGTCTGAGGGACAGTGGACCGCCCCGTGGCTGAAAAAGGTTGCTGACCCTTGCATTAGCTGAATCCTGCCCCAAATCACGTGACTTTGCTTAACAGCTCTGATAACACAAGTTCGTAAAAAAGTGAAATTCTTCACTTAACAACGGCTGCTTTCACAGTGCTGCACATCCATCTCTCTTCAGCCAGCCACTGGCTGTTCTGTAATCCAAGTACATCCCAGCTACTGACAGTTCAAGGTCACACATAATTCTGTGACTTTACCGGGTTATCTCAGTAATCCTTTTATGTGAGTGGATTTACACTGAAAACAGCTGTCCACAACATAAATCTTCCAGTTTCCATGTGCTAAAGAGCTAAAGCCGTGTGAGAGGGAAATTCATTCCATTGCGTTAGGTATAATCTACCCTAGACTTACGACAGCGGTGCCGGTGGCACAAATGGGGGCAGAGAGAAGGCAGGTGTATGCCTTACCAAGGGACAGAAGCATGCTTCAAGTGCAGCAACATAAGAATGAAGACGAGCCTGTTGGATCAGGCCAATGCTCCATCTACTCCAGCATCCTGTTCTCACATTGCCCAGCCAAACACCTCTAGGAAGCCTGCAAGCTGGATGGCAGCATAGCTGCACTTTGCCCACTGGCAATTCCTAGCAAATGGTATTCAGAGACATGCTGCAACAGAAGCCTTTGCCCCACAGAATGAGGGTCACACTAATAACCAGAACAAACGTATGCATATTTGCTTGGAAGCAAATCCCATTACGATCAGTGGGACTCACTCTTTAAAAGTGTGCCTGAATGACATTTCACCATTTCATATCTAGGATTGGTCCCTAGTTTTACATTAAAGGTAAAGGGACCCCTGACCATTAGGTCCAGTCGTGGCTGACTCTGGGGTTGCGGCACTCATCTCGCTTTATTGGCCGAGGGAACCGGCGTACAGCTTCTGGGTCATGTGGCCAGTATGACTAAGCCACTTCTGGCGAACCAGAGCAGTGCACGGAAACGCCGTTTACCTTTCCACCGGAGCGGTACCTATTTATCTACTTGCACTTTGACATGCTTTCGAACTGCTAGGTTGGCAGGAGCAGGGACCGAGCAATGGGAGCTCACCCCATCGCAGGGATTCGAACCGCCAACCTTCTGATCGGCAAGTCCTAGGCTCTGTGGTTTAACCCACAGCGCAACCTGCGTCCCTGTTTTACATTAGGTCATTCCAATCTCTTATTTTTGAAAAATCATCATCATCAACATCATCATCATCTATTTATTTCTATCCCACCTTTTTCTCTGACAGGGACTCATTCCTTTGGTATCTAGATAATGTTCAGCTTGCTGGATCCATGTCACAGAAAGCACAATGCACGAAAGCATTAATTGTGGGCCAAAAGAGTTATTGCCGAGTCTTGGTTGGGCTACTCCAGCTTTTTCTTAAGGCACTGCATAATAAATTCAAGTAACATTCTCTTCTCAGACACTCCACCAAATTACTCCTATTGGGCCTGCCTTTTAGGTCAGTAACTTAAATGTGAATGGATAGGTTTAACTTCCACAACAGAACTTGACTAATGCAGCTTTGATAGCCTGGGCCTTGGCCCCCATAGAAGCATTTAAATTGGCTCAGTCATCTATGCATAGAATGAATTACGTGGCTTCATCCATGCAGACACTGATCTGGGTTATTTTATTTTATAGCATTTATAATATTTCAAAAATCTCTAGGTGTTATGTATGATTCAGGGATCATGGATTATTTTGCTCCCAGGAAGCCACAATCTGTAGCTAAGACTTGTTCTTAGCTTACTGATCATGATTTGTTTGTCTCCTTGACATAATGCAAAGCCAGGGACCATGGTTTTTTCCTCCCCATGTGATTCTGAGGAGAAAACCCATTAACTATAGATTACCATGACATGTGAACTGGGCCATTGTGACTTACACTGCTTTGTATTTTTTTATATTTGGGGAACGCATGTCCCAATAGAAAGGAAAAGTTTAGATGCATCAAGGCACAATCGGATGAGAGGCTTCAAAATGGCTGCTAAATGGAACCCAATGAATCAGAATGGGAAAGTGTTTCTCTGAAAAGGAGTATTTTATACCTCGCTCAGCCTTTCAAAAAGAAAGAACAGTAAGTACTGTATGTTTGATCTCACAGATTGCTTACTATTGCCATGCACTTGCAGGTTTTAAGAGAGAAGTTAAATCAAGAGTTATATATATCAGTGGGTGATATTTGAAAAGAGCAGCCTGTTCTACAGAACAGGACATGTGGAGTAATTGCATTTTCACAGAAACACGAACCACAGAAAGTACCTTGTCCACAATTTTCAAGTCACAACCTGCCTTTAGCAGCATTTCAATTACTTCCACATTTCCAAGGTCTGCTGCCAGGTGTAAAGGTGTTTGATGTCTCTTGCAGAAATAAGACAAAGCAGAAGAATGTTATCAAGGAACGTCCTCCACTAACAAAAACATGGCAAAAAAGTCAGTTGGTTGTACAAAGCTAAGTGCAACTCAGAGCAGACCCATTTAAATGAATGGACCCATATTAGTAATGTCCGTTGCCTTCAATGGGTTGTATTCAACATAGTGCTAAAGAGAACGTTGCAACATCAATGGAATGTCCTCCCTGCTCTCCTCCCCCATGATTCCCTAAACCTGTTCTAGGTAGACTTGGGGATGGCACAGGACACACAGGGTGGGAAAGCCTATTTCACTAGCACTATTCTTCATGCGAGTGCTAAGAATGGAAGGACCTGTCAATTCCAGTTGTCTCACTTTCTCACTTTTCCCATTTTAAATTTAGTTCTCCACATCCTGCAGCAATTTGTGATTTTTTTTTAAATGAAACCTTATGAAAATTCATCAACATTTCTGTGTGAATTTCTCCTAACATACACAATTTTGACTAATGTATACATTTTTGCAAGCAATTTGTTCCAATAGAACAGATTTTTGTATGTTGATTTTCACTGATATCTTCGTTTTTATGCACACTTCCCCCTCATATTTTTTTTGCATTCTTGTAAATGTAGTTTGTGTGGAGAACCGCACTGCAACATTCAGCTAAGTGCAAATTTCAAAGGATGGCTCTGTTTTGGTTCCCATGTTGTTTCAGAAAGTGCAAATCTGATATATTTGGCTTTAAATGTGTATTGAACTCCTCACAGCAAAGAGGCCTTGCCTGAATGTTAGATTTATATGGTATAAATTGGGTTCCCCCCAAATTACTCCATTATTCATTTTATAATGCAATCCTATGAATGGTCTACTCAAAAGTTCTAATCTCTTTGGGTTCTTGCAAGAACATCTCTTCCCCACACCAATGATCCAGCGGATATTTTGATATATTTTCTATCTGGGGTCTAGGAATATGTCTAAAATAAGTTCTTGATCTCAATTTAAAATGATAAAAGTGATGTTGACCCTTTGTTTTAAATACAAATTGTGCATCAAAGCACAGGGTTTCAAAAGAAAGAGGGGATTTCCAGAAACAGCAAATAATTTGGGGAGGGGCACCTAGCTTTCCCCTGGCAAATGTAATTATACTTAATTGATGCACAAAGAGAAGATGGTGCACCTGTATGGTAGAAACTTATGAGGAAGGTAGGCAATAAATCCTGCCATCTTCACAATAAAATAGGCTGGAGAAATTTCCCACAATGGCAGCTGGAGGAGGGAGGGGAAGGTTTCTAAGGAAAGGTAAGATACAGCCTTGCATATATACTGCATACAAATATTTGCTGGCTGGGACTGATGTAGTCCAAAATATCTGGGGGCACCAGGTTGACAAAAGCTGTTTTAGACAGTCGAGGTCTGTGCTATTAAAACAGGCAAATGTGGTGAGAATACAGAATCTAAGTGCATCCTTTGACATTATCAAAGTACTGTAGTAACTGTACAGAGTAGTCACTTGGCATGTATCAAGCCAACTGATAACTTCCCCATCTTATTACAAAGGTAAGAACGTAACGCAGGTAAGAAAATACGAGATTTCATCTTATAAGCACAAGTTCTCACCTGATCGAGTGAGTTTATATCATGGTTAGCTTCTATTAAACTATTTACCACAGGTAGGTTATTTTTTAAGACAGCCAAATGGAGTGGAGGACACTTTTGCTGTAGAGAGAGGAAAAGTTTGTTACAATAGCATGATGAAAATGTCAAACCCAAGTATTCTTGTTCAGAAGAGATATTGCTTGCGAGCATGTGTCCACACTTCAGGGAAAAAACAATCCTTTGAGTAGAAGGAAGCCAAATTATTTCTGCCAAGAGAATTATGTTTGCCAAGTGTGCTGGCAATAAAAAGGTGTTATTTATAATGAACTGCAATGTAACAAGGCGATAAATGTGATGATAAATGTATGTATGTCAAAAGGAAGGCCCAATTAAAAACTGAACTCTTCAAATCCTGCTTTAAGTGTTTTTACTTAAAGGTTTTTTAAATAGTGGCTGGCCAATTGGTTCTTTCAAAGAGCTTTTGACAAAGTACCTCACCAAAGACTCCTAAGTAAGCTGAGCAGCTCATAGAATAAGATATGGGGAGAGGTCCTCTTGAAGATCAGGAACTGATTACCGTACTTTTCCGTGTATAACACGCCCCTTGTATAAGATGCCCCCTATTTGGGGGGACTCAAAATTAAGAAAATGGGGGGAGATTGCCCAGAGTTGTTGAGCTTTTTGCGGGGAGGATTGCCAAGTTTTTGGGGGGCTACCCATGTATAAGACGACCCCAATTTTTTAACATTATTTTAACGGGGGGAAACCTTGTCTTATACATGGAAAAGTACGGTAAGTAGCAGGAGGGATGTAGAGTGTAGAACTCCAAAAGGAGTGAATGGGCAGTAAAATGGCAATTGCAATTTAATGTAACCCAATATACAGTGATGCGTGTTGGGGCAAAATAAATATATATCTATTAATATCACTTTTTTATCATGGGGTCTGAACTGCTTGCTCTACTTAAACTTCTGCCATTGTTTTAAACTACCATTTTCCTCTCACTGTACCTCCCTTCTTGCTGTACTCAATCTTCTCCCTCTTTCCTTAGCTGCCTTCTTTTTTCTCAGCTTGGTGAAAGAGTTAAAGGATGCAGAGCCCTCAAATATTCCACAGTACTTTCACATAATGTATTTAATTCCTGGTGTTATGTGTTGTTAATCAACAAGAAGCTCCAACATCCATCCACTCAGTCTCCAGCTGAACAGGCTGACAGCCTTGCTCTTAAGATTCTATTGATCTAAAAAACACAGTAACATATACCAGCATGGGGGTTGTGTGCAAATGGATTTGCAGAATTAGAACAGAAGGGAGGAGGGTGCATGAAAACAAGTGTAATGGGGAGTTGGAAAAAGGAAGAAAGAGATAGGAAAAAGGGGGTGAATGTGATAATGAGGTGCGTCATCAAAGAGGAGCTGCAAAAAATGAGAGAAGAAAACAGGGGTGCAGCCCCTAGTACGTACATTCATACATACATATATATTTAAAGCAGGATTTGCAATGTTCCTTTTTTTTACTTGTTCTATCCTCTGACAATACAATAAGATAAACACTCTGCTAAGGATGCAAATATGATAAGGGACAGGATATAAATGTAATAATAATCTATAAGCAAAATATAGACATTTTCATATAGCCAAAAACTGGGGGGGGGGGGCAGGGAATAAATTAGGTAAAATGTTAATTAGCTACATAAACTAAGTTATCTTCTCAGTTTTTTTCACTAAAGTCTCCAAGTTTTAACACACTCCTGAGCCTTTCCTCAATTTAATAAAAATATGTTTTCATGTCAGTGATACATACCGTACAACAATTTTAGATTCAGTCTCAACATATTCCCTCTAGGAATAAAACCTGGATGAATTTTATCTACCATTAACAGCTGGTGGGAAATTAAGTAAATAAAATTGTACATCAGGGCTAGCCAAGATTTTAAAATGTGACGAAAAACTTTTAATAGCAAACAAAATATGTTTCTCAGATGATACCAGCAAGAACTCAGTGTTTAACCACAAGAACTCTATGAGAGTTGAATCTAATGCTGATGACTTTATATATAATCTCAGCTCCAAATGTGCTGGAATACAAACATATTTCTCTTTCATTGATAATAAACGTGTTGATCATACATATACAACTGGCTATAACAACAGGACAGCAACATACGGTCCTTTGCATAACAGTATCACTCTCCTGCAGGAAGCTCTGCGTAGGTATTTCATTTGGAAATATATGTGTTTTGATTTTTTTTTTTTTAAATGTTGATGGTATTAGACACAATCCTGACACATTTAATTTTCACTGATTTCCATGAAAGAGTCAGACACATGCTAAACTCATTCCCACTGAAACCAACAAAGCTTAAGACGTTTTAACTTTAATTGGCTAGTTCTCATTATTTATACAGTTTTCAGGAGAATAGATAAACTTCAAAGGGAGACTGCAGTTTGAAACCATTGAAGTACAATTCATCAACAGCCTTGATGTTGTCAACTGTGACTTATCACATTATGGCCTAGTTTGCACCTAACCCTAAGGCACAGTTGACATTAACCGTAGTTAATAAACCAAATATTTAAGGCTGATGTATCTGGCAGATGTGCACTTAAACCTTGGTGTATTAAGTCACAAAACAGTTAAAATCACTAGCAAGAACAGTCATGCCTTTAAATTTTCCATGGCTTTGTAGCTTTGGGGCAACGACAGTTCCTTAACCAGATAGGCACATAATGCTAAGCTATGGTTAAAATTAACTAAAGTTTATAAACTTTAGTTTATATAGGATTTGGCTGTAAATGATTTGGAGCCCCAAGAACAGCCCAGAATAACAGGTATGGAGGATCTAGAACTGTCGGGGGGGGAGGGGCTGACAGGGATCCCTCCCTGCAGAAAGACAGCTCAACATCTGAAGCAGAGGCAAAACGACCCCTGGGCCCCAAACGAGACCAGTCAGGATGAGTGCTTTGTTGCAGAAGAGGACTCCTTGTGAGTAAAGGACTAATCAGGAGTAGGGCCATCCTCGCAAGGACTCTCTCTGCAGAAACCTCTAAGAAGTTGCAGCTGGACCCTGGGGTGTGTGGACTGGCAGTCTGGAAGCTATGGAAGATTTGATGTAAGGCTGAGAGAGCTGCTGGAGCAATGTCTTGCTACTAGCACTGTGTCCAAGTCTCTGGTGACCTGCACCGCTCTTCTCTGGTGACCTGCACCGCTCCTGTTAGAACAACTGCTTGCCTGGATTTAGGATTTGGATTAGCCTTGGATGTTGCTGCTATATGTGCCCACAATATCCTTTGTTATCTGGAAGGTCCCCTGCAATCTGGGATCCAACTGTAAAAGGGCACTTAACCTTTAACCATAGTTAAACATCTGGGCTTGGCTCCCACATAATGCCAAGCTGTGCTTTAATAAGCCATGCTTTAGCATTATTTGCAAACCAGCCCTATCTGTGTTAGTCAGCTTACCAATGTAAGGATGTCTGTATTATCAGCAGCAACTCCTTTGTCAATGACCTACCTTCAGTAACGTAATCATCACTGCCTGAACTTTCTGCATTTCATTTCATGACCTTGTACCACTCCGGCAGGAAGGTAAACGGCATTTCCGTGCGCTGCTCTGATTCACCAGAAGCGGCTTAGCCATGCTGGCCACATGACCCAGAAGCTGTACGCCAGCTCCCTTGGCCAATAAAGTGAGATGAGCGCCGTAACCCCAGAGTCGGTCACGGCTGGACCTAATGGTCAGGGGTCCCTTTACCTTTACCACACATGTAGATAAAGTTAGGGTTAACTCAGAATATCCTGTAGCTCAGGATAACACTTAATCATTGGATGAAGTAGACTTCTAACACAGAGAAGTTTGTGCCAAAGCAAGCTTGCAACTCTTTAACATGCACTAGACTTTATCTATACTGGCTATGGGCTCTCCTTGTTTTGTATGCTGGTTTAGACATAGCTAGCTACTACTACTTTCAGAGAATCTTGTTAATAAATATCAAGAGGTGCCTGCAAAATAAAGGGCATAACCTGATTTCTTTAAAAGTACTCACCTGAGGCTGCACTCCCAGATCTATATTTTTATTGATAAGAAATGTGACCAAAGCTGTATGTCCATTCTGGGTTGCTATTTGCAATGCACTGGTATTGTGCTAAAGGAAAGACAATGGAAAGCAGTTTCTATTTCAAAGTAATTTAAAAAATAATGTTCTTTGAAGATATTTCAAGAAGCAGGTGAAATTATTAAGGAAACCAGTTTGCCACCATTCAGAGAACATGTTCTCTGGCTACAATCCACAAAGCTCTACCTCCACTGGCAGAGGAAGTAAGCCTCTGAAGACTAGTTGCTGGGAATCACAAGTAAGCAGAATGTACTCAGGTCCTGCTTATAGGCTTCCCATAGGCATTTGATTGGCCACTGCGAGAACAGGATGCTGGACTTGATGGGCCTTTAGTTTGATTAACCAGTGGCTCTTTTTAACTTCTTAATGGCCTGACATAATATTATTTCCTGTTGTGGCTACTTCATACAAATGCTTCACCATATTAACATGATGTATTACTTGACAAAGCCCGCACCACTTTGTTATAACAAAAGGCTAATTGGCAGAATGAAGTCCATGAGACTTATGGATGTCTATTTTGAATAAGGTGGTGGAATGGATTTGGCCTGTGGTATCACAAGCTTGGCTCAAGAAACCATGGACCAAGAATAAGCCAAATGCCCCCTTCTTTCTCCTCCTCTTGTGCATCTGGTTTGAATGAAGATGCATGAACATGCATAGGATTATGCTGTATGACATGGAAAGCAGAAAAATCATGTTTTCAAGAATGACAGCCATTGCTTCTCCCCTTGGCAGCTATTCCATACCACTGATTTCGATTAGAATGTGAATGTTTATAACTAAAAGACACCATTAGCAAATAACTGGGCATTCCAGTTTACATGCTTTTAAAATCTTACTAGACCGGGGGGGGGGGGAGTTTCCTTATAAGACGATTTACGCAATCTGTTTATATATTTTAAAAGTCTCATTGTATTTGGTGAGGCTTACTCTAAGACTGATGATATAGGATAGCAGTCTAAGAATATCAACATACTTTGTTGGAAATATTGATGTCACTTCCGGCTTCCAATAACAGATTGGCACACCCTTCGTGGCCTCCTTCCACAGCTAGGTAAAACGGGGTTTCGCCATTCTATAACGAAACAATACAAAAGGTTTGCACTTGTATTATAGACAATGCAATGATTTAATCTCAGACATGGCTGAGGGGAAAATGCTTGATTTGAGCCACAATGGTTTCCTCCGGTTCCTTTGCAAATGGCACCATGCTCATTGCCCAGAGTAAAACCAAATTAGAAACCAGAAGCAGATGACATGGTGGGCAGTGGTGTTCTCCTGGCCTCCAGGCAAATTTCTCCAAGTAAGTAAAATAAGGCTATTATTTTTCAGGTAAAAACCTCTGCGGCGCACAACTGTCTCCAGGTAAGATTCCCAAAGTGATACTTCCGTGAACATACATGAAAGAAGTTACAGGTTGACATCAATGTGTGTATAGATACATGAACAAATCTTGAAAATTGTGGCCATGTGCTTTGCTTTTACATCTTTAGGTTTACCTCATTTAACTCATTTATTTCTTTCCACTCTTGAAGAAGAACTTCTACCACCTCACTGTGACCATTTTTAGCAGCCAGGTGCAATGCAGTGTTTCCTTCCTGTAAAATAACACATACAGAAATAAATTATACACATATAATATTCATTATCACCACTTAAAGTAGATACCCTTGGAGTAAACAGAAACTCTAGAGCACTGCTCACAAGTCTATATGGGCATTATGCAATCTGGAATGGAACATAGCATTTTGAGTGCAGGTTATAAAAGCTAATCTCAATTTTCCCACCCTCCTTTTATCTATTCCTGTCTCTCTAAAGGACTGGAAAGATTTAGCGATCATGGAAGGAAGAGTGTGAAGCAAGAATCAAATGCCCTAGCTGACAGGAGTAGGCAGAATCCAAGCTAGATATGTTTTCTGTTATATATATATATAAAAAATCCAGGTTAAAAAAAATTCTGTTTTGAGTTACAGAACATGGTGTTCCATATTCCAAGAATAGGAATTTGTTTGCAGAACTAGAAGTGAACTGAGCTTTCACACAAGAGTCCACTCCTGGTTAGCTTTATTCATTTCAGCAGTCCAATTTATATAGTAATTGTTGTTTTGCTGTTGCTCTTGTTAAACAATTGGAAGTTAGAAACCCCTGCTGTTGTACTGCAAATCAGCTAGAGATCTGCCAGCGGATGCCAATCTACCATAAGTTTCCCCCCTGCCCTACCAAAGTTGGAAAAAGGGTAAAAACACATATTTTAACTAACATTAGTTTTGAGTACTATAATATACAAAATAGTAATCATGTTAATTCAGTATATTTCACCAAGTAGAGCCTTTTACATAAAATAAATAGGTTCAGTGCTTACCAAAACAAACCACTAATTCCGAGCGAGATAATTTAGAACTAAGTTGATACCGATACAATGTTTTCTTACATAAGCGCGGCTACTAATAAACTTAAGTTTGGTGTGAAAATTGTAAAAAGGACAGTGGCATACAAATACTCTAAGCAGATGGATAAATGTAGCAGCATGGTATATTAAGTGGCAAAGTGAAATTAAGCACTGTTTAATCTATCCTTTCCCCCCTCTTTATTGCCAGAACTCACAGTGTTTTAATACAGCATTTAACATGGGTAAGAAAGTACAGCTTTTAGTTGGAAATGCCACTCACTGCAAAATACCCAAAGGCAATAAGTATTTAATGGAATTCTTGTGATAAACTTACATTGTCCTTTTCTGAGGTGGATAAGTTAAGGGAAATCAACTCGTTGGTCATTTCTACATGGCCCATTTCAGCTCCGACAAGGAATGGCTTCCTACCTTTCTAGGAAACAGTAAATAATTAAGATGTCAGTGTGGAAGTAAAAACCTCTTGTAGAAACTTTGTTAAGTATTACTTAACACGCACACTCCTATATATGTGGCTGCAAACACCTATACAATTAATGATACATAACTGCTAAATACTTGGGTCCTAGCTCCACTGCTCCAAAACCTGTCAGTACCAGAAACAACAAAGGAGAAACTGGGCAACTACTATCATGGATAGATATGATGTGGCAACATAATGTATAAATGATGTAGTCTCTCTCTAGAAAACCTATAATGAGTTGGGAACCTGTGATCCTCCAGATATTGTTGGTCCTCACATTTGATCAGCCCCAATCACCATGGACCAGGGCCGTCTTACCCATAGGCACTAGGGGTGCAGGGCACCTGGGCGCTGAGCTCTCAGGGGTGCCAGGCCGAGAGTCTGGGGCCCGAGAGTTGAGTCCGGGGAAGAGCCTGCCCATTGGTCGGAGTGCCACGGCGGGCTCTTCTGCTGCGGGCAGCTCTGCACCGCGAGTTTGGGGGTGACCGAGCCAGTGAGACGCTGAGGCGGCCGGCCAGCTCCGCCCTCCTGTGTGCCTGGGACTGGGCAACCTGGGGGGGGCCACCGGGCGGATCTTTGTACCCTGGCACTGCATGTGCTTAAGACAGTCCCTGACATGGACAATGGTCAGGGATGAAGGGAGTTGTATTCAAACAACATCTAAAGGGCCACAGATTCACCACCTCACCATAGGCAAAGAGGCAAAGGAAGAGATTGATTACCAGAAGTCCATAATTGATATAGAACATGATACAGTGCCCATAGAGAGACTTAAGAAGATGGGCAACATCATCATTATGTTAGGAGAAAAAGATAAAAAGAGCAGCCTTGTCCCAGTATACCTGAAGGAGTGTCTCCACCCCCATTTTTAAGTCTGGACACTGAGGTCCTCCAAGAAGCGAAGTTACAAGGAACCAGGCAGAGGGCCTTCTCAGTAGTGGCGCCCTCCCTGTGGAACACCCTCCCTTTAGATGCCAAGGAGATAAAGAACTACATAACATTTAGAAGACATCTGAAGGCAGCCCTGTGACAAGCACCACAAAGGAAATTTTACTGTGACAATATGCATAGTTATCCTAGATGTTTTTTTAAAAAAATATTCACAAAATTTACTAATGCTATCCAGAAATATCCACTAGCAAATAACCCATAGTATAGTATATGCATGGTACCTCATCAGGCTTATTAAGATCCATCAAGTGAAGATCTTGGATAAAATAATCCACTATTCTAACATTATTGTTCCGGGCTGCAAAGTGCAGGACATTCATTCCCTCCTAAGGAAAAGGCAGAACAGATTAGTAAAATGGAATAAAACATTCTTCTGTTGTGAAAAAATCTTAATGCTGTTTTATACCCACCACTAACAAACCTTGTTCTTAGCTTTTTGATCAGCGCCTGCTTTAATCAACATCAGCATTATGTCCAGATTTCCAGACCACGCAGCAAGATGAATTGCAGTAAGTCCATGCTCCAAATTTTTAAAAAAAGAACAATTAAAATGCAGTTAAGTCGCAATGCAATTCCAAACTGCTCTTTTCAATTTATACTTTGCGGCATTACAGTGGTACCTCAGGTTAAGTACTTAATTCGTTCCGGAGGTCCGTACTTAACCTGAAACTGTTCTTAACCTGAAGCACCACTTTACCTAATGGGGCCTCCCGCTGCTACCGCACCGCTGGAATACGATTTCTGTTCTCATCCTGAAGCAAAGTTCTTAACCTGAAGCACTATTTCAGGGTTATATGAGGGCAAACCATATGAGTCACGTGTTTGCCCGTGTGGCTCATCGGAAGTGGAAACAAGTCTGCATGTATTGCTGCACTGTAGTTACTATGAGGATCTACGTTTGACCTTTATTGCCCCAGTTCTACAAAAGCTTAAAAATGAACCAGAACTCCAACGTATGAGAGCCTTGGTAGAAGACAAGGTTTCTGAAATTACGATCAATGTGGCCAAATTTTTGTGTAGCCGCTATTAGGCGCAGGAAACAAGAGCTTTCCAATGGCATTACGCAGGCGAAGGCAAATACTTAATTTTTTATTTATGCTGTCTAATTTTAAATTGCAGTTATGTATTGAAATTGTCCTTTTTTTTTTCGGTGTTATGCTTAGCTGACTAGCTGTACGAGTTAATCTGGTCTGTGACCGTTTAATAAATTTGATTTGATTTGATTTGATATTTCAGGGTTAGCGGAGTCTGTAACCTGAAGTGTATGTAGCCCGAGGTACCACTCTATATAGTTAACGGACATGATAAATGGGGATTAGCTTGTAAATTCTATGGAATTCGAACAACGCCACTGAAACCTGTGAGGTTGGGAGCAGTGTGTGGGTTCTTTTGACAGCGTCTATGTAGCTCTTTTTAAGTATTTCATAATCATTTTAATAAAGCTGTACAGTAGGTCAGCATTGTTTGGCATAGGAAGCTGAGGCTAAGAGATGGAGGCCTCTCCATGTAGGGAGTTCATGTGTGAGGTGACATTTGAATCAAATACTTAAAAAATGGTTTGTGCAATAAAAATTGTTAAGTTCATATATTATTTGTAGACCTACCCTTAAAAAGCACTCACTGATCCCAACAATAGTCTGCTTACTTAATTCAACCACAGAAAAGTATCTAATAGCAATGATGTAGCAATGAGTGCATTTTTTTCTAATTATCCCGATACTATTATTAAAAAATAGCTACTTCTAAAGACATTATAGGTTAAAAGTCAAATCCATCTTGTTCTCTCTCTCTCTCTCTCAAAACAAAATAATTTTAAAAAACCTTAGTACGCATAGACCTAACTCCCATGTTATTTGACATCATTTGCAAAGCAACTTTCAAAATGTAAATGTAAGTGGGACAGCTCTTGATTTTGCCTGATATAAAGCAACATTTGACATTTTGCGCTTTTTTTTTCTTGCTTGTGTGTGTTTAAACTAGCAAATATATGCAGAACACCTGAAACAAAAAAGTTAAATAATTATTTTTATTTCTTATTTTTAAGGAAGATGTTTCTGAGGAAGATATTAACATTTCAATATGTTTCCATTTTAAAAAATGACTCTTTCCCCCTTCAAATACTGTGAGCAAAAAAGGACAATCTATCAATGCCAGTGTTCCTACAAAATATTCCTATTTGTCTGTGTCAACAATAAAAAAGAACTTTTTTTTGTATACCTTATCTGCTACATCAACTCTGGCTTTGTGATGGAGGAGAAAGTCTACTGCAGATACATGATTTCCTGCAACAGCAAAATGGAGTGCTGTGCGCTTCAGCTAAAATAAGAAAATAAAAGCGACAGAATAACACTGAAGAGCTTTAAATCTTCTGGTCAGTAATAAAAGCAAAATGTTCAGCATCTACACAATCCCAAATTTCAGTTCCTTTTCTTTTAGTACTGGTCAACAACAATTTGATTTGGATTTTCATTAGAAAATTATTTCCCCACAAATATATGTGAATAACGATACCTTTAAATATAAAGAATAAATACAATAAACTCAGTGGGCTTTGCCAAGCAGGTAAATATTTGTAGATAACAGTCTGTGGAAAAGTGAAATATTTGTTCATAAGGACGCTAATTAATATATGCAAATAACATTGTTTTCACAGGCTCCACTGCCAGATAAAAATAAAGGTAGCAGCAAACTGTTCTTAAGTGCTGTGCTACCATTTCCGCGTAAGTGTTGACATTGCATTGTGTGTTTATGACATTGTGCTTAGCCCAAGCTGCTCTTAACCCAGTGCCTTTAACAGCTGTATGGAAGAGGGAATTTCAGCTGGTGCAGCTTGGGCAACAAACTCCTCCTCCTCTCTTTCTTTTCAATAGTTTTATTCCGCTGTATCTTAAACAATATCACAGCAGTTTACAACAATATAAAAAAATCCAAATCCAAACAATAAAATCAGAAGAAGTTAAAAACAAGTTAAAAGCAAAAGGACATTAGAAACAAATAGGTATAGACCGTTGTGGATGATGCTCAAATTCTTGCTCAAATTCCATGTTGTACATGAGTATTAAAGGTGTAGACATCCTATCCTGTTTTTTTACCTCTCTACTCTAGTTAATTTATGATTGTGCCCTTAGGGGGTGTGTCCCCCGAGTCTGAGGATACAAAGATTACTTTTTTTTATAAGATATTTATTAAGATTTTCAAAATATTACAAAATAAAAATAAAAAAAGAAGAAAATACAAAATAAAAATGGTTAAAAACAACTCAATATTTCCATTACTTATTTTTCATTAGCTTGTTTCCTGGACCTCCTCACGCCTCCCTTTTTTGTATTCCAGTTCGGTTTGTTGGTTCAGCAAATCCTTACCCTCTTTGTTTATCCTAGTCTTTAATCTTAAAATATTGTAACGTTAAATTTTTACCTATTAATAATCCATTTTTCATATTCCCTTATAGTATTACAGCTGAAAACCACTTAATTTCTATCCAACATCATTCTAACATTCATTAATTTTACAATATTTCTGTAAATAGTCTTTAAATTTCTTCCAATCTTCTTCCACCGACTCTTCTCCCTGGTCTCGGATTCTGCCAGTCATTTCCGCCAATTCCATGTAGTCCATCACCTTCATCTGCCATTCTTCCAGAGTGGGTAGATCTTGTGTCTTCCAATACTTTGCAATAAGTATTCTTGCTGCTGTTGTAGCATACATAAAAAAAGTTCTATCCTTCTTTGGCACCCATTGGCCGACTATGCCCAGGAGAAAGGCCTCTGGTTTCTTCAAGAAGGTATATTTAAATACCTTTTTCAATTCATTATAGATCATCTCCCAGAAAGCCTTAATCCTTGGGCACGTCCACCAAAGGTGAAAGAATGTACCTTCAGTTTCTTTACATTTCCAACATTTATTATCGGGCAAATGATAGATTTTTGCAAGCTTGACTGGGGTCATGTACCACCTGTATATCATTTTCATAATATTCTCTCTTAAGGCATTGCATGCCGTAAACTTCATACCTGTGGTCCATAACTGTTCCCAGTCAGCCATCATTATGTTATGTCCAACATCTTGTGCCCATTTAATCATAGGAGATTTCACCGTTTCATCCTGAGTATTCCATTTCAACAGCAAGTTATACATTCTTGACAAATTCTTAGTTTTGGGTTCTAACAGTTCTGTTTCTAATTTTGATTTTTCCACCTGGAAGCCAATTTTCTTGTCCAAATTATATGCCTCCATTATCTGATAATAATGAAGCCAGTCTCGCACTTTATTTTTTAATTTTTCAAAACTCTGTAATTTCAGTCTATCTCCATCTTGTTCCAAAATTTCCCAATATTTCGGCCATTTGGCCTCCATATTGAGCCTTTTCAGAGCTTTCGCTTCCATCGGTGACAGCCACCTTGGGGTTTTATTTTCCAATAAATCCTTGTATCTTATCCAAACATTAAACAATGCTTTCCTGACAATATGATTCTTGAATGCTTTATGTGCTTTGACCTTATCATACCACAGATATGCATGCCATCCAAATACGTTGTTAAAACCTTCTAAATCCAAAATGTCTGTATTTTCAAGAAGCAGCCATTCTTTCAACCAGCAGAAAGTTGCTGATTCATAGTAAAGTTTAAAGTCTGGCAGGGCAAATCCACCCCTTTCCTTTGCATCAGTTAATATCTTAAATTTTATTCTGGGCTTCTTGCCCTGCCAGACAAATCTAGAAATGTCTCTCTGCCACTTCTTGAAGCAATCCATTTTGTCCACAATTTGCAATGTTTGAAACAAAAACAACATTCTAGGCAATACATTCATTTTTATCGCAGCAATACGACCCAACAGTGAAAGCTTCAAGTTTGACCAAATTTCTAAATCTTTTTTCACTTCGGCCCAGCATTTTTCATAGTTATCTTTAAATAAATTCCCATTTTTTGCTGTCATATTAATCCCCAGGTATTTCACTTTCTTAACCACTGTCAAACCTGTCTCATTCTGAAACCTCTCTCTCTCAATCGGTGTTAAATTTTTCTCTAATACCTTGGTTTTTAACTTATTCAGTTTAAATCCTGCAGCCTGACCAAATTCTTGAATCAGTTCTAAAACCCTTTTAGTACTAGATTCTGGCTCCTGTAATGTCAATACTAAGTCATCTGCAAATGCTCTCAATTTGTACTGTTTAGCTCCGACTTGTATACCTTTAACCAACTGGTCCCTTCTAATCATATTCAGCAAAACCTCCAGGACCGATATAAAAAGCAATGGGGAAATTGGGCAACCTTGTCGTGTCCCTTTTTCTATCTTAAATTCTTCCGTCACTACATTATTTACAATTAGTTTAGCCTTTTGTTCTGAATAAATTGCACTTATACCGTTTTCAAAGCCTTAGCCTACCCCCATCCCCTGTAGGTTCTTCTTCATAAAACTCCAAGAGATATTATCAAAAGCTTTCTCCGCGTCCACAAATATCAAAACTGCTTTAGTATTTATGTTCACTTCTAGTTTTTCCAAAATATCAATTATATTCCTCAAATTGTCAGACAAGTGTCTTCCCGGGAGAAAGCCCGCTTGGTCCTTATGAATCTCTTCCATCAACACTTTTTTCAATCTCTTGGCCAAAATGTCTGCAAAAATTTTGTAATCCACGTTAAGTAATGATATTGGGCGGTAGTTCTTCAGCTGAGTCTTTTCAGTCTCTGTTTTCGGTATAAGTGTAATATACGCTTCTTTCCACGACTCTGGTGCCCTTTTCCCTTCCAATATTTCATTGCAGACTTCCTTTAAAGGTTGTACTAACCACTCTTTCAAGGATCTATAATATCTAGAAGTCAGCCCATCCGGTCCTGGAGATTTGCCTAATTGCATATTTTGAATGGCACCTTCTACTTCCTGTTCAGATATTTTATAATTCAACATTAATTTACTTTCTTGAGAGATTTTTTGTAATCCATTTATCTTCAGGAATCGGTCTATGTCCATTTCTTTCTGTGGCCCTTGTGTATATAATTGTTTAAAATACCTCTGGAAACAGTTTCTAATCTCAGTTGGGTTATGTATGTTTTTTCCTTCCACTTCTAAATTTGTAATAGTATTTAATTTTTGTCTTTTTTTATTTGCCAAGCCAGCAATTTCCCACATTTATTAGCTGATTCAAATGTTTTTTGTCTCATTTGTTTAATTTTCCATTCTATTTCCTGATTCATCATTTCCATATATTGTACTTGATATAACTTTATTTCTCTCAAAATCTCCTGCGACTTTGGTTTTGCTCTCAATTTCTTCTCACTTTCTTTTATTTTCTCCAAAATTTTATCTTTCTTCTCATTTTGGCTTCTCTTCTTTATTGCATTCTGTTGTATCAAGAACCCTCTCATAACCGCTTTGCTTGCGTCCCAGATTACTCTTTTTTCAACCTTAGTGTTCATATTTATCTCAAAATAGTCTCTCAAGGTTTTTTGGGCCTTTTTATACACTTGTTCATCTCTGAATAAGGTGTCATTCATCCTCCATCTGAAGGAGCCAGTTGACATTAGTTTCATCTCCATCTTTACAGCATTGTGGTCGGAGCAGGTTTTTGGACAAATTTCCACTTTCTTTATCTTTGGTGCCATTCCTCTAGTTACCCATATTTGGTCAATTCTAGTCCATGTCATCTTGGCTTCAGAAAAGAAAGTTCCCTCTCTTCCCAAGGGATTCTTTGTTCTCCAAGTCTCCATTCATATCTCCCATCAAGATCAGATTGTAATCCAAATAGTCCATTAAGGTCTCATGCAACTTTTTGAAGAATTCAGATTTCCCCTCATTCGGTGCATAAATTCCTACTATCAAAAATTTCTCTCCTTGAACTTGAATTTCAATTGCCACAAATCTTCCTTGATCATCTTTAAAAATGAATTTCGGTGATAGTCTCTCCTTTGCATAAATCATGAGGATACAAAGATTAACCCCCACTTTTAACACTAGAATGTCACTCTGAAGAAAAATTTGTGTGTTTCTGGCATTGGGGAATCAGGACAGATTAGGGATTCTGCTGGTTTACCACCTGCCTCACTGCTCAGAGGTTTCCCTGCCTGAGTTGACAGAGCTGGTCTCAGAGGTGGTGCTGAGGACTCCCAGACTGCTGGGTCTGGAGGACTTCAACATCCATGCATGGGCATAGCCAGGATTTTTGTTAGGGGGAGGAGGACCTTGTTAGGGGGGCCAGAACTTTTGTTGGAGTGGCAGAACTGACGTGACTGGTCAGTTAGTTAAGTGTTTCTATTGTTTAACCTCATCTGGGGGGGGCAGCTCCCCCCCCCTTGGCTATGCCCATGCATCCTTGCCAAAGCAACTGGCTCTGGGGTGGCTCAGGACTTCATAGCTGCCATGATGCATAATCAGAGTCTAAATTAGTCTATCTAGATGTCAGAAATCCAATAAGCCCTCATGTGAATTGGACAAGAATAAAATTTAATGTCTCGTTTAAATTTAGGAATATCCAAGTGGCATATACTGGGCAGGATCACTTTTACAGAGTAAGCAGAATGCTTTGATCAATGAGGTCCATGGAATTTGACATGAATTTGAGTACGGCCTGAATTCTTAGTAGTCAACATGGCAATGCACTTTTTGCAGTCTCTTGAAATAAAAGTTGTTGAAGGAAATAAGAATATCCTTACTGGATCAAAGCAAAAGCTGATCTTGTCCAACTTTCTGTTTCCACAGTGTCCAACCACCAGACAATAGCACTCTCCTGTTTGTGATCCCAAAACACATATTTGAAACATTCCCTTTAAGAGCAGTGTGTTGCAGTTAGGTAATTTTAGGCTTTGGAAATGATGGCGTTGCGGGGGTTCCCTGTTCAGATGGTAATGTGCATTATACTTACACTATTTACAGCATTAATATTAATTCTTTTCTTAAACAGTCTTTCCATCGTGTCCAGATTATTAGTTTTAGCAGCATGCTGAAATTCTTCTTCGTCTGGTAGCACTGCAAAACAAAAAGCACAGGACTTTTGAAATATTAAAAGAAATGATCACAAAGTTAAATTTATGTGCTACGTTTTTATCCCACCTTTCCACAGAGTGGTGTACAGTGGTCCTTCTTCCCTTCTTCCCATTTTATAATGGGAAGGGCCATAGCTCAGTGGAAAAATATTTGGATTGAACACAAAAGTTCCTGGGTTCAATCCCCGTCTTCTCCAGGAGCAGCATTGAGAAACCCCTGCCTGAAACCTTGGGGTGCTGCCAGTCAGTGTTGGCAATGCCAAGCTAGATGGATTGATGGTCTCACATGGTATAAGACAGCGTATTATGTTCATCATAAATCTGTGAGGTGAGTAAGAATGACTGGTGCAACGATCAGTCTAGGATCAAGAATCTAGTGAGCATAATGGTGGAGTGGTGATTTGAACTCAGGTCTCCCTGATACTAATCCAACATGCTAGTGCTCATGCCACACACCACCGTTATATGTGTATATTTCATGCAGTGAAAATTAAATATATAACAATTATTTAGTATATAATAAATAGTTTATAATAAATAAGTGAAAAGGAGATTCAAAAGAAAAGAGGTTTTAAAACCCAGATACAGTGGTACCTCAGGTTACATACGCTTCACGTTACATACACTTCAGGTTACAGACTCCGCTAACCCAGAAATAGTGCTTCAGGTTAAGAACTTTGCTTCAGGATGAGAACAGAAATCGTGCTTCGGCGGCACGGTACAGCAGGAGGCCCCATTAGCTAAAGTGGTGCTTCAGGTTAAGAACAGTTTAAGGTTAAGAACGGACTTCCGGAATGAATTAAGTACGGTACTTAACCCGAGGTACCACTGTATTTGAGTGGACCTGTTAAATCTGACCACAGTACAGAAAACAAAATAGCACATACACTTTTATAAAAAATGCTCTTATAAGAGAAAGAACAAGACAGAGTTAAGGCTGGACCGCAATCACAGAAGTGGGTTCTACTGGCTCTACTGGCACAGCAGTGCTTCTGTTACTAGCCTGTAAAAACATTCATTTCCACCCTAACTTACATCAACCAGAATCAAATTGTTAAGCAAACAATGGTTGTGACTTTAAAAGGACCTCAGTTTAATGCTCTGCTTTATCGCATTTGTTTGATGTGTTTCATTAATGCAGAGAGTGCAAGAGATCACTTCATATTCTATTGATATTGCACACATGAAAGAAAAGAAAAAGGGGTGTTTGCTTGATTCTGGTCAAGGAGGGGAAAGGCAAATAGACCAGACAGACTGGTACTTCAGCATTCTCCCTTTCATGATGAATTTGATAGTGCCCTTTGGCCTACATTCCCTGCTTTCAGCCTGGTCTCCTATTCGCAAAAATAAGCCAGAGGAAAGAATAAGTAGGCACAGGTAATTTAAAATATTCTATGGGAATTGTTTATATTTGAGGTTTAATTACTGCAGAGGCAGATGAATAGTAAGTACTCTGACTTGGGCAGAAAAAGTGCTCCTAAGAAGCAATATTCCAAAAGCTGAGAGTTTAAAGTATAATTTGCTTACTACTATGAGGATATATTTGTTTTAGAGGAATGGCTGAATGCCGCATCACTGTTTCCTGCATCCTGGATTGTGGTCTAAACCACAGGGCCTAGGGCTTGCCAATCAGAAGGTCGGCGGTTCGAATCCCCGCGACGCGGTGAGCTCCCGTTGCTCGGTCCCAGCTCCTGCCCACTTAGCAGTTTGAAAGCATGTCAAAGTGCAAGTAGATAAATAGGTACCACTCAGGTGGTAAGGTAAATGGCATTTCCATGCGCTGCTCTGGTTCACCAGAAGCGGCTTAGTCATGCTGGCCACATGACCCAGATGCTGTCTGCAGACAAATGCCGGCTCCCTCGGCCAGTAAAGCGAGATGAGCGCAGCAACCAGTCATCCACAACTGGACCTAATGGTCAGGAGTCCCTTTACCTTTACCTTTATGAGGATGTATTTGTTTTGGAGGAATAGCTGAGTTCCACATCAGTGTTTCCTGCATCCTGGGTTTCCTGCATCAAGCAGAATGTAGGACTAATGGTCCTAATAAGGTCTCCCCCTAGCTTTGATATGAATGAATACAGCCCTAAAGGAGCCTTGTAAGGAAAAAAAATGTATTGCTCTGAATTGATTGAGGTATAGGAGATAGCAGGGAGGACTGGGGTTGATTAAGAGGGAGTCAAAGCAGTTTGAATGAAAGTATTCTGGCTGGAAACTTTAAAAAAATAAAAAATAGCCTTCCAGGACAATAATATGCTTACTTAACAACTAGGAATAAGCCCCACAGGACACTAACTTCAGAGGGTGCATTCAGAACCATGTTAAAAAGGAAATCTGGATTAAATGGGAAATGTTTTTATGTCTACAATGCCATGTGGGGAAATATACAACCAAACAACCATCTCCGCCTGTATTTGGCTTAAGGAAAAGTGAGTTGTGGAACTCCTTGCCACAAGGGAAACATCGCAGGAAATAATTTAGCAATTTCCAAAGATGAATTAGGTTATCAGTAGAAAATGATGTAACGGCTGCTTGATTGTGCCAAACTGCCTCCATCTGGTGAAAGTTCTGTTCTTGCGTGACCAGCGGGCATCAGAAATGGTCAGCCACTTTTTGGCTGCTTGCAATGTCTATTTATCTGCCTTATAGGATTATTATAAATATTACTGAAATAATGTCAGTGGAGCACTTTGAACTATATGAAAGCGGAATTATTACCAATTTTCAGCGGGAAAGTGGTGGAGGGAACGCATCCCAGAATATGCTGACCTTTCCTCTGCTCTTCCGGTGTTCCAGGACTGATCCCTGTTACTGAAAAACTTTTCAGGATTCGACTCCTGCTTTTTATACCCTACAGAAGGGAATTTCTGAAATGGGAAGGAGGGAGGAGCTACCATTCCTTCCCGCTCCAGCTGGAATTGATTTATGTCCTTCAACCACGTAGATGCGTAAAAGCGCACAATGCAGTCGGGGAAGGAATTGCTGCTGCCTGTTGTAAGTTTAGAGACACACGGGGCCCCGAGAGAGAATTTGCCAACATAAAACTAATCCTCTCATGGCGCTTAGTAGAAAATACGGTTTTGGTTTGTCTAAAAACAAACCCTCTTATAGTCTCGCGAGCTGCCGTGAAATGCGCAAGGAACCAAAGGGCCCGTCTGCGCCTCTAGTCTGCCTTTTCCCGCCTTCCGCGGGGTGGGAAGGGCCGCCATCTTCGCCGGGCCGACTGCCAGTCATAATCATAACGCCCGGGGCTTGTCGGCGTAGTGCCGAGCTGCGCCCTCGCCCTTCCCCGGCGGGGCACCTCCTGAGCCACCCGCCACACAACAGCAGCACTCACAAGTCCCCGCGTTCGCCGCCTCTGCTGCCGCCGTCGCCTTCGGGCTGCTGCTTTCTTCTTTGGGACTCCGGTTCAGAAAGCCCATAAAATCAGTCAGGCCTTTCACTGCGCGGTTCCAGTTTTCCTCCATGGCGCTGAGCGACTGTGTGTCGCTTTCGAGGGGCGACTCCCTGTCCACAAGCATCAGCTGTGTGTGCTTTTCTCCCTCAACTAGATAAGAAATATGGGCTACCGTCAGTCCTAGGAGCTAGCAAACAAAGGAGGACCTGAGAAGTAGGTGACGAGGGTGACTAAGAGCTGCTCGGGTTCGTAGAAAGTTTGTTCCTGCCCTTAAATTGCCTGCCCTCAGCCAGTTGTCGTGGTCGGAGGACGGGCAGACTTTGAAGTGAGACACGAGTGTTGTCAACTGAAACAATACTGTAAAATGGCAAGGTTCATACACCTAGATGCTAATGAGAGGTAGGCGCGTCCACTGAAATCCAAAGGCAGGAGGAATCAGTTCTGGTCGGACAAAGAGTCCTGAGAGATGTAATTAAAAACATTTATTTTTTGCTCAGGACCACCAAAGGCGCGCTGCTTGTTTTGCATTGGGAAATGTGGCATATATATTGTTAGGAATTTGGGTTGGGGGGCGGGGCGCAGACTCCACGTTCTAAGTTTAGTAAAAGGTAGAATTTAGCTAGTATTTGCCAGGGCAGTGAAAAATACAAGCTGGACCAGTTCTCCCGTTCGGTTAAGAACACAAAGAGAGCCAGGTAAGAACTGGCCATGGAGGTGCTGACTTTCTCTGCCCACAAGTGGACAAAAACAAAAGAACTGAGGTGGGGAGGTTGCTAAGGTTAACGGGGTGTGATGTCAACAAAGAAAAAAGGTGTCCTTTTAAAACAGGGTTTGAAGCAGGGTTTTGGGAGGAGGAGGAGGAGGGAGGGGCCAGAACTCCACAGGCTCTGACTGGAGGAGGTTGCATGCAGAGACTTGGGAAGCTGGCTGGCTGCTGCTTTAGAGCCAAGCTTGCTGAAGAAATGAGAGAAGTAATCAGAGGCAGTCTTGGGGTGTAATGTTCTGCACTCCTTCCATGAAAACTCAGGTTGTAAACGTGTAAACTATACTGTACTTCATAAATACACGACAGTCTCCACTCTGTCTCATTTCCAAGGAACACAAACCCTGCTTAAGTGCCAAAATCCCTGCAATCTCACTACTGCTCAGCAGAGATTAGGGTGGCCTGTTTACTGAGCTAGATCTGCAGAAAAAGTTCATTGTAGTTCCTGACATTACATTGCTAAAAAGTGGGTCACATGTTGGACTTAAGCACTCCAGTAATCCAGCAAGGTGTTTTGTAACTGTGTTCTTGAGTATACATGTATTTTTGACAAGGAGACGAGTCCTAAACACACTTCCTAGGAAATACACAGGGAAACTTACTTCTGTTCTAAGTAAAAAATGCATCGGATTGCACTGCAAGTGATGAAGAGCAATTTTCTATTTTACTCTGTGTTGTGTTTTTTACGAGCCAGTGTGGTTGGCACGTTGGACTAGGCCCTGGGAGACCAGGGTTTGAATCCCCACTCCACCATGAAACTCACTGGGTGACCTTGGGCCAGTCACTGCCTCTCAGCCTGACCGACCTCAATGGGTTGTTGTGAGGATACATTGGGGAATTGGAGAACCATGTGCACCACTATGAACCATCTGGGAGATATTAGATCTTGGATTAAAACTTCATTCATTCATTTATCTTCTGTGTGGGGTCATGTGGTTCAAATGATCAGCCCTATGTACTCTAAAACAGTGCAAGAGTAAAAAAGTTATCCTAGCACTGGCCTGAGTTAAGTTGTCAAGCCAGGCACTAGGGCTGGGGTGAGGAACCCTAGGCCTGAGGGTCAAATGTGATCTTCCAGACCTCTCTATCTACTCCTTGACATCGTCCCTAGGTCACAACACCTCCTCAGCCAAATCTATCACTGGCCTTACTTCACACCCTCCTGGAGTGTTTTTCCTGGCTGGAATTGTATCCTTGAACTCCTTGTAACATGTCGCTGAAGCTCAGTTAGTTAGAGCATGGTGAGGACAACACCAAGGTTGCAGGTTCAATCCCCATATGGGACAGTTGCACATTCCTGCATTGCAGGGGGTTGAACTAGATGATCCTCAGGGTCCCTTTCAGCTCTACAATTATATGATTCTATGATGATTCTTGTTTGCCTGGATGGAGAATAGAGGTGCATGTGTATAAACAAGCCTACTGTACCAAGGTAAAATTTACATTTGTTGCCCCACCCACCTTTTCCTTTGGCCCCACCTGCCACTATCGTGTGCTTGCCTTGAAGAGAATGTCACTCTCCAGATAAAAAGGTCTTGCACTAACCTGTGTTGATCCCGTCTCTAATTAAGCAATAGAATGCCATTTCCCCACCATTTCCTATGGTGGGACAGTAAACTATATCCCCCCAGATTGTTTGGAAGGGGAAGGCACAGCTTTTTCCAACTATCAAATAATGGATGGCAATTTCACAGCAGTTTGCATCAAAATGACCAAATCTATTCCACAGGACTGAGCTATTAAGATTAAGGCACAGGTTGGCTGTGTAGAACTGGAGAAGCTGAGACCAGTCTTTTTAGAGAAGTTAAAAGTGTAGTTCTAATAATGAACGTTACAGCGAGAGTAGCAACTTTATGATAAACTTGATAGAAGTCTGACCAAATTGTTTTGGAAAATATATTCTATATTAGATTTATTTTGGAAGATATATTTCATTGTGAATATACTATGTATAAAATTATTTTAAAACATTTGATAATTTATATAAACACAAATATATATACCATTTACAATGTTTGGAAAATGTAAACAAATGAAATTAACATTTCTCTTCATAATCTTTAATATTTGATTGGTAAAATTCCTTCACTTAAGAGCTAAATATCGTTTATCATATCTATATGAGATCAATTATTGGAGAATTAGACACACAGGCTGGATTTATTTGATTATACAACTTCCTACCCTGTTTTTATTACAGTGAATCTGTTACACTGCTCTAGTCTTACTGAATTAGTCTAGTTGACTTCACTAAGTGCATTGCCTTCTTAATCATTAATTCGGGAAGGCAGAGCCTTTTGGACAATTGCGCTGAAAACAGTTTCTACAAAGGCACAGAACAGAAAATGTTCCAACAGTACAGTTTAGGTCTGTCCAAGGGCTCTTGGATATTGATAACCATAAACAAGTTTAAAAAATCTTTTTCTTCTCATTCAAATGAGGCATAGTAGTTGCCCCATATCCAAGGTACAATCCTTCATTTTTTCTTTTTTATCAAAGAGCTATGAAAATGACTTTTAAAGAAGTCAGAATATGAAGTGTTATTGTAAGGCAAATAGTTGATAATAAAATAGTGATCTGAATAGTGTAAAAGTTTCTATAAAAATTTTTACACAAATTTAAGCCTGCATAATCCTGAGCAATGTACTTCATATGTAAAGTATTGTGCTTTAACAGTGATGAAAATTTCCTTAAAATAAATAGTATTCATTTGAAAAAACTTTCTATAGTACACTTAGAATTATTTGACTTGGCTTTTTTAGATGTCGACTGGGGAACCAGTGTTCCAGACCTGAAATGAAAGAAAAACACATACCATTAAATACATACCATTAAATTAATTAAAGTCTCGCCATGCTCCTGCTTTAAACCTCTGAGTTCAGGTGTTTAAAGGGAGAGAGTGGGGAGACTTGCAAAGTTGTGCAAGAGTTTTTGACAACCCACCAGTCAAGATTGTGACACCATAGAGATGTAATGCGATTGGCAGGTGAACATCTCAGCTCACCTGTTAAATTTGGTCTGTGAAGCCAAACCTGATAAGGATTTGGTCAGTGGCATCAAAAAGGGTCCCCACCCCTGTTCTAAATACTTTAAGAAATGTTTACACAGAGCTTACCGTTTTTTTCCTACTGTGGAATTTGTACTATTCTGTCCTCTGTCCAAGATTCCTGAAGAAAAATGAGGAACATTCACAATGTTTTAATTGAAAACAATAATAGATTCTGCAGGAGGTTTGTATGATAAGTGGGAACCCCGGTTTGGGGAGGGGAACTACCATACTAGGTAGTTAAGGGTTATTCATAATGAATGGGAAGCAAACTTCCTATTCTAGGTGGTCCTCACCCAAGGTAGGATTGATGTATCATATAACTTCCAGAGAACATGGGCAAATCAATAACCTGGCATAATTTATTTTATATCTTTATATATCCTAAGTTCATCAGAGTTCATGAAGCAGCTTTTGTTTTTTCTGAAGAAAAATAAGCCTATTTCTTCATAAAACAGGACATGGCCAACTCCTTTGCAAACACCTATGTGAATTAGTTTGCTGCACCATATTTATGGTACTAATGTGTTCAAAATATATTTTGCATTTTAAAAAAATGAGTGATAAACAGAATACTCACCGAGGCTTTTTGACTCTTCTGTCAACTGCTTGATAATTCCTTTGTTCAAACAAACATCCACATGCCTGTTAAACAGAGCAAGGTCTGTTGTTTTTTGTTCTAAATTGCAGACTGGGCAAACTAAAACCTTGTTTTCAGTAGCATCAGGAAAACATGGCAACTTAATTTCCGAAGAACTGGACTCTTCAAAATATTCTTCTTTTTCCACAGATAAGACATTAGAGGGAAAATCCTGTTTTGCACATGTATCAAATCCAAAGTTACTAGAAAGGCTACACTCACTCTCCCTACTGTGTTCATCATCTTGCAGCTTAGGAAAAATGTCTGTGCTTCTGTTTGTAGCATTATCAACTATCTCTGCTGGCTGTACTTCAATCTGTGGCTTACTTGTTTTATCTTTCTGACATTCTTCCTTTTCCATGTTTACAGACAACTCAGTTGTATTCTCCCATGATTTGCTGTTATCTGTAATATCTTCTTCCAACGTTCCACTAAGACACCTGTCAATATGCCTGTTAAATGCCTCTAACGTGCTATCTTGATGTTCTTCAAAGCAAACAGGACAAATGAAGATCTGATGTGCACCATTATTCTCTGCTGGTTCAACTGACTTCACTAATGACTTCATATCTTGTAGGTTCTGCTTGTTTGGAGACATGTTTAAAGAAGCTGCTTGATTAGTTTGCTGTCTTGTAGCTCGCTTTTTATTGAAAAAACTCTCCTTCTCAGAAGCATTTGGAAAAATTTCCTCTTCCGATTTCCTAGGAAAGAGCCCGGTAGTACTGATATGTTTTCCAGGCTCTAGGAAATTAACAATGCTCTTTTGTTGATATTTCTTTTCTTCTTCATTTAGAAAACCTGATACCCGTATACCTGAATATGATAAATATACAGCATATAGTTTAATGGCAACAGAGTTTAAAATCTCATCAAAATGCATAGAACTTAAGTACAGTGGTACCTCGGTTTACAAACTTAATCCGTTCTGGAAGTTCGTTCTTAAACCAAAGTGTTCTTAAACCAAGGTGTGCTTTCCCATAGCAGCGGAGGACTCAATTTACAAATGGAACACAGTCAACAGGAAGTGGAACATGTTCTGCTTCCAAGGCAAAGTTCACAAACCAAAATACCTACTTCCGGGTTTGCAGCGTTCTTAATCCAAGTTGTTAATAAACTAAGCTGTTCTTAAACCAAGGTACCACTGTATATGCAGTTTGGACCAGAATTACAGTCTTGATCTGCTATATAAATTGGGGGAAAAACTATTGCAAATAGATCATTTTAATAACTCTCACCATGAAAGCCTAAAATCTACATGCTATTCAAAATCATGGATTTTAGAGTTTTTGAAACATTGCTGCACTTCAACATGTATGATGCCAAAGGAACATTTCTTATCAAGTAAGAAGGTTCTCTTGGGATCTTTGATTTTTAAATATTAATCAGTATTTATGAAAGAAAGATTAAAAGTCAAAGTGTTCCTGGTGCCCACAATTAGGAAAGTCTTATGCAGCAAAAATTAATAGAGTCTGGTAAGTTAGCATGCCTTATTTGGAAATCTAGTATTTGCATTTATGTGTTATTGGGAAATTTTGGCAAGTAACAGCAGAACAAGTTACATGGTAAAAGGAAGAAGAAAAGTATTATAACAAAGGCCATGAACAATAGACATGAACCTATACAATTTCCTCATCTCTTGAATTCTGTAGCCTTTTTCTGACACTGCCTGAAGGTTTTCAGTGGCATCTCCTTAAACATGATGGTATACTTTCTATTTTTTTTAAGTGAAAGCTGAGGTTCAGGGAAATCAAATTCTGCATAAAAATCCCCTTGCATACATTGGTAGATTCAATTCATACCCACTGTAGCACCACACTTCTCCTTTTTAGAAAACCAAGTAAATCTGTTGCCAATGTTGTTTGAAAGGAAGCTGATGTATATTTTAAGAAAATATACAATGTTATATATTTTAAGAAAACGTTCTAACAATTCATTTTACTACAATATTGATACTTGATGTTTTCCAACAACAACATTAAGAAGAGGGGTGCAGCGCAGCCTTTTCCATCCAATACCTGTGTTGCACATAGAATTCTAACCATCAGTAAAAAAATTAAAGTGATACTTACCCATCAGTCGCAGACGCAAAGGTTGTGGGGCCACAGCCTCCATTTCTGACCGAAGCAAGTCTTTAGCAACAGCAAATATTTCTTCTTCAGTAGAAACTGCAGACATTACTGTAGTAGCTCTTGTTTTTACTTCAAAGTTTACATTCTTCAACTTTAAAGTTACAGTTCTAGCCTATTAAAACCAACAGGATTTTAAGACTTTTTTTCTGAAATGGATATACCCTGAGATTATAGATCTAGCTTAACAATAAGGCAATAAAGCCGTTGCCGTGAACTTTTCACAATTATACATAATTAACTTTTCACAGATATTTCATGTTCTTTTTCATCTTATCTGGGGCTGCCAAGCAACTGATCATTCAACTGTCTTAATTTTGTTCAGTCATAGAAATAAAAAGAACTATCTGCATTCCTCTATTTGTCACATTCTAATATGACCAAGGAATAGAAGCTAGGAAGGGCTGTACAAACAGGAGTAGGCTCAATTCCTAGTGGGCTCAAGTAGGGTTTTCATTCCTTTAAGAATATAGTACCACTACGACAATTCACTTTTACTAGACGCCTCTGAATGTTTCTCCTTGTGGTGCCATAAATGTCAAGATTAGGCAGGGTAACTGAAGTTCATACAGTATACCAGTCTCTTCAACGACAATGTTTGCCTTGGGCGGCATCTATTATGAACTAGATGAGGAGGAATAATGGTATACCCTTCAAATGTTTGAACATTATATGCTTGGCCAGAGCAAAACCACAGGCAATCCATTACTGTTCCTTCTTCTGCTAATTAACAGCTTTTACTACAATATCTGTTCTATGCAAAATTACTTGGTGAATTGATTTTAAGAGACACAAAATTACTTTAGGCTAAACAAATTATTGCATAAATAATTCATATTACCAGAAAAAGCTAAAACAAAAATACATCCCATGTAAATACTGTAACAAGGGATGCAGAAGATCTGAGTGCTGACATTTTATAGAAATTTACCCACTTTAAGTCCTTCCTTTTTCAAATCCTGAGCAAGGTCACTGCAAAGTTCTTGACACAAGCTATATTGTTCTGCAGCACTTATTTCATTAAATGTCCTGTGTGCCAAAAGAAAAGTAATCATAATCATAGCAATGACTAGTAATAGTCTATCCTCAAATAGCATAGAGAAACTTGATCTTTTTTTACTGATCCATGTAGTAAAAATATTAAGGTTTAAGCTAAGCTGCAGTATACTTTCAGTATACTACTGAATAATAAAGGCTTAAGAATGAATGGAGTGTCTGAAATGATGTTGGGTTGGATCCTGACTACGGGTTGCATCCAGGACCTCCATACTGCTCATGCAAGAGACTTCTGTTTTTTGCAGTGGAACTTCCCCACTTTTTCTCCCCTGCACCCACAAAATCTGCTCCAAAGGGTTGGAGGACCCTCTGGAGCAGATGTTGGCACTGTGCAGGGAAAGGAAAGGAAGGGGCGTGTTGTTGTATGAACAGAACATTGCTTCTGCAGCACTGAACACAACCCTAGGTTGCTCTCAGTCTCCTCTGAAATTAGTGGGAATCAAGTTAATAATGACTTAACAGTTTACAATGATTTCAGTGGGACCCAAGTACAACTCCATTGGCCTGGATCCAACCCATTAGGGTAATTTTCTCTTGATTTTTTTTTTAATCTTAAGAGATTTTGCACAATTATTCTCATAAGGCCTTATGAATCTTGTTTTATAAATGCTTGAACAGCTTAAGGAAAACTAAACTTCTGAGAGTTTTTTATTATTATTAAAATGTGATTCTAACATAATTGAGCATTTGTCTATTGGAGACCTAGGCATTCTTCTGGAAGACTGTTCTTTCTACCAGATTAGAACTGCAAACCAAATGCTCGTTACTGTTTCAATAAAATAGAGGGAAACCAGCTCAATAAGTTTTCTTGGAACAGTAATGAGCATATTATGTGGCATTACTAATCTTCAAAAAAAGAAAGCTTTCAGTACAGTTCTCAGATTCCCTAATTGAAAAAGACTTGTTTATGCTAGAATCACATTTTTATCGCCAAATAAACTGAAAATTATTTTTCCTCAAGCAGAAGCAGCTCCACATTTTGTGTGGCAAGCATGTTAGTTCTATATACCCTAGTGGGTTTTTAATCCTGCTCTTCCTCCCAAAAGGAGCTTGGCATGGCAAACAACAAAACAGTGAAATCAATACAAAGGTTCTAAAAGCCAATTGAGCACATACCTTTCAGTGCTCATGCTTTTTCTTTCTCCATCCCTTTAAAAAGAAAAAAAGAAGTGTCCAGGTGTGTTTATTTAACATTTATATATAATAATTTATCACCATTATTACAAATATACAGAACCCCACGTGTCGTCCCCCCCCCAAAAAATTATAATCACTATATCTGGCTGTGACCCAACAGGAATAAAAACATCTGTAATTTAAGTTTCACCAGTTTTGGTAAGTTGTCAGTTTCATAGTGCTCTTGAAAATGCACTTAGAAGAGCACAATAAAATTGAAAACATACGAAGACTCACCAACTAAGCTTTGTTCATTGAAAGATGCTGGGCAGAATTCAACACTGTGTAAGCAGAAATCACCATCCTCTCCCCTACTCTGCAGCCCCTTGCATGTACCCAATATTTGCTCCAGAGCATGGGTAGACAAACTAAGGCCCAGGGGCCGGATCCAGCCAATCGCCTTCTAAATCTGGCTCGCAGACAGTCTGGGAATCAGCGTGTTTTTACATGAGTAGATTGTACCCTTTTATTTAAAATGCATCTCTGGGTTATTTGTGGGGCCTGCCTGATGTTTTTATATGAGTAGAATGTGTGCTTTTATTTAAAATGCATCTCTGGGTTATTTGTGGGGCATAGGAATTTGTTCATTTCCCCCCAAAAAATATAGTCCAGCCCCCCCCACAAGCTCTGAGGGACAGTGGACCGCCCCCCTGCTGAAAAAGTTTGTTGACCCCTACTCCAGAGGGTCTCCCAACCCTCTGGAGCAGATTTTGTGGCTGCAGGGGAGCAGGGAGGAGGAGAGGGAAAGTCCCACTAAACAAGTGGAAATCTGTTCTGCTTGTGCATGGACAGCATTGGACACAACCCACTATTTAAAAAAGATATAAGTGTATGTTGCTATTTTACAGTTAAGGATCTTAAGCAGGGCTGTGAAAGACTTCAAGCTCAAGAATTCTGTGGGAACGGTTAGAGGAAACATATTATTGACTTGCCTTTGTTCCTTTTATGTAACAATGTTACAAGCTAACAAAAAATTTGAAAGCATCTAAAATGAACACAACCCATTCACACAAAATACCTTTCTAAATGGGTGGAACCCAAACCAAGGGAGATTTCCAAGAAATTACGCCAAGATGTTTCAGAGAAGAGAAGAGAAATTAGTGCCCTCTGCTGGTAAAGTTCTGAACAAGTCACAATGTTCAGAGCTTTAAGCATTTTTTCTGTTACTTTTCCTATGCCAGGCACCTGGAAGAGAGTTAATGCACACTAATAAAACAATGACCTTCCAGGAAAACAATTAAACCATAGTTTACAAACATTTCCTTTGGAAGTGAGAATATTCATCAGTCATAGTTACTTCCAGTGATTAAAGGTGGACAAGGTTCTGAGATTTGGAGCACTTAACATAAATTAGAAAAGGGCAACATGTGCTTAATTCATTAACTTAAAACGTAACTTTTTAAAAAATAAAAATGAATAATTATATGGCCCTGTTGAGTTCTGTCCATGGCTGGTGAACCTATTACATTCTTCTGCATTGACATTTGGACAATCTCCAATGTTCAATGAATTAGAAGAGAGGCCACCAACCTTTTTGGATCCGTGGGCACATTTTGCATTTTAAGAAGGTAGTGTAGGCACCAGTCACAACATGGTTGCCATGGGGTGTGGCATAACACAAAACTAGTGAGCACATTCATTGCTGCTTCATGCCCTCCCTCCTCTTGAACAACCGCCTGCACCCAGTAACTTTTGTTCTGATTACACAATATGGATTTCACACACACACGTTTTTGCTGCTAACAACATTCCCAAGTACCAGAAAAGATATACAAGGTGGCCACACCAAACTAACTCCCTCTCGCACTGACACACAGACCACAAATACATACATCCGTCTGTCTCCAACACATAGATGCAGACATCACTCTTCCTCCCTCCCTCCCTCTTACACTCACAGAGACACAGAGACCACACACACATACAGACTGAACATATATGAACATGGGGGTGCAGGGGGGCAGCTCTCCCCCAAAAAATCAAGTAAACAAATAAAAATACTTAATTAAAAGTATAAAATTGTAGAAAGATTTTGACAGATCTTTCTGAGCACTTGTGATTAAAAGAAAGTAATTAAAAAAACCTGTATTTGAGACATCTCATTCTGAATCTGCTAGACTGAGCCAGACAGGATGATGACAGGTGGGTGTCCTGCCCCCCCCATAAATCCTGGCTACGCCCATGTACATGCAGACCTCATCCCATTTCTTTCTTTCTCTCTCACACACAGAGCACACATCACAAACTTCCTCCTTAGTCTCACACATGTACAGACTACAGATACACACACACACATGTATTTACATACAGTGGTACCTTGGGTTACATATGCTTCAGGTTACAGACGCTTCAGGTTACAGACTCCGCTAACCAGGATGAGAACAGAAATCGTGCTCTGGTGGCGCGGCGGCAGCAGGAGGCCCTATTAGCTAAAGTGGTGCTTCAGGTTAAGAACAGTTTCAGGTTAAGAATGGACCTCCAGAACAAATTAAGTACTTAACCCGAGGTACCACTGTACTTGCCTTCTCTCTCTCACTCACACACACACACACACACACACACACACACACATATTCAGGAACTCCCATCTATTGAGTGGACAGGACAATTTCTATCACTCCTACCCGCCACTTAAATTAAAAATTTTAAGCCACTCTGCAGGGATAAGCAATTGCCTGTTACCAGCTCCATGTGGCTGGTGGGCAAGATATTGCTGATGAGGAATCCCCGCCATTCCTTTTCTCCCCTCTCCCCTTGTTGAAAAAACCCTCTGGGGGCTAAGCAACTGCCTGCTCCACTTGGCTGGTGAGATAATATTCCTTGAGCAAACAGGATGATGCTCATTGCTCCTTCTCTCCTCACCCCAAGACTTTGCTGAAGGAATCTCTGTGGGGCTAAAGCAACTGCACACTGCAACCTTGATGTGGCTAGCAGGCAAAAAACCACTGAGCAAAGAGAGCAATCCCTGTTACTGCTCCCAAACTCTGAGGGGAAAAAAAGCTCTCTGTAGGGCTAACTGCTCTCTGCCTGCTCCACAAATGGCCATTGTTTCTTCTGCCACCACTCCCTCCCTCCCTCCCTCCCACAATCAATAAAGCCACTCCACAGACTGAAACAAAGAGAAGCAATTTAATTTACAGACACCCCAGGTTGCTTCAGAGACCCCCAAAAGGCCTTCAAAGATCCTGCAGTGGTGACCCCCGAGCTAGAAGATAGAAGATTCAGCTGAACTGTAAAACGTGCATTCAGATAGTTAAGAAATTTTATGCTTTATAAAATGCATACATTCTACTGTGTTCCAACTCCAGCATAATTCCAAGAGCAATATTAATATCAGTGCTTAAATTGAAAGGGAAAAAAAGAGGTTTCAGGGCTACAGCTTTCTGGAAGTTGAATATTTTATAGAAGCCCTTGATCTCTGTACCTTTATTGGGGCCAGCTTCTTCAGACTGAACATTAAGCAAAAACAAATGAACAGACAGCTTGGGGGAGACACACACACAATGCTGTTGAGCTTAATGATAATAGCCCAAACTTCAGATTTTAGTAGACTACGCTAGTACAGTGGTACCTTGGTTCTCAAACACCTTGGTACTCAAACACCATGGTTCTCAAATGTCGAAAACCCGGAAGTAAGTGTTCCGGTTTTCAAACGTTTTTCAGAAGCCAAACGTCTGATGAAGCTGTCAGCTGTTGTTTCCAGGGCACTTGCACCAATCAGAAGCTGTGCCTTGGTTTTCGAACATTTCGGAAGTCAAACAGACTTCCGGAATGGATTAAGTTTGGCGCTTTTGTTTTTGCTATTTTGTGTTTTTGTTGGTTAATTTGTTTTTGTGACTGTGTGGAACCCAGTTTACTGACTGATTGGTTGATTATGTGACTGTGGAAATGGATAAAAGCTCCCCATCGAAACAATGACTATCATCAGTGCAGGTAAATAATAATAATAATAATAATTTTAATTTTTATCATCTACAATACTGTCTTATTTAATTTATAGTACAGTACATTGATTATTGCTTTCATTTTATGGATCAGTGGTCACGTTGATAGTAAAATTAATGTTAAATTGCTGTTTTAGAGGTTGTTTTTAAACGTCTGGAATGTATTAATCCGTTTTGCATTACTTTCTTTGGGAAAGTGTGCCTTGGTTTCAGAGCGCTTTGGTTTTGGAATGGACTTCCGGAACAGATTAAGTTTGAGAACCAAGGTACTACTGTACATATATCTGGATGACGGCACCCAGCATGGTCATGCAAATTGTAGAGCCCACCAAAGCCCACTGACATCACTTTTTCTTTTTTTCAGGGATGTTATAGGGAAGATTATGTGGGTGGCTGCAGGCTCAGCCTGTGCTTTGCAGCACACTTCCATATAAAGAATAAGGAAAAGGAACTTGCCCACTGCTGTTGGGGAGGGGGTAGGCACAAGGGAGTCCACAACTCAGTCTGCCTAGAGCCCTCTCAAACCTGTTAGCATACCCTCCAACATTTCAGATGAAAACAGACACATTCCACATGCAAGGTTTATTTTGCAAGCTGCATCCCTCTGCTATGAGCACATTGCAGAAGGCTCTTAAATGCTTGCAGTGTTCATTTGCTCTGCACATTTTTATCCTCCACTGAAGACAAGAGGATGATTGTTACTTTGGTTACAGTTGTACTAGGAAAACATAATGGGTTGGAAACAGAGAAACACATTTGGAAGGAGGAGAGCAGGTGATTTTCCTGTCCTTCCTCTTAAGCAGTCCTCCAAAGCCTTGCAGCACATTCACTAAATATTTGTTCACCTCATTTTTCAGTGATTCCCCCAGGCCACTTGTGTTACAGCCCCTGAAAACAGCTTTTCAGGGGTGTTGGGACAGGGTGGTGGTGGCTGGAACAGAAAGAGGTGCAGAAAAAGACATGGGCATTTATTTCTCTGGAGCCAACCTAATACATTAGCAAAAGCACTGCACTGCATAATGTTTTAGTATTCCATGTGTATGCTTTCTGTGCCCTTAAAAATATCTATTTCCAATTTTGGGGATTTAACTTCTAGAGACTTGGGGAGGGAGCTAAATCATGAAGAATGACAACACGAGTACCTCCCACTCACATTTTAACATTTTTGCATATGTGCCAAATGCAGAAAAGGATCTGAGGTTACATCAAAACTACTGGGGCAAAAAACAACAATAATGCAGCTCTCTCTTTGGCAGCAGTTACTCTAAAACTAATTGGGAACACAAAAGTCCTTTGTAAGGTAGAGAGCAAAGGCAAAGAAAAAGTGGTAATCTTTATATTAGCAAAATCAAAGTTTAATATAGCACATTGGGATAGAATAACCAGAAGCCAAACTAGATAGTATTACATGCTGGCAGAAAGCATATTTAATAAATTTCACCTATATGCAAAGTTATTTCACAGCTTGATCACTTTGTAACTTTTTGGCTGATCACATAAAAGGTATTATAGCTAGCCATACCTGATTCTTGTTGTTTTGAGCTACCCCAAATGTTTGTCTTATTTCATATTTCTCAGATTTTTATAGCACTTCCTAGCAAAATACTCAATGCAGTTTTTGATTTTTGATTTTTAAAGAATATTTATTCCAATTTTAAAGTTACAAAAAATAAAGAAAAAACAGACCATACACATGTTACAAAAAACAGACAATAAAAAAGAAAAAAGAAAAAACAAAGAATCACAGTAAAAAATAACAAAAATACTCTGGCTTCTCCTCAGATCGTATAAATCTTTCGCCTTTTACTCAATGCAGTTTTTGAAAAGTCTAAGTTCATAAACAACAGAACCATCATGAAACAACAAAATGAAAATATTAACAGCTCTGATTTTCTTGGTTCATGCTCTGGATAGAGAAAAGAATATAACATACAGATCAAATTATTAAATTAAAAAAGGGTCCTCAAAATCACAGGTCAACATCACAGCAAGTAAGAGGAATCTTACTCTTTGGAAGATATAAGAGTATTAGTCACACTGTGATGTTACAGCATTTCAGTGTCCAAGTGTAAATTATTACTTAAATTTCAGACCCAGTATACTGTGTTCTTCATCTCCAGTGATGTTATGAGGACCAAGAGTTTCCCAAGGCATTTACTATATTGTTCACCAAATAGTAACAGAAAACACTACGGGTGTTCGTCACATTTTCCCAGCAGGATGCACACAGGCATCTTCAGTATATTCCTGATGTGGGAAGTCCTCAGCCAAAAAAGATCTAACAAGAAGCCATGGATGGCACACATGCCCCATAGAAACTGAGAAGTTTTGTATGTTCACTCAAACTTTGGCCTAAACCTTCACTTGCTCAAGTCCAATACAACAAATGGAAAGGGATACAAAAATTAAATGTTATCAGTGTATTTTGGGAGCATCCATTCCCTACTCCCAGAAAGCATTCAATTTTACAACAAAATGCACACAGTTTTATATGGGAGTTCATACTTCATTAAAGTATAAAATAGTAAATGGTTAAATTTAGATGCAAAGAGGGTTTAAGACAGTAAACAAGTCTACCAGCAGTAATAAGGAACACTGAATAATAAATAAATCAGCTCACCTTTCTAATGGCTAAATCTTTGATAAAGTTCATCACAGCTTCTCTTTCTGGGGGGATTCTATATTGACCATTCGGTTTATTTTTATCACTGCACATTTTTGCTAACATAGTATTTGGAGCAATGCCTAAGCAAGCAAACAAACAACAAACGTCAAACAAATATGAAACGCCAACCTGCTATTTCTGCTCCTAATGATTTTAGAAATAGTTATGATGAGGTTTGTGTAGTAAACAATATTCATTTTGTTTTCGGTTGAATTTGTTTTTAAATATATATGCAGATCCTAAGAAGTTTGACTGTAACAGGTCCTATGGAATTAAATATGTATGCTGCTGTTCATCCAAAGACTATTGAGCAGTTCACAACGTAAGAAAACATAACTGCAATTTTTTCTGCTGTCATTGTAAAGTCTCTGGACTAAAACTTTCCTACCCACACCCAGCAACACACAAGAATGTGAAAGGAACAGAAAGAAGAACCTCCCAACCACCTTAATCTGGCCTTGAACAGTGTTAATAGGTTGTTGAAGTGTGTGTCAGAGGTGCAGCATATGCTACCACCACTTGGGGCAGGCGCACAGTGCATGCCCCTGAGAGCACCAGGGTGGAGAGGGAGCCTGCTGTGGCTCGCCTTGCAAAGTAGCGCAGAGGGTGCACTTGCATGCTGTAGCCCAGCCAGGCGAGGACGGGGAGCAAAGCTGCCACCAATTCTCATCTTCTTCGCTCCTGGGTCCAGCCTGACCTGGGAATGGAGCTGCGGCTGGCTGACAGCGTTGGGTCATTATGCGAGGAAGCCTTCTCTACAACTCCCTCGCGTGCCGGAGTCAGGCTATGATGCACAAACCTGTCATGGTTGTGCCTGGTCATGACCCCTCAAAAAAATGTGCCCCGGGCCGTGGCCTCCCCAACCACTCCACTATACCACTTTGTATGCCATTACAAAGTAAAGGTAAAGGTAAAGGGACCCCTGACCATTAGGTCCAGTCGTGGCCGACTCTGGGGTTGCGGCGCTCATCTCGCTTTATTGGCCGAGGGAGCCGGCGTACAGCTTCAAGGTCATGTGGCCAGCATGACTAAGCCGCTTCTGGCGAACCAGAGCAGCGCACGGAAACGCCGTTTACCTTCCTGCCGGAGCGGTACCTATTTATCTACTTGCACTTTGACGTCCTTTCGAATTGCTAGGTTGGCAGGAGCTGGGACCGAGCAACAGGAGCTCACCCCGTCATGGGGATTCAAACCACTGACCTTCCGATCGGCAAGTCCTAGCCTCTGTGGTTTAACCCACAGCGCCACCCGCGTCCCTCCATTACAGAGTAGACCAAGTTTAATAGCAAGGCTTTTATGTTGTTGGTTAAAGCTTGAAGAGTTCAGAACTTTCATTTATTGAGGTTGAGCACATGACTCTGATACAGCAGTTTTAGCAAGTTGTTATGTTTAGGTCAGTTAATTTTTTCTGTAAAAAGAACCTGTGCATTTCTTCACATAACAAGGATCTTGTGAATCTACTTTTAAACTCTTGAGATGTACTGGAGAAGTATTACAGAACTTTAAAATATTTGTAATAATATAAATATAAATTTGTTTACCAGCACTGGCAGTAAGTCTTGTTTTTTGTTCAATCCTAAAGCGAATTTCCTCCACCACTTCCTCAGCTGATGCTCCAAAGACAACTGGCTTTATCTGAGTTGTTGACTGTTGGTGTTGTTGTTCTAGGTGCAGCAGAGAAGGGTGAACAATCTGCTTATACATCAGAGTATCAACATCAAACAAGACTGGTGAACAGTCATATGTATCTTCACTCAAATTTGATTAATCACGTGTTGCTATATTCTGCTTGCCTCAGAATAAAAAGGGTCAGAAGCTATCAGAATTCTATAAGCAAAACTAATCTCATTTGCTAGTTCCCTTACACAAAAAGTAAATGCCACCTTCCTTTTCCCTCCATTTTCCAAGCTCTTGTAAATATTTTTTACAAACAGGACAAAAAATTCTCATTGTTATTACTGTACTGCTAATTACCCCAAGGCTGGAAAAACCAAGTCCTGCTACTGCCCAAACAAAGGAGTACTGTATGTTTACTGCATTTAAATGAGCAACATAAAAAATTGCATGGATTAAAACTGTGTACATTTACATAGATAATACTTCTTTAGATTTAAAAAAAAAACCCTTTCAGCATTTACTTCTTATATGGTATTAGTCACTTTCAGTTCAGGTTCACAATGGGATTCACTCTAAGCCCACATATCAAAAAGCATCATCATGCATCTGTATGGTGCTTTCTCTAGGAAAACCATGCTCAAAGTGGTTCACAAAAACACTGGAATGGTTTACATAATAACATGTTTCTCAACTGTTTTGACCAGTTTACCTGTTGTAAGAAAACTTTGTAAAGAATTGATTGAGTGCCTGCTCATCAGTTATAACTGAAGCTGTTGGGCAACATGATACATTGTATACAGTTGGAGTGTCACCCTGGTAATTATTAAACACTTGGTTGATGCTCATCAGCTGCTTAGCATAAGCAAGAATGCAGTGAGGAAATAACCTATTCTGAATGAATTATGCCACCAACTGAAATGAAATGGGGAATCTCGCGCAGAACAGCATAAAGAATTCACTTGGAATTCCAGACTGTGACATCATGATCCATAGCTTACTACTTGTCTCAACTTTGATAAGAAGTTCATAGGGCAATGTGGGGCCTGACAGCTGCAGCACTGTGAAGAGAAGCATGTGAGCAACTTGCTCCAATGAAATCTAGGACTGGACTGAAGCTTTGTATTCCTCCAGTGCCAGGTTTACCTCTCCCAGACTCTGCTCCTTCGCTGAGGAATGTAATATCTTGAAGGAGAAGACCTTTGGCCTGTAGCCTAATATTTCCCATTCTCTCAGCCAATTCCCTACAGGTTCAATGACTGTGTTGACAGGTCAAAATGGGGATGTGCAAAGTCCCTAGTGTGGAGATGGATGTTTCCTAAGGAACAAAAGCTTCAAGGGTACAGACTCTGGAAATTCCAGTTCAAAGGGCTGTGACTCAAAGTATCACAGTCCAATACTCCCAGGTCTGGTCATGGTGCTGGGGCCTGTATCAGTTTCCAGCATCTCCTCCTCCTGCTGCTGCTGGTCTTATTAATCTGGCCAGGCCTTCCACATCTGAACAGAATTCAGAGCCCAGACAGCTGCTCTGGATGGGGGTTGTGACATTTGCTTCTATGCAGTGTTCACTTGGGTGCCAACACTGTTTTGAAAAAGTGATACCCTGAAAATTAGCACCATGAGACTTGTCGGCAAACTATTGCTCTTTTAACGATGGCTGCAACTCCCCACTTCTGAAAACATTAATTCCACTAAGTTTAATTACAATTGAAATATTAAAAAGGAAACTTCACTAGTGATTTCCTAAAGTGTTTCAACTAAATTGCTTCGAGATTAGCATTACATGCAAGCAGCTAATAATTACAACTAATATTTAGCCACATGATTTCCTGACTTAGCAAGTCATAATATATAAAAGCAAGGTAAAATGTTCTTTTGGTCTGGCAGTTCCAGATAATTGCTTACCATTTAGCGCAGAGTTGTATGTTTTGATGAAATGCTGCCTTTTGTCTTCAGGCCAGTTCTTTCTTTCTTCTAAGTACTCTGTTATGTTCAAGTAGGCTTCATCAAGCCCCATGGGCATAAAGTGGGAATCATATTCAGCAAGTATTTCCCTAACCTTGGTAAATATAATTTTAAAAAATGTAAAGTTGTGCTGCTATAGCAAAAAACAAATTTTTAAAAAATCATTTGAAGTACCATGCATTCAGTCAATACCAACACTGTATCATTCATTCTTTTAAAATTCCATTATGATTGATCAATACTAGAAGAATTTTAAATCATAAATAATTTATTGACTTTCCAAATTTGTACTGCATATGGTTCACAGTTAGAGCAACCTCGCTAGAAATAAATGTAAAGTTATTTACTCAGATGTGTGAATGTAATTATTTTACTGTGTGTGAACCTCTTTTTAAGATGAGATTTATATACCAAAGATAAAGTGACAGATACTGGTTGATCTTTGCTACTTGCAAAATCAAAACATTTTTTCTTCAAATTTAAAGGAAGAAAATGGTTTCCTCACATTTAAAGGGAGAATAGGGGTATGTTAAGTAAGCATCCATTTCTTCTCAGAGTTTATATAGGTTGACAGAAAAGAATGCTAATCTCAAATGAGAATGCTATTCAATACAACATTATTAGGAGGTGCTAATTGAGGAAATAAATTTCCTTATCTTAAGGCTAGGTCTGTTAGAAGGAATTCATCCAATCATGAAGAGGGAATAAGTACCTTTCCTCCTCCTTCCCACCAAACTATAAGGTAAAGGGTAGGTAAAGGACCCCTGGATGGTTAAGTCCAGTCAACGGAGACTATGAGGTGTGGCGCTCATCTCACTTCAGGTCAAGGGAGCTGGTGTTTGTCCACAGACAGCTTTCCAGGTCATGTGGCCAGCATGACAAAACTGCTTCTGGTGCAATGGGACACGATGATGAGTGACAGAGAGCACAGAAACGCCATTTATCTTCCCGCCACAGCAGTACCTATTTATCTACTTGCACTGGTATGCTTTCGACCTTCAATGATAGAAGCTGGGACGGAGCAACGGGAGCTCACCACCATCATGTGGATTTGAACCTCTGGCCTTCCGATTGGCAAGCCCAAGAGGCTCAGTAGTTTAGATCACAGCGACATCCGCATGTGCCCCACCAAACCATTATGTTTATCAAACTATAAAGGCATTTTTAACACTTTACTTTTTCAGAACAAACTTAATAAATTAAAACATGAAGCTTAACAATCACCATTTGCAGTTCAAGGAACACGTGTAACAAAATAAAATCAGCAAGGCTGATATCCTAGCCATGTGTACTCAGAAGCAAGTCTCACTGAATTGAATGGGGCTTATTCCTGGGTAAGTGGGGTTAGGATTGCACTCTAAATCTATGTGCATTCTGCTGTGGGAAGAAATTACGTACCTCTTTACTTACTTCTTCATATTTCTTAAAGTTTAATGGCACTATAGTAAGATGTGGGCAGAGTTTCTTGGCAATAAACCCAGGCATGGCTGCACGTACCCCAAATCTTCTGGCATGATAATTTGAAGTGGACTTAAAAAGACAAGACATACTTTAAAATCATGCACTGAAGCCATTGCGGTCAGAATACAGTAACTAATTAGGTATGCTGGGTGGAATCTACACATATATTTAAAAAAAGCTGTGAAAATATATTTTTAAAAAATGTTTTGAAAAATTCATTGATTTTTGCATAGCTCACTTTCACCATCTAGTGTCACATTAATATACTGCACTTTACCACACATTTAAAACGTCTTATTTGCAGCTGTATAGCTGAGTCCCTGGGCAAATGTAGAATCACCAAAATCAGTGCAAAAGAAAAAAGATGGCCACTTGCAGCTGACCTGGAGATCTAACTAAGCATTTTTAGAAATATTCTGTTAGTATCTTAGGATCTGGCCTAGGTAAGTTCAACTCCATAAATGCAACAGTTTCAACCAGTAGTTCAATATAAGCTCAAAGGAGGCGAGTTTACCTACAGATACCAATATATTGAGCCAGTATGGGAAACCTCATTCCTGAGTGCCAAATGTGGTCCTCCATGCCGCTCTGTTTGGCTCTCAGACTACTCCCCAGGCCACACTCCTCACAGAATCTATTTTGCACCTTTAGTATTTTGGCCTGGATAAAATGTGCCCTTGAACATGCCTCTTGCTTGTTCAGCTGGAGGACTAACAGGAGCATGTGGCTTTGTATAGAAACTAGCCCACCATATAAAGGTAAAAGTGACATTTGTTGCTCTGCCCACTTTTGCTGCTGGCCCCACCCACAAATGTCTTGTGGCTTTTGGAAGGTTACCCAGAAAGATTTGTAGTACTCAGGCTGAAAAAGGGTTCCCCTGATGCAGTTAGACTGTTTGACTATGGCTATATACACACTCTTGTTTATTATGCATTCAGCGTACTCCCACCACCGGTTTGCCAAAATCTGCCAAAATCCACACCTATCCTGTATCTGTCTTTTCGTTCCTTAGGAAACACTGTGCTTTGATGTGTTTTCCCCCCAAACCAGCAGCAGTCCAAATTGAGAAAAAGAGTGACTTACCTAGCTATGTTTTAAGCCAGTATTATGTACACTGCCAGGTTCAAATCCCCACCCGCCATGAATCTCACTGGGTGTCCTTAGGCCAGTCACTATCTCTTGCCTAACTTACTCTACTGGGTTTTCATGAAAATAAATGGTGGTGAGAGAACCATGCATGATGCCTTAAACTTACTGAGGGAAAATGTGAGATTAAAATGTAATAAACAAACAAACATAGTTTTCTGAACTAACTTTTTAGCTTGAATATCTCTTTACCACAAGTTTAGAAACAAGCTACTTGGAAATATCGGGCGGTGTGGGGAGAGAATTGTAGCAAACGTTATATTCCACCTTACCAGCATACTCATTGACCCCACTGCTATGGGCTTGTCCCTCAATTCAGGATTGTCTCTCAGTTCAACAGCTGCATAAAAGGCATCCATGTCAATGTGTACAATGGTACAGCTAAGATCACGGCTCTGATCTAACTTCATTGCAAGCTTATCCATCTGCACATAAGTAAATATATACCATTAGATAGAATTAGATAAATTTTCTTGTGGCATACAATGATTCTTATCAATATAACACTCTAAAGGAAAGTAATATAATATACAGAGACAAATGGAAAAGATATTTCGGTAATCTAGCTGTGCGGGAAAACAGTATCTGATTTGGCCAAGACTATAAGAATAGCTTTGGCACTTTAGACGTTAACTATTTTAGGAGTGCTTTACAGCTTTACACACAAAGATAAACAATGTAAAGACATAATGGGCCTTGCTTCATGACCTCCCCATGCCACTACAAATCATTCAGTTTGCAATGATGTGGAATAAATGACATTACAGCTTCTAATCAATGTCCCAAGTCACTGAGGTTTGTCTTACGAAGCAACCACCACGTGGCTTCTATGCTACTTTTTGTTCGTTTATCGTGGCATGGGAAAATGGTGCACATACATATGGTAATTGTGGTACCAATCTTGCACTCTGTGTATGGGGAAAAGAAGGGCTCAGAGTAACTCATATGAAGCTCTAATATAAACTTAGTATGGCTATTTTATTTATTTAAGCAATTTATGTAATGCTTAACTACAATAGTCTCTAAGCAGTGTACAAGAAATACAGTACAGAACGGGGTGGTGGTGGTGGTTAAAACTTCATCTAAAATGCCTGCAGAAACAAAGAAGGCTGCAGTAGGTGGCAGAATTTCAACAGGAAGAGGACCTGTCTGACCTGAATGGGAAGGGAGTTCTACAACATTGGGCCCACAATACTACATGCATGGCTCCCTGTGAATATAAGCCATGCATCTGAATTAGGCCTTGGCGGTGTATTGATACAACATCCAGGACCAGTATGAGGGGCAGACCATGATGGTGGCTTCACCTTACGGTATATTGGGGGTGAAACCGACGCCGCTTCTGAGTCCCTCTGCTACCAGTGCCGCTTTCAACATTGGGCCGCTGGTAGCAGAGGGACTCAGGAGCAGTGGTGGTTTTACCCGCGATCTTTAAACAGCTCCCAAACACCCAGCTGAGCGAGCCCCAATGCCTCAAGTGCAAGCTGGAGAGGTATGGGGCTTGCCCAGGTGGGGGGTGGGAGCCTTCCTGCCCCCCAAAAGAACCTTACAAAGAAGCTCCGAGGTCCTGCGGGTGAGCAGCAGGGACCCTGGGGCTTGCTCAGCTAAGGGGCGGGAACCCAAATCACTTTGGGTGATTGGAAGATTTATACATAAATCTACTTGTTGATAATATACCTTATAACATATATTTAAAAACCAACAATATGAATATGAGCATAAGATCTTGAATATAATCACAGGTACGGAATAGCTTTTGAAGTAAGGAGGAACAATAATATAAATTTCTCCCACAGTTTTTCTATTCTGTTTTCCTTTTAAACTACCAAATCATTATATTAAATCCAATTCCAAAGTGCTCCCAGAATTGCATAATAAATAAAATTAAAGAACCTAAATTTGAATCTATTTTTTCTGTATCTAAACCACTGGTATTTACAGATTTTTTTCCTCAGTCATAATGGTCAAGATTGCTGGGAAGGTATGCACTGACCTCACTCCTCACTCCCACCATGACAAGAATAGAAATTCAACAATAGCTTCTGAGAGCATTAAAGCTGAAGGTTAGCAGACTTGAAAGACGAGTTTAGGCACTTCAGAAGTATGCACATTGAGTTTGGTCAAGAGATTGCTTCACATATCATTCAGGTTTATCAAACAAGCTTTTATTTATTTAAGTGGTAATACTTTGTCAAAAGTAATCTTAACTTCATGTTTACATAAGAGGCTAATACCATGGGTTGCCTAAAAATACTTTCCTCTCCTAAATGAATCAAGTTTATACATATTACCTTTATCTGTGCTTTCATAAGCTGTTGGTCGGTTACTTTACTTTTTAATTTCAGGATTTTTTCAATTCGCTCATTAACTTGTTGATCCTTCTTCAGCTCATTTTCATAAAATTTAGAACCCTGCAAAATAGATTTAAATTATTTAATATCCATCATTAGCCTTATCTAGTCTAGTGCAGTTTGATATAATTCTTACATAATTATTTTTAAGTTATAGAGAACATTAAAAACACATTTTAAAAATTTAGTCAGCCCCAGTATTTGTTACGCCAGCTTTCAGGATGCCAGACATCACAGCAGTTAGCAGCAAATGAAGGTGGAAGTGGAGTCACTCCATAAAAATTATATGAAGATACACAGAGCACCAGCAAAAGACGCTGCCTGAATATTAATTTGCACGCACATTTTGTTTATGTGATGATGCATTATTTTTGATAAGCCACTGAGCAACATGGTAAAATGTTATAAATATTGCACTAGGCTAGCATAATGTTACCAAACACAACATTTCATAGGCATTGCAACATTACATCTGTGTTACATGCACAATATTCAAAATTTGCACAGAAGGCAGCAATTTTAAAAAGCAATCAATTATTTGGCATCTCACACTGATTAGAAATAATAATTCAGCTTCATTTTAATTTACAGCGTGCCTAAAATTTGATAAGCACTGCACAGAGATTAAAGATGAGTCAGTACTTGCCTGCAGACATATTCTCTTAACACAGATACACATCCCCCCAAAAAATGGATGTGGAGGATACCTTGCCTTCTTCACTAAACAATAAAGCATGCTAGTAAAAACCCTACAGTTTTTATTGAATGTAATCAATACCTGTGAATAGCTAAAGCATTTGTGAGAGTTTATACAAACAAACCTTGGAAGCTTCCATTATGATTTTGTTGATCTTCTCCTTATCCAGCCCCTGCATTCCAGCTTTGTTATCATTGAGGCCCAGTCTAAGCAGAAGTCCCTCTCTGGAAGAAGCATTGCCTTTATCTGCATTTTCCATTGCACAACCAACTGAACAGATTCTCAGTTCTTGCCCTGAAAAAAACAAACTGCATAATTTTGCTAGATGTACTACAGTGGTACCTCAGGTTACATACACTTCAGGTTACATATGCTTCAGGTTACATACGCTTCAGGTTACAGACTCCGCTAACCCAGAAATACTACCTCGGTTTAAGAACTTTGCTTCAGGATGAGAACAGAAATCGTGCAGCGGTGGCGCAGCGACAGCAGGAGTGGTGCATCAGATTAAGAACAGTTTCAGGTTAAGAACGGACCTCCAGAACAAATTAAGTACTTAACCCGAGGTACCACTGTACTGACATTATCACATCATAATGCTACAGTACAAGAGAGGGGAACCTTTTTATGTGGCCCGTGGATGCCCTCCCTGTTGGTTGTGGCAACTCCTCTGCTACCGTGGCAGTGTCAGCAGAGCTATCAGTGCTCTGAAGTCTGGCCCTTTCTTCCCTACTATTCAGCTGTGGTGGTAACATCAGGAGACAACAGCCTCGCTACAAAGAATTGTGGGTGTGAAATACAGTAGTGACTACTGCTGCTCTATGAATGCTCAAAAGTGTACTCAGTGCTGTAATGGTTCGGTTCCACAGCACACATTAGGGGCTGGACTCCTGCTCATTCCATTTGCCAGCCCCCTGCTGTTCTCCTATTCTCCTAAAGTTTCCCCTTCCCACTCCATGCAACCACCAAGCTTGCTTTTCAACTTCCCAGTTCCATATCTGAAGCCACTTCTCTTCTATTCTGCAGCCCTGCTTTGCACTCCTTTTCACCTTCAGCCCCCATCTTCATGCTTCCCCACTCCTTTTGTGCAATCCCCTGCACACAAACCACCCCGTGGTAACCTCCTACAACATCCTCCTGTCACTCAATGCAGCTACTAAGCACCCTTTTCACCTTCTACCCAATTATGAAGCAGAAGAAGTGTGTCTCGTATCTCAGGGTGCTGCCAAGATTTCCCTTTACAGTATATAATGTAAATAACTGTACTTCATATTATTATAGATTTATTTTACTTTTTGAATGGATTGTACACACCCTTAGAACCATAGCCCAAAAGATAAAAATAAAAATAGGAAAAATAAGTCAATTGCATTGGAAGATTTTCAGTACATGAATTTCGATCTGCTAAATTTCTATGGTAACAACATAGAGCACAGGAGTATTTTCTATACTACCAAAGTTGGTAAAGTTCAGTTATAATTATGTTACTTAAGAATGTTTATACTAAATGTCTATCCTTTCAAATTCTTCATTCTACTTAATTCTAATTCTTTGACTTTTCTTCAAGTGGAGTACTAATCTTTATTTTATAAAGAGGTATCCTTAAAGCAGATTTTTAGCTAACTATTAAAGTGAAACTCAATTCAGCAAAAGGCATTCACCAAAGCTTAAGGATCATCAAACCACCTCCACCCATATCTGGGCTCCTAAATACAAGAATCCTAGAGAGGCACTGTTTGTATCCACTCATAAAATCCTTTGGAACAATCAGGAGCATTCTTTCCACTCAGTAGAGCTTTTGAAATTTTTAAGAGCCCTGGTGGAACACAAGATTCTTGTCAGTTTCAAGAATAGTAATAATGTCAAGGAGAAAGTGTGATTAGCTTGCATGTGCTCAGGAGCTTAGGATGTTTGGTTTGCCTTCGGCTCTTTCAGATGAATGGCTAAAACTACAGCATTGTTATAGCCTTCATTTAGCAATGAGAGCAAGCGTAAGCATCTTAAGCACAGCTCTTGTAATGCACAATATATTATAGTGTACAACTGAATATTTTTAACCATAGACTAGCAAAACTGACGTTCTAGGCATAATTTCCTTCAAATGGTTGTAGTTCAGAGTGATCTTTTGATAGCATTAATCTAGGCTAGCATTTTTCAATTATGACAGGTTATTCAGATTATTTTGGTTCCATCAGAGCTGACAAGAACTTGAATACAAATCCTTTAGGCTTCCCTTGCACCCACACAAAATGCAGGCTAACGTACCATTTGGCATATACAAATGTGGATGGAGAAAATCTTAGCTTGAAGCTATAGAGAAAGCAAGGCTTAAAATGCTTTAGAAATAAGATTATGTTGAAGCATCAACAAATAGGGCAACTGTAATTTATGAGACAATGAAACGTGCCAAAATGTAATATAGGTTTTTCATTTGTTTTCTAAATGGTAGTAACATCCATAGACAATGGCCTGTATACCTCCTCTTCTCCTTAAGCTATAAAAGTATCCAAAGTATCTGCATAGTTTGAATTTGTGAAGTCATGGAACTGAAAGCCCTTTACCACTGAGCTACTGCAGCCCAGCCAGTAGCTTTGTGCCACAGAAGTTAATGGAGAGTTTATTTTACACCCATCAATTTAATGGGAACTATTCATTCTTACTGTAAAAACAAAATACTGTAGACCTGATGTGAGGGACATTGAGAAGGAAAGAAACTGAAAGAGGGAGGAATGTAAGAGCTACACTACCCCTTTCCCAGTAGCCCCTCCAATATACTTGCTCTTCCTGGTCATCATAATTTCAGACACCTCAGTACCATGTATAGGATGTGGAGGGAACAGAGAAAGCCCTCTAAGTACACACCTTCAAGATAAGCAATTATGTAATTTGCTCAGTTAATTGTCAAGGGTAAAATTGTAAATCCAACCTGTAATTAGCTATATACCCAGGACAGTGTTGCAAATTACTATTACTGTGGGAAACACACCTTTGTTTTCAGCAGCAAAGATGCCAAATGGTTGGACTAGATGGCCCCTGTAGTCTCTTTCCAACTCAACAATTCTATTATTTCCATCTACATTTGCCTATAAATGGTCATGTAGGTATTTCTGGAAACCTGGCCCAATCAAACTGTGCAAGGCTATTTTTATTTATTTATCTTATCTTATTTTATTTATTAATAGAGATTAATTTGCCTAGATCAGAAGCTGTTGGGTATCAGGCCTAGGCTACCACCTATACACGGAAAGCTTCTACAGTTAGAAGCAGAGGGTGAACAGTAATCCTCCCACAACTACAAATCTCTTGCCCATCACCCATTACAATAATCAAGCTGGATGTGTGTCACAATACAGTGGTACCTTGGTTTACAAACTTAATCCGTTCCGGAAGTCCGTTCTTAAACCAAAACTTTCTTAAACCAAGGCGTGCTTTCCCATAGCAACAGGGGACTCAATTTACAAATGGAACACACTCAACATGTTCTGCTTCCAAGGCAAAGTTCACAAACCAAAACACCTACTTCCGGGTTTGTAGCGTTCTTAATCCAAGTTGTTCATAAACTAATTTGTTCTTAAACCAAGGTACCACTGCAGTGCTAAAGGGGAAATTATCCCCACAGCTCTTCATCTGTAAGCAGCCAAAGGAAAGGGAAAGGGAACCCTGTCCGGTCGCAGACGACTCTGGGGTTGCAGCACTCATCTCGCTTTATTGGCCGAGGGAGCCGGCATACAGCTTCCGGGTCATGTGGCCAGCATGACTAAGCTGCTTCTGGCGAACCAGAGCAGCGCACAGAAACGGCGTTCCTTACCTTCCTACCTTTACCTCCTACCTTATCTACTTGCACTTTGACGTGCTTTCGAACTGCTAGGTGGGCAGGAGCAGGGACTGAGCAACGGGAGCTCACCCCGTGGTGGGAATTCAAACCGCCGACCTTCTGATCAGCAAGCCCTAGGCTCTGTCGTTTAGGCCAAAGCGCCACCTGCGTCCCATAAGCAGCCAAAGGTTTGTTTAAAAATAAATAGCAAATTAATTTACATTGGGAATTCAGGTGTCAGGTTACATACTGCAACAGGAAACATATTCCCTAAAAGTTGCTTTTCCAAACTCTCCAAAGTAGCAATTTAGCAACATTTCTAGGCAAAACATTATTCCTGGTTTGTTGGCTTTGCACTGGAAATTATCCTAAGATTTCTAACAAGGCAAAGGGCAGCAAAAGGGGAACAATTGTTCTTCACTTCCTTATGGCAACTCTTCTAAAATACCTTGTCATTAATACTATTTTCACAAGGCAGGCAATTCTTCCTTTCCTATTTCTTACAGCCAATTTCTCACATTCTTATCTATTTCTACTCTCCTCTGAACTGTCGCCAGTTTGTCTGCATCCTCCTTAGGTGTGGCTATCAACACAAGACAAAATCGTTCCAGCAAAAGCATGATCAAAGCCAAGCAGAAGATGGTTACTCCCTAAGTGGTGGATGCTGTGTTTCTATTAATGCAACTCAAAACAGTATTTTTTGTCTAAAACAATAGATCAGGCTATTAGTTTGCTATGTTTTTTTTTAAACTGTCATTTAAAAATAGGCTTGATATAATTTCAAATCTTCATCCACCCTAGATCAAGCTTCATAAATAATTCCCAAAATTCCTATTTTCTGCAACAAGATCCCTGCCACCAGATCTTCCTGTTTCTTTAAGTAATACTGTTTCCTCTTCTACAAAGACTTGTTCTAATGCAGTCTTGCAAAGAAGCCCACAAAAGTTAATAGCCTACAAACAAATTTACCAGCCCTCTTATCCACAGGATAGTTAAAAATAAAATAAAAAGAACTTCTATCAGAGAGGTCTTGCACCAGCCTATTTAGTTCCTGTGTTAGATGTGCATAAAGGGGCTTTCCTGCTCCATGGCTATTATGGAGACCAAATAAATATATCACGATTCTACCAGGTCACTTACTCATCTGCATGGAATTTCTGCAGCAGGATTCTTGGCAAGGCTATTCATTATCTTTAATACCAGAGGTAGTTTGTCTCTGAATACTAGTTGTTGGTATAAATAGGGGAGAACTGTAACATTTTTCTGCAATAGTGGGCTTCCTACAGGCATCTGGCTGGCCACTGTGAGAACAAAATGCTGCGCTAGATAGGCTATTGATTTGACACAGCAGCTACCAGGTTGAGTTGCTGAAAACCTTGGAGCTACCACAGAGCCTTTTTGGAAGTGGCATCTGAGTCTCAAAACAAATTCTGCAAAGATGCCTCTCCTTTACAGCCTTTTTGGTAACAGGGGAAGATTTTCTGAGGTTTTTAAGCAGTTTTTTAACACCATACTGCAAACTATTTTATGCTTTTATTAGGAAGTTATTTTATTGTTTTGTTTTTTAAATGTATTTATTAAATTTTCAGATATACATTTTCCATCATTAAATACACAACAGTACATCCAATGACTTCCCTTCTTCTCTTTCCATGGTTCCTTGTACAGTGGTACCTCTGGTTACAAACTTAATTCGTTCTGGAGGTCCATTCTTAAACTGAAACCGTTCTTATCCTGAGGCGTGCTTTCGCTAATGGAGCCTCCTGCTGCACGTGCACCTCCAGCGCATGATTTCTGTTTGCAGCCTGGGGCAAAGTTCGCAACCAGGAGCAGCTACTTCCAGGTTAGTGGCACTCGTAACCTGAAGCGTTCGTAACCAGAGGTACCACTATACTTCCAAAAGTAACTGCATAGTCTATTTCCTCCATCTAGTTCCCCCCTTCAGCAATGGTGGAAGCCTCTCGGGCACCTGGGGCAGTGCGCCCAGGGGCAGGGCGAACTGCCTATAGGGATGGGGGGCGCGGCGCCCTTAGGGAGGGACGGGACAGGTCCCGCCACAGGGCCTCAGCCGCCCTAAAGCTGGGGGGGGGGGATAGTGGGAGGACAGTGTGGAGCCTATGGGCGCCGGAGGTGTGTGGCTCTAGTGCGCTGCAGGCCCCATAGTGAGTGCCGCCTGCCATTTTGTCACCCCCCTCAGTGGGGACACCCAGGGCAGATCACACCTACTGCACCCCCCTTGCTACACCCCTGCCCTCCTTTCCTTTATATCTTAATCTACATTATACTGTTGAATGTAGATTAAGATATAATGGGAAATGGGAAAACAGCTGGAGGAAATCAAATATACAGGTAGTTATTTTGGGGCAGGGGGTTGCTGCCTTTTATTGTTGATTACTAAGCTTTAATTACTACTGCATACGGTCTTGTGATTCTAGTATGTTTGCTGTCAGCCACCCCATGCGTGTTTATCGATAGGTGGCTATAATAAGTCTAATAAACAACTTCGTTTCACTGGCTACCTGTGAAGAGGGCAGCGTATACCGCAAGATGCATTTTAGTTCCTTAAGGCTGGATGATTTTGCACACTCCCCCCAAAATGCGAAATTGCTTTTCCCTGCTCTAGCCTAGTCCAAAACCAAGCACATTTCTCATCCCCCCACAATTAGCAGCGCCACAAAATGTCATGGTAAAATAAATAAAAATCTGAAATCGGCTTCTGCCACTTGGGAACGAACCATGGCAACAGAGGCGTCTCTGCCTGTCTCTTACGGAGCGAGCCTGCTGTGCATGTTTCCTAACTATTTCTCCCACGTAGCTATTGCAAAGGACTGCAGTTTCCCTTTCCTTCGGTTTAAGCGGTTATGCACACACTACATATGCACGGCTGCCCGGAGCCACTAAAAACCCCTATATGTGTTTATCTGCCTATATGTGGCTACACAGGCAGCTGCCCCATTGCTGAGAAGGAACTCCTTCGCTTCCCTTCCCATATTTGTTTCTAAACGAGGTGTGGAGAGAAAAGTTCCCTTTCAGGGGAGGCGAGAAGAGCAATATAGCAGGCGAAGGGAAAGCAAAGCTCAGGTAGACACACCTCAGTCTCTCACCAGCCCCCGCTTCCGCAACAATTAAGCCGCGCCAAGATGGCGACCACCCGAGGCGTTAGAAAAGAGAACAGACGACGGCCGGCGTCTTGAGAATCCCGCGCCCAAGAACTACAGCACCCAAGAAGCCCCGAGGAACGCGACGACTCGCTGGTTCCACCGACCCCGCCCCGTTTCCCAGAGGGCAGCGCGCCGCCAGAAAGCAACCCCTCAGCGGACTACACCTCCCAGCATGCCGTTACCCATAAGCCTTCGCTGCCAGGGCGGGTAGGGCTTGGCGAATTATAGTGGCTGAGAGCGAGTTTCTCGAGTAAGATGGCGGCGGGAGCGGTGGCGGCGGCAGCAGCAGTGTCGCTTTGAGGAAAGAGACGAGAGAGACAGAGAGAGAGAGAGGCGAGCGCTCGCTCCGCGGCGTGGCTGCTTCAGATGGTCGGCACTATCTGCCAGCGTGCGCTGAGCGGGGTTGGGGGTTAAGTCGGGCGCTGCGGTCCCGGCGTCGGCCAGAAGGGGACAGGCAGAAGGGCTGGGGCGGCGTCGGCGACAGCAGCAGCAGCGAGAGCAGCGGCGAGAGCAACAGCGGAGCCTCGCGGAGAGAGGCGCCAGGCAGGTAGAGCGAGCTCCCGCGGCGGCCTCGTCGCTTCGCTGCCCGCTGGCAACGGCTGTGAGGGAGGCGCCTCCATGTCGGACAACCAAAGCTGGAATTCCTCGGGCTCCGAAGAGGATCCCGAGACCGAGTCCGGGCCGCCTGTTGAGCTCTGCGGAGTCCTCAGCAAGGTAAGGAGGTCCCTTCCTCTCGCCGCCACGGAGCGGTCGTGCTCGGCTTGGCTTTTCACCTGAGCTCCCCCCCCCCTTCGTCTCCTTCGTGGTCGACGGGGGACATGCGGGGGGCGCCCCCTGCGGTAGGGTATCCGGTTGTGGGAGCCTGGCGCCGAGTCCCCCCTCTCCCCGCAATAACTGGCCACCTCGCCTGGTAGGGTGGCGGCCTAGGAGCCTCCTGCCCTCTTCCCCAGCTTAGAGGGAGGTCTCCGCACATCTCCTTCCCCGCCTCCCACAGGCTGTTGTGGCTTCTGTTTTTGTTATTATTCCGGTTTGGTGGTGGTGGTGTGTTAAAAAAAGGCTTCACCTCCGCAGTCTTGGAAACCATTTATCCGGGTAGAGGGGCGGATTGCTTAGTTTCAGAGCGAAGCCTTCGCCCTTTCTAGGTGGAAAATGTCTGTGAATGTCACTTTCTCTATTCCCCAGGAGTCCACCCGCCGCTGCCACCTTTCCTTGATGATCAAAGTATGAGTCTTGGTTTGAGGAAGGGTGACTTGGTAAAATAATATTCGTGCTCATTGGAGTGGGACTTTTATTATTTAATTTCTCTCTCTGTGTGTGTGTGTGTGTGTGTGTGCATGTGATGCAGCGGAGAAGGAAAAAAGATCAATCTGTTCCATCAGGTTCTTCTCAAGAGCCTGGTAATCCTGACTAGATTTCACTTGTAGCCACAGCTTGGCTGAGTAATGCTGCCGAGGCAGCCTGTATGGGGAATCGCTCAGGGCGCTTCCACTCGTTGATTCTGCACGACTGGAAAAGCTAACTTCTTGGGCCTGCGAATCGAAACCTTACACGGTTTTCTCCCTCTTTTAAAAAAACGAAGGAAACAAAATCATGTGATATGCATGAACACATAACGCACAATTGTACCACAGAGAAGAGTGGTGTGACCTTTGCTCTAAACAGTGCAGTAAAATAGACTGACTGGAGGGACAGTATAGGGAGAAAGTACAGGAGAAAGCAGCTGTATACACAACTGGAGGACTTTAAGGCTTCAGTCCCTGTATTATTTCTAATTTTTAGCGTGAATCCTTTGCAGTTTTGCTATTTAGAAATTGCAAAGGAGTCATTATTCAGACAGAAAGCTAAGTTTTTAAGCAAGACATCAAGTTTTAGCAATATGATTAAGCCCTTCAGAAACTGAATGGTAATTTTGCTTTTTGAAGCAGTTTCACTTGCACTATGCTTTTGACCCTGTTTTCTGTACTGAAGCAAGCAGTGAAAGCACAAGCTGTGAGATGCTCGAGTTGGAAAACGTTATTGCTGAAAAAGCTTTTGCAGTCCAGTTAGTTTTCACGTATTTATAGGGAAACTAAACATAAATTCCCAAGTATTGTCATTTCTGAATTAGAAGGTAGATAAAGGTAGAGGGTAAAGGGACCCCTGACCATTAGGTCCATTCATGACTGACTCAGGGGTTGCGGCGCTCATCTCGCTTTACTGACCAAGGGAGCTGGCGTACAGCTTCCGGGTCACGTGGCCAGCATGACTAAGCCACTTCTGGCGAACCAGAGCAGCGCACAGAAACGCCGTTTACCTTCCCACCGGAGCGGTACCTATTTATCTACTTGCACTTTGACGTGCTTTCGAACTGCTAGGTTGGCAAGAGCAGGGACCGAGCAACGGGAGCTCACACCGTCGTGGGGATTCGAACCGCCGACCTTCTGATTGGCAAGTCCTAGGCTCTGTGGTTTAACCCACAGCACCATCCGCGTCCCGGTAGAAGGTAGATAAAGTGCTGCAAATGGGGACTCTGGATCAGGTAACAAGAATATGACACATGGCATGCTGTCCAGATCTCAGAGATTGGAAACTCATGCAGCCCTTTAGCCCAATATGACTTTAGATGATAGTTAGCTGCCAGAAGGAATTTAGGCATCTTTGTTACAGCAAAGATATGAAGCAACTCTCTGCCATTTTTCAGTAGGAATGGAGACTCCTGGGGTTGAGTCTAGTGCAGCTTTCTTCAAAACTGACTATTCCTGCTGGCTTTAGCTAAATGGCCTGATTTTTGCTCTAAAGCATAAGCACAGAATGCTCACCTGCACTCATCTTTGAACAGAATTGTAATGCTCACAACCAGTGTGGATTTAGACTGTTGCCAGGTGCAGGTACTGACGGTTGTGTACAGTATGTAATGTGGCAATTATTCAACATCCTTGACAACTTTCTTTTCTTGTCAACTGTTTAGTTTTAGTTTTTGTTTTAAACTCAATCTGCAACTTAATGCAGCTTTTATTATTAGCCAATGTACAATTTATACCAACATTATTTCAGCTCCTTGTCATCATGTGACTTCCAAATGTTAAATCTCAAGGTTGAAATGTATGTTGCTTTTCAGGCTGCCCACCCCTGATGTTAGCCAGGATGCCTTTCCTGTTCTCATCTATACAGGAATAAATGAAAGGAAATCTAAATTGCAAAATGTCTCTAACCTGTTGCATATTAAAAAGCTGAACTACATTATTGCATAGTTTTTAGAACTTTCTTTGTGATTTGTGTCTTCATTAATTAAATGAAATAAATTGAAATTAGTAGATTTTCAAGGATTTAAAAAGCAAGAATACAGTCTTCTGCTAAATATAAGGTACAGGAACAAAAAAAACACCATTTGTTTTCTTATAGAATGCCCACTTGAATGGCAACTTATGCAAGTGCATATTATGCATGCACATATATTATCGCTGTAGAATTCTATACAAAGAATAATTTTCTGTATGTTAGCTTGTCAAACAGCTAAGCTTGCTTCTATCTTTAGTACAATCTTTTTCTCTTTATACATTTCTAATTTAAGACTTCCTATATATTTTAACTTATAGAATGAAACTCATTGTTGTGGAATGGCTTTTGATCTAAGAGATGTCCATTAACATAAGGGAATGGGAGATTGTTTTTGCCAATCCCCTCCTCCTGCTGCAGCCCCTGAACCTCGCAAAAATGAGTTCCAGAAGTTTGGAGGACCCTTCAGAAGAATGTGGAAGATGACATGAAAAGTTCAGGGGACTGCAGCTGGAAGAACTTGCAAAAATTTCTTTCACTCTTGATCAAATGCCGCTCTACAAGGTTATTGCCCATTGCATATATATTTTAAGATCTGGATTATATTATTAAGATACAAGTAGCATTAAAAGTGAAATCCTCAGTTCAGTAATTCTACTGAACATTAATTAAAACTAGATTGTTTGATGATCCATTGAGGAAGGGTTAACCAGTGAGTGTTCTATTATGATCTTACTTATCAGTGGTGGAAACTTCATTGCTATTTAAGTTACTTTTATTTAATATTTTAATATTATGTTTACTTAGTTACCTGAAGTAACTTGAAGTAACTAATTCTCTTTGGGTTAGTCCTAGTATTTTGTTACAAGTTAAGAATAATTTGAAGAGTTCCAGCTCAGTTGGTAGAGCATGAGAGACTTAATCTCAGGGTCATGGGTTCAAGTCCCAAGGGCAAAAGATTCCTGCATTGCAGGGGTTTGGACTAGGTGACCCTCGTGGTCCTTCCAACTCAACAATTCTGTGATTCTAACCAGGGCATCTTTACATTTTGATGAATTTAATCTGGGACAGTGGTATGGATTTTCTGGAAAAGTTTGAGTGGAAATATTGTTTACCCTATATCAGCTTGTTAGCATGCTAATTTAGCATGCTTAGATTGTATAGTTGGTTCAGTGTCTAGGGGATAGTAGTCTGAAAAGGTTAGTTGCAACTTTGAAATTGCCTGTTTTGATACTGTATCCATTCATGATGTTGCAAATAAAATTTAGGTAACAATGTACTTTTAAAACAAAATTAACTGCAGAAAAGGGTGATACCAAACAGTAGGCATACTACAAGTAGACCTACTGAAAACAATGAAAACATTTATCTCAGTTAGTCAACTCTGACTTGAATGCCACCAATTGTAGTGGCAAATCTGCTGTCTCACTCACATCATTACTATCTGCAAGCATCTGTCTATATAAAAAGTGTAATTCATGTTATGCTGCAGTAAATTCACTGATCAATTACTGTATTTTTCCGTGCATAAGACTAGGTTTTTTCCCTAAAAAATAATGTCAAAAATTAGGGAACATGTTTTACACGGATACATCTCCCCCTACTTTCTCAAATCTGAATCCCCTGAAATAGGGGATTCCGTCTTATAGACGGAAAAATACAGTAAATAACTTTTCATCTTAGTTTCAAGACTCCTCATACTGGTAGGGAATGAGTTCATTTATTTGGGAAAGAGTAAGTTATTTTCTCTTCACTTTTGCCATGCAAATGTATAGGATGATATCTGGTCATACTTGGAATAGACGCATCAAAATCAATGGACTTGGGTAATTTAAATTGATTGGTTTCAATGAGTCTATTCATGAGTATGACTAACACTGGCTATTACCTATAATCTTGGGTCCATCACATGACCTGTGAAAATTGTGGTGATGATGTCTGTTTTCAGCAGTAAGTAGCCATGGTTCATTAGAAAATCTCCAAAATTCCTAAATTGACTCTTAAACTGACACCACCTTCCTCTGTAACGACTGTACACCCACATAATCTATTCCAGATGATTGGGAGAGGAAATTTATTCCACCATCAGTGTCCATTCTGCCAGTAGATGAATACCATTGAATTTTATTCATAATAAATTGGTGACTTATTAGGGCTATCTCAGATGTCACAAAGTAATGAAAAATCAAAACTCTCCTCAATACTTTGTGACACTTTAGATGATTCTAATAATTGCATTGGCCCACTGATAGGGGTTCCTTGCAAATATGCCTAAATCTTGGTTGCTCTTTGTACCTGTTCTTGCTTGACTGCAGATGGCAAGAATTGAACTCTGTATTCCAAGAACTGCACTATGGCTTTGTCTATTCATGTTGTTTTCTATGCTGTGATGAATAGTTCTGTTTGCCTTTTGAGCAGTGAAATGTGTGGAACTGATTATTGTATTATTGGAAATAAATCCTGGTGGCTTTTCTCAATTATAATGTTTACTTAAGTTAAAAGAAATGAAAACTTTTTTTTAACTAAGAAATGAATACTTTTTTATTTCGAGTGTATGTATAAAACTTTGTATTTGTTTCTAATGATTAATGTATTGTACTTGCCAATTTGAATTGTTTAAAAATGCAACTATACAGGCACAAAGGCATGCTTCTGTAATTAACAGTTTCATTCACTATGACAATCCTATGAGGACACAATGGCCTGGTTCAGAAATCATGGTAAGACAAACTATGACTTAACCAGGATTGTGTGGGATTCCAAAGAGAAACTTGTGGTCACATTGCTCCTTTCCTGGCTTTATTCCAATGCTAGGTCAAGGTTTTACTTCAAAATGATTTCTGAAACTCCGCCTTTTTATAAAACAAAAGAAGAACCCTTGTTAGCTGGAAAAACTCAAGGCATTGAGTGTTGCCCAGGCCCTTAAAACTGACTGCTAGTGGTCCCTAAGAATTCTGACAGTACCCCATACCTAAATAGGACTGCCTATTGTTGATCTAAAATATTTTCCTCAGCTTGCTGTCAATTAACTTGAACTCAATTAACTTGCAGTCCTCTGGTACTTAACTTGAATTAGCTGTTGAATTCTCAGAGTTCTGCTGTCTCATTTGGGTGTCTGCTTAGAATGCACAAAACTGGTTGCTTACTTCAGTTCAGTCTCTTTGGTTCAAAAATTGAAGTGCTAACCCATGAAGCTTATATGTGACTATTTGTGCTTGATTATTCTTCATTAATTTAACATAAAAGTTGGAGTTCATTGTTTGACCTCTGAAAAGGGCCTCTAAGGTTCAGTGTTGAACCAGTGAAATAGTTTATAGAACTTTATATTTATTTTGGCAGGCATTAATCTGGTTAGTTTTTATGTACGTTTTATCTACTGCTGTGTTTATGTTTTAGTATTCAATTGGCTTTTAACATTATGTTTCTTAAATTGTGCTTAGTTTAATTGTTAGCTGCCTTCGGCATCTGTTGGACAGAAAAGCAGATTGTTTAAATAAAATATTTCTTATAGAACTAAAACCTAGGGATATCAAGCACATAGGAATGAATTGGCAGTTTTAAAAGCCAGGAAGATTTTTGGTCAGCTTTTCCCCATACCCCACTACTGTATGCCAGGTATTTTAGCACTCAAGCAGCTAGTATCTGTAGATTCCTATTTTGATACAAGTATTACCTGCAGCAAAATGTTGCAGTATACTCAGCTCCTGTTCTTTTTAGTCTTCTTTAGGCAGGGTTCAGGAGGATGGGAAAGAATGAACCCTCTTTCTTTCTGATCCATCTTTGAGGCAGTATCTACTGTACTAAAGAATTGGGTCGCAGGTAGTAGAAAAAGATAAATAAAAGCATTTATTTCATTCCATTTATGAATTGCTTCCTGTGAAACAGCTCAAAGCAATCTAACATTAAAAAACACAGGCATTTTTAGCTATTAAGCTTGGATGAGAATTCTGGAGAGTAGTAAATGGAAAAATCAACTTTATTCATTTTCTTTTCACCTCAAACATCACTGTGTAGACTAGGAAATAAAGGGCTTATTATTTTTTTGAAGAACACATCACAACACCTGCTTCCAGAATGCTTTTTCTAAGCTGATAGGTATTTGAGCTGGCTAATTACCTCCCTACCCCCATTGTAAACACACCCCATGCCAAACTAGCACCTCAACAGCTTTCTGTCGGGAAGCTAACAGATGCTTGTCAGGTTTTGGATGTGGAAAAAAACTTAACTTACAGATGAATATATTTATATACATGCAGGGAGCCCCCAAGAAAAAGTAGACAGCTCTGTCTTATTTTGAGGTAGTGTTATTCCACCTCACCTCGTTCCCAGTGGAAACCAGTGCTGGCAGTTTCACCAGCAATATCCCTTCCCTAAGTCATTTCAGGAAATCATTAGTACTCATCATCCTGTGGGCCATACTCAAATTTGGTACTCAACCCTTGCAGAGGTTACAGATCGCCTGAAGCTAAAATCTGATAAAGTCTGATGAAGCTAGTGAATCCTTCTGTACTTATGATTGATTGTATGAATCTGTTTTCATAGACGTTAATGCAGTATTACCAACAGTATTTATTTTAGGAACCAAAATCCATTGCACAATGCTGATGGGGTGTTAATGCCAAATATTAAATGTATATTCAAATGTTATTTTTATATACTTTTGTTTATTGTGGAGCTTTGTATTAAATGTTCCTTTCAAGCACATGGAGATCACATAGTGATCTACTCATTGAGCTTTCTACCCAGGTGAAATACGATAGCTCTTCTGAATAAACTACCGTATGTGCATCAGTGTACATTTTAGTTATATGTACTGTTTTATTGTGCTACTCTCATTTCACAGTGATGACTTTTTTGACAAAGAGATGAGATAGTAAGGAGACTAATATATGTGGGGGGGGGAATAGTTAAGTCTAGGCTAGCGAACATAAACATTTAAAATCTGTGTCCAGTTTTTGTTTCTGAGCCTGCAACATATTTATTCTGTACAATCAGTTTCTTCATGATGAGGACTGTAGACTAGCCTCTTCTTAAAAGGCAGCCCAGATTTACAGGAATACAAACCATGTATTTCAGTCTAGAGCTTATAGTTGGTGATAGGATATAACCACCTAATGTTTATTGTGAATTGTGGCAGATCTGCCACTTCTGAAATGGTATTGTTATGATTGTCCCTACTACATCTGACCTTGTTTATTTTGAACACTTATTTTCTAAGGAATTGGCATTTCATTTTCAGATTGTCTGCATCAGAACCATTTTTTACTCTGTGTTGTAACTTTTGATTAAAGCACTATACATTAGCATATAAATTGTAACAGTTCATTTATTTTTATGGGGGAAATTTTTAAAACAAGATTTGGAAAAACTATGGGTGGTGTTTGATGTTAGTCATACTTGGAGTATGTATAGCTATTGAAGTAAATGAATTTAAGTAACTTTGATTTCGCTGGGTCTATTTTCTGAGTATGACTTGGTTGGGTTTCACTCGTAAGAAAATTATGCACAAATGGTATGGAGCTTTGTTTGATTAAAAAATGTATGTGTTTGTTTTCTTTAGTGGACCAACTACATCCATGGGTGGCAGGACCGGTGGGTGGTCTTGAAGAACAATACTCTAAGTTACTACAAGTCTGAAGATGAAACTGAGTATGGCTGCAGAGGCTCAATCTGTTTGAGTAAGGCTGTCATTACAGTAAGTGTTGTTTTAAAGTTTCTTTGTGCCCGTGCTTTATGTACATTTCCAGACAATAATAAATAGAAGCGAATATGGTAAAAAAATGAATAATTTTTAGTGTAATCTTCTGTCAGAGCAGTATGGTTTAGAAATACTTGCATAAGAGCTGTCAATATTTTTTAGTTAGCTATAGGAAGAATAGAAAATCTTTGCAATAATTTTTTTACAGTATAAAATTCTGAGATGCACAGCAATCAAGCGTGTGCCTTGGATTCAGGTGAATCCCAATTCTAAGTGGGGTGTCTCATAGGGTTTTTGGGATCTGTTAGAATTGAAATGGGAAGTATAGGAGAGAGCAAGAGACAAAAGCAGGGACACTGAAGCACTTTACGGTGCCTCAGCAATCCAGACATCAGAACAATTCCTGCTTACCTGTATCTGTCAAAAACTAAAGTAGCATCTTCAAGCTTACCATACAAGGAATAATACTGGGGTGGTTGATGAAGAAGAGAGAGCAGATACCACTGACAGTTCAAGCTTACAATCAGTGGGAATGATATTACCCCCAAAATAAATCCATTTTAGTTATTTGTGACTCCCAAATCAAATTTAAATATGCCTAGCACAAAAGCCCCTGGACCTATTTGCCTATTATTTGGCAAGCTTTATCCATTCTGGCGGGGCTAGTATGCTTTCAGAATTCATCCATTTATCTTGGAGGGGGAAATGCTAAACTACACATACACACACACACACACACACACACACACTTCCAATAGTGAAGGGTGTGGAGGACAAAGTAGACCTGGTTGGACTGCAAAGTGAGTTAGGCAATAAAGTGCCTTGGGCGCTAATGCACTGTTTTCTAGAGTACCAGATTATGGTCTGAACTGAATCTTGTGACCAGTGTACACACCTAAGAGCAATATTGCAGTAATTCTGAAACCATCTTAAGACCAGCATATCAAGTGACCACATGATTGTTTCCTGATTCATCAGCAGATCTGCATGGAAGCACCCATGCTCTAGCAGCTCTCATGCTCTTGGTATTAATGTATGATTCAGGCTTCAGGTGGCTTCATCACATGTTTCTTAAAGTGTATCATGGGGCTTAAAAAAAAAAAAGCCTTGTCCAGGCCAGGCTCAAGAGACCTGAATCGCATGTGTAAGAACCACATGTACAGCTGGAGCTTGTTTGTTTTTTAGTGCAGTGTTTCTGCTGCCAAGGAGACAAGCCACTTTTGAAACAGCAGCCTGTCTCTTTTAAAAGTGGGAAAGATATGTTTTCTAAGAAGATTTTGCCATTCATTAATTTGTAAATATTTGTGTTAACAAAAACACTTTAAAATGTCTTGTTGCCCCATTTATTGGGGTCTTCTTTTACATCAGGGGTTGGGAACATTTTTAAACTCCACAGACCAGATCCTTACTGTTACCAGCCTAAACTGGCAGGTGGGTGGCCATGAAACAACATAATTATGATTTCACATGGTTGACAGATGGGCAATGTATCAAAATTGGTTAGTATTGAACCGTAGTCACTTAATGATATAACAGTGTTTGCTGTTGTGGTTTCATTAACTACACACTACCAAATTTTATGATTTTGCAAAAACAGCCATGGAGTTTGCATCCTAAAATATATTTGGTAGCTAGTGTAAAGTTGCAGCAACAGCTACCTGTAACATGGCAGTAATTTAAAGCAGTTTAATAGTAACCCTCTTCTTTCCTGAATAATCCCTGGGATTATATAGATGATATAACTGGTGACTTCAGCTGATGGGTAGGAGGGCAGGGTTCAATCCTGCATTGGTTGTGCACCCTGTTCCCACATATTGTTTAGGACAAAAACCCAATAAAGAGGCTCCTGTCAGTTTATCTCTTTGGTTTCTATGTCTTTGAAAGCAGGCGGATCCCATATTTGATTATATGCACTGCTAGTTAATAATTAGCTTCAGCTGTTCCTCCATTAGTACCATAACAACTTTATATGATACCAATCTGTACTGTTCAGATTTGTCATTAAGAATGTTAAGTGAGAAAATTATTGTAGCATAGGATTTAGAAAACCATATTGCTGCAGATTCACTGTCCAGACATGAAGAAAATGTTTTAGGTTAAAATTACATTTTAAAGACCTCAGATTGATATGCTAGAGTTACACCATCCCTCTTCCTGATACTGAAAGAATTTTTTTCACAGATCTTTATCTGCTGTTTATAATAAAATGTAATATTTGTGTCATAAATTGGTTAGTATTGAGCCATAGTCACATATAGCAGTGTTTGCTGTTGTATTTTCGTTAAGTACACACTACCAAATTTTATTATTTTGCAAGAACATATAATTGGTAACATTGCAACTACATCTTTTAAAAATCAGAAGCCCTCATCTTCTTAGATTATTACTTAAAAATGCTCCAATCCCTGTAATTTTGAAGCAACTTGTGAAACTACCTCACTGGTGGAACATGCCCCTTCACAACAATTGTTCACAATTGTGAACAGATGTACAGTTTCTGATTCTCTTTCCTTGACCTGATTGTTTTCTGATTATTTAGAGAAGGCTTGGCAACTATTGTTTAGGAATTGCTGTGGAACCTGAGAGGAAGTGTAGTGGAAGCAGTAAATCTTCTGTATAAACACAGTAGATGTTGCACTGCACATTTATTTACAGCAGAGGCACAGGTTTGCTTCCTTTATAGGCTGGGGAAATAGCTGTGAAGCAATTGCTTTGAAAGTTTTTAAAGGAAAAATATAATTTATAATTTTAAACTCACCCCCCCCAAAAAAAAGAAAAATACCCTTTTAAACTGCATCTGTTCTACTAAGATGTAGATGCCAAATGCAAACCAACTTTGTGTGGCAACTGAATCTCTGAAGATAACCTGTTGGCAGTGATATGCCCTCTAACATTTCAAATGTGAAAATAGGGACCCTCCTGCTCATGAGTGAATGGTACAAAGCAGAGTGTAACAGCCCAATTAAGATTGTCCCCAGTGGTGACTTGGCACTAGTAGAGGCGTCTCCACTTGTGATAGGCAGGACACCTATTTATTACTGATCCCTCCTACTCAATGCAGCCCCTGAAAAGCTTCTTTTGAGTATTGGGAGGATATTGGGATATACCATAGATGGCTATAGGTTGGAGTGCCTTCAGTTGCCCTGTAAATTAAGATTTGGGGGGAAAAGTTTATTTAAAAGGGGAGAAGGGTCAGGTGATCCACACCTTGGAGCATGAATCTAGTGACTCCCCACCCCCCACAAATAACATTCCTCCCTGTCTGGCTGTTGCATTTACAGACACCTTAGTCAAGAAGCATCCAATCTCCCATTCCTTATTTTGTGCAGCAGTTGCCAATCAGGCTGCTGCTTGGTCATGATACTCCAGTCACCTTAACTGAGAGGCACCAAGGAGACTCTCCCTCTCTGTTTCCCTTTCATCTCTGGAAATCTTTCCAGTTGGTTAGGCCTTCATGGTCAAGGCATTCTGATTATAGTAGACAAATCACCTCCATCCTTCCTCCCCACTTTAGAGCCAGGGAGGGGCAGGGATCATTGCACAATTGCCAGGGTAGTTTCCACCCTCTCTGTCATTTCCAGATTGAGTACAAGGCTCACTCTCCGTGGCAAGCAACACTGTGGAAACCTGACTTTGAAACTCCTGATACAAGCACAATGTTACAGCTGCATTTGGCCCTAAAAGCACTGTGGTGTTTTTACAAAAATTTGCTTGGGTTGAGTGAACATGGTTGCTGGGTTGTAAAATAGAAGGGTGGGGGGAGTTGTTGGTCTGTTTGCCGTTGCAATACAGCCAAAAAATGTTTCCCTCCAGTAGTTTTTAAAAAAACAACAAAATAACATATTGATAGAAAGCATTGAAAAATAAATCCATGGCTGCAAAATGTTGCCTCGCTGAGTATTTGTTGTTTAATGTTAAAACTGTTTTTTAGTCACGTGTGCAGAATGAGAATGGGAAGGTGCAAGTTTCAGTATTTAAGGCTTATTGGAATAAGAAAAATCACATACTTCAAAACAACTATGATAATACTTAACAATTGTATAATGCCTTCAAGTGCTCAAAATGTCTCACATACATTATGTAGCTGCAATCCTTACAACAGTGCTGTGAGGCAGTGGTAGGGAACCTCTGGCCCATGGGCCAATCTTGGTTTGCCATGGGTTCTAGTTTTGTCCTTGAGGCTGGTTTCTTTTTTTAAGCACACCCACTTGTCCATCAGCTGACAGCACTCCAATTAGCCGGGGTGGGAGTTTCAATTCCTCATGGAACTGGCATGTGTAGTCATGGCAGCAGGATTTAATCTTCCGCTCATCAGCTGTTGAGAGGAGACTTAAATTCTGCTCAGTTCAGCACGATTCAGTACAAGCCCCTTCTTGGTGACAGGGGTTTGCATCGAAACCTATACTAAAATGGAGGGGCAACCCTTCGTTTTAGCAAGGTGTTCAGTACACACCGCTTGTCATCAGGAAGGGGTTTGCCTTTAACTGCCTACTTACATTGAGCTTTTGTCTTCTGTTTTAGCAAAGAGCTTTGAAGTGCTACCATAGTGACCTCAGGTGATTGTTAAGTGGATAGCCCTACCCACCTGTCAAATTTTGTCTAAACCTAATAAGAACCTGATCCATGGAGCCAAATGTTTTCCCACCCCTTCTGTAAGCCAGGTCATATTTAAGTCGTATTGCAGATGGCAGTGTCTGAGGTTGGGGGTGGGGGAGCTTTAGTAAGGTCACCTAGAAGTTCGTGGTAGAGACAAGATTTGAACCAGGTACCTTCTGATGCAAAGTTCAGTCTTTTGACCATTCCATGGTACAAAGAAGATATAGACTGTCTTCTTTGTCTGCACCAGGACTTTACAGCCAATCGCTTCCTGCTCATACATCTCACAAAAGCTGCCCTTACAACTTAGGGTACCCTCCAGAGCAATATTGCACCTAGGGGCTGCGGTTGGAAAGGGAAATTGACTGAAGCAGCAACAAACACTGAGATTGTAATAAGTTATTTGTACAGAAACCTCTCTGGATCTCTGACCAATGTTTTGAATGAAGAAGGGATTCCAATAAGCAAACTGAAAACTTTATTGGAAGAATGACAACATTTTGGCCAATTCGCTGGACTTTAGTGCAAGATTATCTGATCATTAAGTAGACTGGAAAGCTATCTAAAACTTGCTACAAGTGTCACACACAATAGAATGTTGTGGTGTGGAATGCTGTTGTTCAAGCCAGGATTCAATGCACACTGAGCATTCTACGTGGGCTGTTTGAGTCCCCCTACTGATATCTCCCTCTTGTGCATGGATGGGTCTGTTTTTGCTACATAAGGACTGCCACTCAGAATTGAGATCTTTGTTTGTATATCTGATAAAGAAAGCAATGTTGTTAAGAATGCATCTTTTTAAAGTTAATCTCAGTTTTGCATATACCTACGTGGTTATAAGTGGGCCAGAATTATGGTGTCAGTACAAAATACTCAGTAGTATTTTCTGTAGCTAGCTAGGTTTGCATATTATCAGTGCTTGGATGGGACACTTCGGAACCTTAATGTATGTCACTTTACGTTGTGTTTAAGAAATGTTGCATGTAAATGTGACCAATAGTTGCAGTGATAGACATTGTAATGAACTGAAAATAATTGCAATGAAATGTCATCCCGTGTCACCCGAATGAGCTGTATGTACCTTGTGAAAGCCGTGTTTGTGATGTTAATAAGGTTCTTAGTTCATAATTAATTTGTATACTTTGAATTTATTTGTTCCTGTATTGTGTTTGACCTGATTAATAGAGCTAATAAGAGTATTAGCAAAATTTGAACTTTTATAACCTGTGGTGTGCTTTGTGCATCCATTAAAGATTTAAATACTAAAAGAAGAGGAAATTAGGTGCAGTTAATTAGGTACTTTAGTTTAGGTCCAATTACAAAAGGTGGGGTATTTATGAATTGGTTATATTGGTAGTAAGGTTTAATAACTATTCAAAGGAACTAATATTGAAAACAACCCTAAATCTCTACTAGTGACAAAACAACAACAACCTAGGGAGCACATTAAATACCAAGCAGTGTTGCCAACTAAAATAGATCTCGATATGGAAATTCAGGAAACAAAATTAACACGTTAATTTCAATCCAAGACTTGTAGTGCCTTCTTGAGTTTGCTCAAGTGCCAGAGCTCTATGGAAGGGAAAGAGAAAGAAAGAAAAAAAACACTAACATGAGGAAAATATGTGCTTGCTAAACAGCAGAGGCCAACTGGTCACTGAGCAGAGGTGCAAAAGGGCCAATTTCACTGGAGCAGATGAAGCTTGAGGAGAGGGGGAAAGAGGAAGGAAGAAAAGGTTCTGCATTCATCCATTTTTCTACACACTCTGCTAGGTCAGATGCTCAGAAGAACTAAATTCATTTGGTCTACTCTGAGCATGACTAACATTGGATACAACTCCATGCAACTTCTTAACAAATTGAATCACACACCTTTGTCTTTTATAAAATGGCTCTGCATGACATGTGAATGCAGCCAAAGTCTAAAATCCAGTTGTAAAATATTAGTTTTAGCAATATCTTTTGTGTTCCTAGACCTGACTAACTTTGTATCATCTATTTTTAATATTTAATGTAGATGGAACTGTGTTTTATAGACTCTTAAATATTCTGTCACCTATAGGGTTTCCAGACTCTGAAACAGACCTTTTTAAAAGATAGAAAGAAGAAAGGATATTCTTTGGGGGCCATTTTTCAGACAGAAAAGTAAAGTTAAACAACTCAGCTATGTGCAGGGGCCTGTAAAATAAGCTCTGAAGAGCAGCAGTGATTGTGTTTGAATATGAAGTAAAATTCTGACAGTATGCCTGCTGTGTTTATTGCTGGTTGAACAGGAAATCAGTGATTAATCTGCCTGGCAGAATCATTTCCCAACAGCATTGGTAATCCACCATACAAAGCTACTAGCTTCCAAAGAATACAATATTGGAAGTGGCAGGACTGCTAGACAAAAAGTGATGGAATTACCGTATTTTTTGCATGATAACACTCACTTTTTTCCTCCTAGAAAGTAAGGGGAAATGTCTGTGCGTGTTATGGAGGGAATGCCTACGGGTGGCATGCCTACGGATTTTCCTCCTCTAAAAACTATGTGCGTGTTATGGTCGGGTGTGTGTTATAGAGCGAAAAATACGGTATATATCCCTTGGGTAGGACATGGTCTCAGAGCCTTCAACTGGTGAATGTAACAGACAGTTGCCTCTCAGACTAGGAAGTTTGAGCAATAATACTCAACTGGGCACTAGGCCTGGGCAATATATCAATATATCACCCAGGACCGGTATGAGGAGCAGACCATGACGTCAGCTTCACTCAGTGGTATATTGCTGGGGAAACCGCCACTGCTCCTGAGTCCCTATGCTCGCAGCGTTGGCTAGAGTTCCTTCCTCCAGCGGGCGCTGCTAGCAGAGGGACTCAGGAGCAGCGATGGTTTCACCAGCGATATATCGCTGAGTGAAACCATCATCCCACTCTGCCCTCATACAATGCAAAGGTAGAAACAAGCAAGGTGCCAATACAACTTGTTCCTCCGTCTGCATCTTTAAACTGCTCAGCCGAGGAGTGGGCAGCTGCCCTTACCTCAGTCGAGCAGTTAAAAGAGCCCCAGGCCAGCGTTGGCCCCCACAAGCCAGTGGCAGGGTGGGGGCTCAGTGAAACTGCTCAGCTGAGGGGAGCGCGGTTGCTGCTCCCCGCAATGAATAGTACCACCGAGGCTGTCTCAGCTGGGGAAGGGGAATGTTCCTGATCCCCAGCTGAGCAGCGCAAACAAGCTGCATTGTCCCAGCCCACAAGTGCCTGAGTGAAACCCCCAGAACTGGGGCAGTTTCACCCAGTGTCTCGTGGGCAGAGACCAATGCATTTTGGTTTTTTCAACATTGTGATATATCGCCAAACCGCAATGTTTGGCTGGCGATACACTGCAATGTTGAAAAGCTGGTATCACCCAGCCCTACTGGGGACTTGAGCTGGATGTTTCTTATAGCCTTAGTCATGATTCTGCAGTAACTGACAGTGGTGTCATAAACATACATTAACTTCTGGAAAAGGAGGAAGAAAGGCTGCATGAATTAGCAAGTTCACTGGCCCTTCAAATAGGGCTGATGCTAAATGGTGAATTACAAGTAGCATGTAATGGTAGGCTTTATTGCACGTTGAGCTTGTAAAAAAGAATGCCATGTGGTGCACTGAGATTTTGTTTTCTGCTTGGCTTTGATAGTCACTCACAGGCAGTTTCAAATTATTTGTTGATCAAAATGCTCCCTCTCCTGTGTTTGTCTAGATTAAGATTTACAAAGATACATCCTGCTTTTACAAACTAGCAACTCGTCCTTTAGAGAGGCATCCTGGAAGGCCTAGAGCAGTCTACAGATAGACAAGTCTTTACAGCCAAAGATTTGGATAAAAATAGTAATACAGCACAATCCTAACCATCCCTAGTTGGAAGCAATCACCAACCTTGTTCCATTGTGGAAGTTCCATTGTAAAAATTACATTAATAAATCTGTTAATGATTCACTTCAATTCTCCTTCAATTGAGGGAAGGCAGAATCTTCAACTCTGAGGCTCTTCTTCATTCTGTTACCTGACCTGTGGCAAATGTCTATTGTGATGTTGAAATTCTAAATAAGCAGTGCTCATTGTTATGAACCTGTCAAAGAAACAACTGCATTACTAGTTCCATGAGGTTTGAATGAGACTTAGTTCCAATAATGATTTGTAAGTGAACTGCCAAAAATGCTTTCAGATTTTCTTTTCATGGAAGGGGAAATGGAATATCACTCAGCTTCTGGCTTCCATATTATGGTGCTCAGGCAAGTAGACAGTTTGCACAAGTAGCTGGGATGGCATTTCATCTCTGACAAACTTACAAGAGATTTTGTAGTGCTGAGGCTTCATCTTTCAAAATAAGTATTGGCCAATTGTATGGAAATGTGAACTATGGCATGTGAGTGTCATCTTCCAAGCAGCCACATTTAAGCTTGCATGAAACTCTGCATCTAAGAACCTTAGAACACTTCCTGAGGTTTTCATGAATCAGGAGCAATCTGTGCTGCTACTATGCAATCTTCTGAGATCTGGTGTCCTCTGTACCTCTCTTACCACAGTGCTACTGTATCTAGCTATACTGGGTTGTTCCCCCTCCTCACAAGTCGCTGTTGTGTTTTTTTATAGAAACCTTCACTAGTGAGTCTTGAATAATCACACATTTAAGTAAAAGCTCTTAAGGAAGTAGCGGGTTAGGTGAAATATGGGAAATAACCTTATAGAGAAACTAGCATTGAGGAGGACATTCTGTCCTGGTCCACAAACAGATCACAACTAACATGTGATGCAATTATGTAAAAGGAGGTGGGAGGCGGCTATTGCACCATTGGCTCTTACATGAAACAGACTACAATCTTTTGTATTGTGTGGCACGCCAATTTGTATAATACGATAGCTATAATTAATCATGCTACTGCTGCTTACCCTCAAGGGTCTGGACCCTGAGTGAGAACCTGGAGGCTGATAGATAGGGTGTGTCAGAAGGAAAAACCAATTAATACTGATTTATATATAGTTTATATATAGTAGTAACTTTGTGTTAATGCAACATTTTTATACGTAATTATTTTTGTTTAATATATCTGTTGTTGCTTCAGTTAAGAGATATTGTTAATATATTAAACAGTATAGAAATTAAATAATCATCAAACAAACATCACTGCAAGGCATAATTAATATGTTCCTGCTCACTCTAGTGCAGCCTTCCCATAGCCTGGTCCTCTCCATATGTTTCATGTAGCAACTCAAATCATCCCCTGGCACTGGCTGTGCTGGCTGGGGCTGATGGGAATTGGAGTTCAAAACGTCTGGAGAACACAAGGTTCTGCTCCAATGAAAAGTTGCATACCACTGAATTAATACTTCCCTTCCCATGATGGTCTGAAGGGATCATTTTAAGCTTTGGGGCTGAAGGAGTGTTCTGCATGAATCTGCTCTATGCTGAAGTCCATCTGTTGTCATCATAATCAAGAAATACCATTTTAAAGGGAAACATCTAACGTAATTGGTTTCTGCTGCTTTCATTGGTTTGGCGTTGTATGTTTCTATGCACTGGTTTTTAATTGTAGTCTGGTTTTTATTGAATTGTTGCTGCCTTGGAGATTGGTGTCTCGGTCAAAAATACAGGATATTAAATGTGTCAATAAATTTTACTTCATTCTCAGTAGTAATTCTACTCATGCAGTTAACTTATTTTGTAGATCTTCATTAATGTTCAGAGTTTGCTTCATTAACCTTTCTGTTTCATAAAGGTACTATATTCTGATTTTTCTTGGTTGGATCCTGACAGTGCAACATTAATAATCATGATTATCTCAGTTTGGCTGAATATAGCAACTGATATGAAACATAATGATTAACTTTTATTGGGTCTTTTAATGTGAATTGTCATCTGCTGTGGTATCTATGATAAAGGCTGGATATAAATATGAATAAATGAAAATACCTGTGTGGTGTGTGTTGTTTTTTTAAGATTAAAGTAGCAAATTATGGAAAAGGCTTTATCTGAGATTTTAGAGAGCCACTGCATGTCACAGTAGTCCGTACGGGGGTACATAAACTGATGGTCTAATTTGGTATATGGTAGCTTGTTAAAGGACTGCTAAGACTGTCACAGAAAATGAAGCTGGTGAAATCAGGTTTAACATGATTTGGTCCCAGTGAATGGTCTGGGAGTATCTGGAGCGGCAGCATTGCCAAAACTAAGCAGGTATGAACTTGGTTGGGAAACAATGAGGTCCGTGCCCCCGAAACATGGCAAACGACAAGGTGCCACATGTTATCTCCTTTATGTATAATTCTTATTGTTATAATGACCTTCCATTTTTCCTTCCACAGCCCCATGATTTTGATGAGTGCAGATTTGATATTAGCGTGAATGATAGCGTTTGGTATCTACGGGCTCAAGATCCAGATCATAGACAACAATGGATAGATGCAATTGAACAGCACAAGGTATGGTTTCTGTTCCTTAGCAATTAATAATGGTGTGTGGTTATGGATGAGCCTCCAGGGGCTTTGCTTAAACACTTCAGTGACATTTCTATGGCAAAACAGATGCTGATGTCCTCAAGAACTGAAAATCCTATTTAAGTATTGTAACCTGTGATATGAGAATGGGTATAATGAGTGAAATGACAATTATGTAAGACTTTGCACTTGACAAATTTAGCAGTAATGAAAGGCTTGGTGATACTTGGAATCAATGTGTGGCAATACAGAAAATAAGCAACATCAATTATATCCAGCAAATAAGAATTTAAACTATTTTGAGCAAGCTATCATATGCTAATGGTAAAGTTTAAAAATAGATTGTTACAAGGATTAAAGTAGGAAGAACTTGTAGTGGTTGTTAAAAATACAATGCTAAAAGTGCTGTTGAATTGATCTTGAAGATAATGACTGGATGTGATGTTAGTTTTCAAAGGTTTTTGAAACTAAAACTGAACTATGATTTAGTTTTTTGTGTTCTTGTATAGTGGTTAGGCATAAAGATAACATTCCTAATCAGATTAAAGTCACACGGTTAAAACATTTAATATTCTGATTTGGGTCTGAATGATGGATCTGGTGCTTGTGTGGCAGTATAAGCAACCAGCTATTGATTTTTCAAAGGGTATTATGAAGTTACAGAAGGAGTGAACTTTCCATTAAACATCTTTCCTGGAAAATCAAATGTGCTTTTCTTTATTCAGAACATTTATAGGATGCATATTTTGCACGCAAGCCAGTGTTAAATAATATACAATAGAATGGAAACACTAAATGCATTCTTTCAAAAGGCTATAAAGTCAACAAAGCCAAAAACTCACAAAGCAACATCTAAAAGAGCCTCAGCAACTGAACTTGGAGAAATGGGGGGAAATGCATGTGACCAGGCTGCCTGTGTGGTTGGGATATGCCTGTGGCCCTTCAGATGATAGACTTCAACTCCCATCAACCTCAGTCAACATGATTAATGGTGTTGGATGTTTAAAATGTTGAACAAAATCATAGTGCTTTTGGTATCTGATGAAAACAAAGTAATACAACAATCCAGAACTGTGTGTGAAAAAATAATAGAAACAATAATACAATGAGTCTAATCAGAAGTCAAATGTGTTTATTTTGTTTCTCTCTTTTTAAACTCTTCCTTTCACCCTTTTTTTCTTTTTCTTTTTTTCTCTTTTACCCCTTTCCTTTTCTTTTTCGTCGATTTCTTTTTTCCCCTCCATACCCTTTTTCTTTGGTCCTTTTCCTTTTGATCTGCTAATAAAGAGCTAAAGAGATAAAAGTTAAATACGAACATTTAAGTAAGTTAAAGTGACGTTCTGTAACTTGTCAATTATTGTTAAAGATGGGCAATTGTAATGAACTGATGTAGTTACTGTGGTTTTTCTTGTTACTGTTGAATCTTAAATAAATATATGAAATTTAATAAAATAAAATAAAATGTTGAACAAAATCAGGGTGCAGGGCCAGGAAAATGCAGCAGAGGAGAAAACTCAAAACTGGTCAAGCATTATATCAAAAAATTAAGCATATATGAATTTATGTAGTGAGCCAAAAAAAACACTACCAAAATAGCTCACACAGCACTAAAATGGCTCCAGTTAAATTAAGGTGGTGAGTTGTTGCAGTCTTTTTGGCACTGTATTTTGCAGTGTGCCCAACTATCCTATTAGCAAAGCTTAAAACAAGTTTTCAGTTATGTTTAAAACAGGGAAAGGCACAGGATATCCAGGGCCCAAACACCTGAGATGAGCACCTCCAGCAAGCACACCTGCATTTCCCTGAGGTGGCAAACTACATATCATATGCAAGAATCTCATTGCACTTTTAAAAATAAAAATAAAGTTGCTTTGGAAGTGAGAAATATAACACAAGGAAGCAACATAACACAGAGAAGGTGGTCATCCCTGTCTCCATGCTAAACTGCTTCTCTATTCCATGGGCTTTCAAATGAGTATCTGTTCTCTCAAATGGGTGTTTTAAACTCCACATACATTCAATCAAAAATTGAATGTATTAGCTTAACTATCCCATGAGGTTACAGCCCAGAGACTTCTGCCCTAACTGTTTGGTAACTAGTGGGCAAGCGACATTAACCCTTTATTATGTGATTGAAGAACTACTTTTCTCTACTGATCCAGTAGAGAAATTCCTAACTGATGTTGAAATAAATGTATTTTTGCAACTGAGCCTTGTAACATGGGCTGAAATCTTAGCTATGTTGAAGGAGTCAATCCAGTAAGATACTATCTTTGCCTCTCCTTGGACTTTGAGTTGAGGCAGATAACTTTCTAGAAATACTGTATTCAGGACTTTGTGTACTGTACTTTGCTCTCATATCATTTTAAAAAAAAGTAAATCCACAAAGCAGCACTTAGAAAATCAAGCACTTTACTATATTTTATTGGCTGCTTTTCTGCTAAGATTCCCCAAAAGGTTTCAAGTAAAACGTGTGTAGACAATGGAGATAGAAAACACAAAGGGCTAATTTCAAACCTATCTGATGTGACTACCCGAAATTAGATTGCTCTGCAAGAACAAATATAATATATGATATCCTTCATGATTAATCAGATTATCCCTTTAGAGCCTTTGACAATACTACTAGGTTGTGTGGATGGCAATTAGAGTTAATACAGAATCTTCCAAGTGTATCTAGGATTCTAGCAACTCAGAAATGGAGGTGAGCTTCACCACCACAGCTTGGCAATAGCTAGCTAGAATTTGGGATATAGCAGAGATTCTGAAAGAATATGTACTTTGGAGAGATAGAAGACAGAGAAAAAATTGAATTACCGGTAAACATTGATTCCCATTTAGTACCTGTATAAAATCCTGATGCAGCCTGGAAAAAATGATCAATGTAGAAATTTCTTCCTGCTGTAAAACATATCTATTTATACATAATTATATTTAAGTTACATATACCTTTTCTACTTTCACATTTATATATTGATTTAAGGTGATTGTTCTATGTCTGCTTAAAGATAGTCTGTTCTATTTCTTTATACACTATTCAAGTTTTTGAGATATCTGAAAATGTATGGCTAGAGAGCTATATGCAACTCTTGTTAAAAAACAAGTAAGCAAGCAAACTTATTTTCATATGCCTATTTCAGTACAGAGCTTAGTAGTAGAGCACATGTTTTGATTGCAAACCAAAAGGTGCCAGTTTTGCTCCCTGTCTGAAATGCTGGAGAAGCATTTCCAGTCTATCTGGCCCCAATAGTCTCACTTGGTGTAAGCAGCTGTCTATATTCCTATTACCTATGCTTGTATGGGGCAAAGTGCCACGGAGGGTATAGAAGCCCATTTGCTTCTGACTCTGGGATCTGATACTTTGCTAGGCAGTACAACTTTCAAGACTAAATCTGGGGTAGGCAACTGGTGCCTTCAAGGTTGTTGGAATACATTTTCCACCAGCCACTGCTTTGGGGCTTTCCATAGGCAGCTGGCTACTGTCCGAAAGGGGATGCTGGACTTGATGGACTTTTGGTTTGATCCAGCAGGGCTCCTCTTACTATTTGATCCATAGCAATTTTTAAAAGCAAACGTTTATGCAAGCTTTGTTTATATGTAGAGCAAGCTGAGATTCAGGATGCAGAATTCTGTGCCCGGTGAAAAACTGTATGGTGCAGTTGTCACAACACAAATAATGAGGGTGCCCTTATTATATTCCATAAAGAGATGCAATAAATTCAATAGCGAGTGTTTCAGAACAATAGAATTGGCAGGAGGGGTTTAAGCATTATCTTTTACAATGTGTCCAGAACCCTGAGGTCTGCCTCGTATGCAAGCTTTACTCTGAAGTAGCTAGGTCTGAACTCTCTATAAAAATAAAATCTAACCTTGATTTTAAATTAAGAAACCTGAAGCTGTACAGGCTTTTTCAGCTAAAGCCAGACATGTATGAACCTTTAATCATTTAAAATTAGGCTGTTTTGAAAACATTTTTAAATGCAGAGTAACCGGAATATAATAAAAGCATGATAAAGGTTACTGTTGGACTTTGACCAATAGTAACCTTAAGCAAAGTCTTCATCTTCTTTTTATTGCTTCCATCTAGTGGCCACTATTGTTCATGACATGTCATTCTTCATCATTATTTTCTTCCCAAGATTTTAGTTTGCAGTCTGGTGTAGTCACTTCATCTAAATGGCATAGTTATGATTTTCTGTTTCAATATGAGGAAAGATAATAATAGTAATTTTATTATATATACTCTGCCCATCTGGCTGGGTTTCCCTGGCCACATGAAGTCTCATGTGATCCATGTGAGTGTGTGCTTACATGTAGATATGCATAGTTAGATCATGTGTAGGTGAATTGCTTTCCTGAAGCCAGTATCTTATCATTAAACCTAAATACATTTTCCTGATCTATCCATCCAGTTTGCTTAAGAAACTGTTTCTAATCTGGTCTCATAAAGTATTCCTGCAGCTTTGGTATTTGATGATTGTACCAGCCGTATGTCAAAACTCTATCTCAACATGGTCATATGTGAACAACAAAATACGTTTATTTCAAAGTATTTCAAAGTTTATTTCAAAGTATTTCCCATGCCTCTTTTGAGAAAGCAAGTGCCCAGTTTTTGTGGTTATGAAAAGAGCTTTTTCTTTACAATTCTTTGAACAGTTTCCCGCTTCCTCATCCATATGTGTCTCCTCAACATCCCATTGAGATCTGTTTGTGGATTTGTTCTAAGGAGTATGGCTGCTCTTCAGTGCCATCAGTCCCTTCTCAGTCAAGACACCCTCCTTGAGCAGTGCCAAAGGATGTCCTCTGTTCAATTCCTGTCTCTGTCATTTGGGGCAGAACAGTTCCTCCTAATGAACGACCCCTTTATGTTGTCTGACTTTCTGCCCAATTCCTCTTCACCCTCTTGTTCTGAGTTCCATCAGATTCTAGGTGTATGAAATACTACTATTGGTGAACTTGCACCTCTCCTTTAAATCATTCAGCAGTGTCTTTGATGATATGTGTGTGCATTCTGTGAGAATCTTCATTGCATAACAGCTTTCACCAGTCTTATTTTCCTATGCCTTCCTGTTTTTATTCTGTTTTCATTCACATAAATCTTCCTCTTACCTACTTCAATATATTATTTCACTTTGATGCTGCTTAACTTTCTATCTCCTTTTATAACTTGATTAATAAAGTACAGGTCAAGCAAAGTGGTATTTCACATGTAAAGAGTGTTGCATAGAATTAGTGTCAAGCATCTGTAGTGTTTTATCCTGCTACTTCCCAATTCCTAGGTGTGGCTTTCTAATTGGAGAAGAATAGCTATTTGTGTGTAGCTGTTATGCAATATGTAGGCCAGGCTAAAAAAAAGTCAGTGGGTGAATACATTAAGCTTCATGAGGGGTTAAAGGAAATTTATCTAAATATGGGAAATCAGGGCGTGGGACCAGTGATGCTTCCTATGAGTCTGTGCTTTTTCTCTCTGAAGCATTACTGACCCACTTAAGGAAATCCCTATCGGACGATTGAGTCAGCAGTGAAGGTCTGATGTGATTGAATACTTAAGCTATTGTGTTGCTGGATGCTGTTTCACTGATGGTGTGCTTTGCTGCTACTGCCTGCACCAACAGAATATTACACAAGGCTTTAGGATCATGTGGCTTTCCCCTCCTCGACTGTCAACCTATGAAAGAGCTTTCTGAAAGGAATAATGGAGTCTATTCAGAGATGCAAAAAGCTGGTGAAGATGTTGCAGTGTGCTTTGTTAGTTCTGAGTATAGCTTTGAGGCTACACCCATGCATGGATATTTGACAAAATGGCTTCTGGATGTTCAGCATGGTAATTGGCGTTAGGGTTTAATATTGTGCATTGATTGCTACAATAAGAATGAGCAATTCCTTTAATTTCAAGGTAGTGACTGTCAGCTTTTCTGTTGAGTAGACTTTGGCTGCCTCTGTTTTAGCAACGTGGATTATTCATACTTAGGGTGGAAGACGCTTTTATCAACATTTTTCATCTTGATTATAACGGAGTTATTCCTACAGTGAATTACTAATGATCTGCTCTGCAAGACATAAAAAGTTCGGCATTGAACTGCTCCGCCTTAGATGCTGCAGTCATAGAATGGTGGGGCTTTGCATGATGCTTGCTTTTTCTTCTTATGCTTTTTGCATGTGCCACTAACTGCTACACATATATCTCTATGCACTATTAATATTACTTCCTTTTCTGAAGCCCCACTGCAATTCCCCCCATATTTAGCTTTATCTTCCCCCTACCCCACCGTGGTAACTAAAAATAATTGTTTTTGTAATTGTCATTAATAGTCTCAAAATATGCAGATGTTAACACTGCACGTTACTCTCTTGTCCTTGGTTGTTGTAGCAGATAAAATTGTACAAGGAGTGCACATATTGTAAGTCTTAAGTACAATTAGCAAAACCTGACTCCAATGACACACACCTCAGTTGCACATCAAGAATGAATTACTGCAGTGCACTCTGCACTGGGTTATTGCTGAAAAGTTTGGGGAAGGTGCATTTGGTTCATAATGCAGCAGCAAGGATGTTATTGGGCACACACCCATGGGATCATGTTACTCTTGTCCTACAGTGTCTGCATTAACTTCTAATTTGCTTCTGGACACAAATCAAAGTCAAGCGTGGGAGCATGATTGATGTCCACAAGAGTTAAGGCCTTCTCAGTGACTGTAGCAATACTGTGGCGATACTCTGCCCTGTCTTTGTAAAGCAAATAATCCCTTCTCTGGCTGTCTCTCATGCTGACAAAGACATTTTCATTCTGGCAGGTTCTTCCCTGCTAAACTTCATCTGTGGTAGGCATTTTTATCTGTGAACTCTTGTTTCTTTAAAATGTATTTTACTATTTGTGTATTGAGTATTTTACTGTTTTGGAAGGTCAGGGAGGGTTAATACATGTATGCATACTTTTGACTTCTGGCAAACTCTTCATGACAGTGACTAGTTAAAATCCTGGGGAACCACAAGATTCAGGTAGGGAACAGAAGACTTATTAATAGGCTGCTCCAATGAAATACGCTTACTCTTGTGTTGAATTTACACGAGGTCTTGGCACATCATGCCATATATTGATACATATACTGCATCGCCTCCACTCATCTGTCCTCTTCGGCTCTCCTTTTTCTACTACACCAAATCGAGTCTTTCATGCTTAAAGTTGAAGTAGTGTATATTAACTTGGCTGCATTTCTCTAAGCACTATCCTGTTTAAAGAATATCATTTTTGAAAAATCTCTTTGATGGGGATTTGCCTCTTTACATTTCATAATTAATGTATGTGTTCCTCTTTCTTCAGACTGAATCTGGCTATGGATCAGAGACGAGCTTACGGCGCCATGGCTCTATGGTATCCCTTGTGTCTGGAGCGAGTGGGTATTCGGCAACATCGACCTCCTCATTCAAGGTTAGTGACAAAGAACATAAAGGTCTTACAAATGATTCCTCATCCGTACCCCAAGTTGCATGCATCTCCTGTGATAACCTCATAATGATGTATTTTTGCTGTTTTGTCTACTTAACTTTTTATTGATTTTTTTCGTTACATTATTGCCTTGTGAACTGCCTTGGTATTTCTTTTGAAATGAAAGTTGATATACAGTGGTGCCCCGCAAGACGAATGCCTCGCAAGACGGAAAAACCGCTAGACGAAAGGGTTTTCCGTTTTGAAGTTGCTTCGCAGGACGAATTCCCCTATGGGCTTGCTTCGCAAGACGAAAATATCTTGCGAGTCTTGAGATTTTTTTTTCGCTTTCCCCCCCCTTTATCTAATCTGCTAAGCCTTTAATAGCCTTTAATAGCCTTTTAGCAGCTAATCCCCTAAGCCTTTAAGCCTTTAATAGCCGCTAAACCGCTAATAGCGCTAATAGCGCTAAGCCGTCAATGGGCTTGCTTCGCAAGACGAAAAAACCGCTAGACGAAGACTCTCGTGGAACGGATTAATTTCGTCTTGCGAGGCACCACTGTAGAAACTAATACAGTAAATAAAAATAAATAACAGCTGAATGGTTTTAACTTCTGGGTTTTCAGAAGGGCCACAGTTTGCGTGAGAAGCTTGCTGAAATGGAAACCTTCAGAGACATATTGTGTAGACAGGTTGATACGCTACAGAAATACTTTGATGCCTGTGCTGACGCTGTCTCCAAGGATGAACTTCAGAGAGATAAAGGTATTCAGCTTAAGTTATTTAAACAAAAGGCATCACATTCTAGGGTCTGATAGGAAAGTAACAAGTGTTACAAACTGTCATATTTGTAACTTTTGTTTTAAAAAATTGACAAGTCTAGCACAGCATTGCCCAACCTCCTTCATTAAAGGTAATTGTATACTTGCTTCACATACACTTTCTTCTGCTCTCTTCAGATCCCCATCTTCTCTTCCTCTTCCCACTAATGCTGTTGATATGTGTGTTTTTCATAATTGCTCTTTCACTTTACCAGTCATACATGGGATGCATAGGCTTACCGCAGAGTCATTTGTAGATTGGCATTTATGCTGAGTGCACATACACAATGGACTTGGGTTACTGGTGCAGGATGTAAGGCCTTCCTACACTGATGTAATACAAGTTCCCTGTGACTATTCACATTCCATCACAATAGGGTTACATTCAGAAGTAACCCTGCAGTAAAATGCTAATAGAGTCATAATCACGAAAACAGAAACTTGTGCATTGCTGCTCTAGTAGTAGTAGTAGTAGTAGTAGTAATAATAATAATAATAATAATAATTTATTATTTATTATTTATACCTCACCCATCTGGCTGGGTTCCCCCAGCCACTCTGGGCGGCTTCCAACAAAATATTAAAATACAATAGTCTGTTAAACATGAAAAGCTTCCCTAAACAGGGCTGCCGGTAAGTGTGGATTAGATGCAGCTTTAGTGAAAGCAGTGCTAAAATGTCTCGGGTTGGAAGGAAATGTCACTACTTGCTTTGATGCACATTTTGCTGTACCTGGCCACATGTTCACTCTGTGTTTTCATATTTCACAGCAAAACTTAATAGAAATGTAGCGGTGGGGGTAGCCAAGGGTTCTTTTGTTTCCGTCAAGAATCCAAAGCTGCAAAGTTACTTTGAGTGATGTCACAGAGCACATGATGAAATATCACCTCAATTGTTTTGCTGAACAGATGTGTCAGAATAGCCCTCAGTGTGGCTGAACCACCAGTATCCCCAGCATTTGGATCCCTGCTAGCCTTAACTTCCTGTTGCTTGTACATGATAAAAAAATAATAATTTATGACCATGTTGCAGTGTACACTGAAATTATACAGTGAAATTACACACACATAAGAGTAGTAGTAGTAGAGTATGTCTCGTTGACTCTCCAGATACGACTGCACTGGCAAATTATTTTTCTACTGCTTTTTCAATTTCCTCCAAGGCCCAGTAGTAATCAATGCTTCTCTTTGTTGTAGTGGTAGAAGATGATGAAGATGATTTCCCTACAACACGCTCTGATGGGGATTTTTTGCACAATAGTAATGGAAGTAAGGAAAAATGTGAGTACGCTTAAATGTATGGTTGTCAAAATGTTCTAAAGATATAAGAACAGTGATCCTGAAGCAAATTAGCCACAAAATAACTGTTCTTTAGAGACTTACAATGGAACCCTATGCATGTCTTCTTAGAAGTAAATCTTAGTAAGTTCACTGGCACTTACACCCAGGTAAGTTGGCGTATATTGCAGCTACAGAGTTCAAAAATTCTTCAGAGTTTCAGTAAATGTGCTCTGGTAATAAATTATGTGTTCCACTAATAAATTATATGTACTGATTTGTAGTTTAACAACCTTCAGTTGCATCTCCTAGGTTAGCCTTCTGTAGAACTGTGGGGGAAGGATCTTCTCTATAAAACTAGTTAACAATCACAAAGTTTTATTTCTAACTTGAAATACCTCCCCATTGGCTGTATCTCTTTAATTTGAAAATAGATAGTGACTAATTCCCATGTGATCAGATTTAAATAAAAGTTGCCTCATCCCAGTTGATTGTGCACAATTATGTTTAGGTGGGCATCTTCAGCTGTCACTTTGAACTCTCCTTTTTTCTTTTCATTAGCATTGTAAACTACACGTACATCTTGTCATGAAATATGACAGGTATTTTAAACTACTTAGACACGTGTTCGGGGGAGGGGGTTAGTTTGCTTTCTTTCTGACTACTGATCTTGTACTTGGTTGTGTTTCCTTGCTTGAAAAGATGTAAAAACCTTTATCTTACTACTTCCACCACAAGATGATGTGTTGAGAATTTATGCAAACATGTATAGAATCCTATAATTGTAGGGTTGGAAGGGACCCTGAGGATCCAACCCCCCTGCAATGCAGAAACATGCAGTTGTCCCATGCAGGAATCAAACCTGCAGCTTTGGCAGTATCAGCACCATGCTCTAACCAACTGAGCTACTGTGTTCTGTTCTAAAAGAGGGGCAAGAGCTAGGCTGCTCACGGAATTGTACAGATGAGGGAAATGTGGCCCTTCAGATGCTGATAGGCTTCAACTCCCATCAGACCAAGCCAGCATGCCAGTAGTCTGTGATTATGGGATTGGTGGCCAACCAGGTGTTGGGCTGCAGGTTTTCACTGGAGCCAGGCTGAAAACAGGTTTTCTAAATTTATACCTGAAGAGCAATTTCTCTGGGGTCCCTCTTCATCAGGTATAGGCAAACTCGGCCCTCCAGGTGTTTTGGGACTACAGCTCCCATCATCCCTGACCGCTGGTCCTGTTAGCTAGGGATGATGGGAGTTGTAGTCCCAAAACATCTGGAGGGCCAAGTTTGCTTATGCCTGCCCTTCATGGATCTTCATATGAAGACTTTGATGCAGAATGTTACCATGGAGCTGCCACTTTGCCATGGCTTCCCTGTTCAGTGGTTTTTCAGACGCAACTTCACATAGAATCCCAGAACTGTAGAGTTGGAAGGGGACCAGAGGGTCATCTAGTCCAACCCCCTGCAATACAGGAATCACAGCTAAACAGCAGATATACCAAAGGGCAGGAAACCCGTTCTGTATGTGGGCACAAAGGGATCTTGTGACCCAGGACAAATTTTACTAGCATATGGTCACAGAAAAAACTAATACTACTTCTGTGTACAAATAATTAAATAGATAAATAAAAAACAGAGTAATGACTAATTTTTAATCTCTTTTCCATTTTTTAAAAAATATCCAGAGCTATAGAAGCGTACTTGACTAGTGGGGGAGGGAGAGTTGGAATGATGAGGTTTGTGAACTGCTATCCTTCATTTTAGCTTTGGAAGATTGAGTGATTATGAAGACACGGCTATTCTGTGCATAGTCGTCTTGATTCTTCCTGTGTGGCACTTTCTGTAGCTTATTTATTATTATTATTATTTTCTGTTTGTTAATATTGATTTAAGCCTCTTGTATAAAGCAAAAGCTTTCAGTAATGTGTCTGAAAAAATATAAGCTGCAAGAGGACTTGAAGCAGCATCCTCTGAAAGATTATGCTTTTTTTGTATCTCTTTTCATTTTTAAAATGGTTTTGATCCCTTAAGATGACTCCAAAAGCGACAGTAGGTGAGTGGACATTTTGGCTGTTTCATGTGCATTCCTTGAATGGAACAGACTGAGCTGAAATTGTCAATGCCACCACTTCTCTTTGTCAAGTAATGGCAAGTCTGGAATGTTACCTTGATCCCTGGGCAGGGGGAAGGCTGAATGTGTCAGCTTTTATCGGAGCAGATTCTTTTGACCCAAGGTCTATCCACTAAATTTCAGAAGCTGCCATTAGCAGTTCACCCTATGATAGCTCTTACAGCATGGGCTGGAAAAATCTCTGCTTCAGACCTTGTCTCAGCTATAAACTTGCTAGGTGACCTTATCTTTCCACCTCCACTCCCCACCTCCCCACTGTTTCTGATACATGGCAACAACCAAGTAGCTCTGGTACTCGCTGCAAATGTATGTGAAGCCTTTGGAGCAACTTTTAAATACTGAACTCCAGCCCTGAAAGGGGCTAGTTTCAGTTACCAATTAGATTACTGATTTAGATTGTACATCTGATTTGGATGTGGTTGATGCTCTGAGTATGCCATATATTGGACCATGCCATTCCTAAATGCAGCCAGCTCCAGTCTTAGTGTGTCAACGCATGATTTGAACAATATGTTTTGCCACAGTTAATATATGTTGATGTATTTTTATAACATTCTCTCTCATATACTTTTAAATAGATCACTTTTTTTTATTTAAACAAGCTTAGCAACAGATGGCTGATGCGGAATTCGAAATCACTGTAACTAAGGAGAATTCATTTGTTGAGGTATATTCAGAAAGTGTCCTTCCACTTCAGAGGACATCTTTAGAAACCTGAACACTTTTTCTGAGGGCATTTTTCACAGTTCACGACAAGATTCGAGTGCACGTTAATTATTGGTTTTTAAATGCTACATCTGCTAGGCTTTAAGGTAGTTCTGTTTTAATCAAGCTGTCAAATTGGTGGTATTGTTACAAGAGTATTACCACTTCTGCCACCCACATGGCTTTTTTTCCTTTCAATGCTGCTATACGGCACAGAAGAACTGAGAGAATACAGTACACTAAAGATGTAGCTGAAGAAGGACATTTCTCCTGTTGAGTTTCCTCTATGCTTTCCAAATAGGTGAACTCTAATGGTTTAAACTGCACACAAGCCAAGCATGCAGTAAATGCTTTATGAGGTAATATGCATTTGAGCAAAGCACGGTTTGTACTGATAAATCTCTAATCTGTTTGTTTTAGTGTTTCCACATGTAACGCCCAAAGGAATAAATGGCATTGACTTTAAAGGGGAAGCTATAACTTTCAAGGCAACGACTGCTGGAATCCTAGCTACGCTTTCACATTGTATTGAGCTAATGGTAAAACGTGAAGAAAGCTGGCAGAAAAGATTGGATAAGGTAAGATTTCACTGCCTTTTGAAGGGTTAAATGGCGTGGCTTTGGCTTCAGGTAAATTAAGGGTGGTAACTTGTGTTTACATGCAGTTATGTACCTTAAGGTTGTTTTCGACAAAATGGTTTAAAATGCCAGCACTTCCATCTATTGTAGCCATGTTATTTAGCAAATATCACATGTTGCTTGTTGGTTCTCCATCCGCAGACCTGATTGCAATCTGTTAGTGTTGTATGTTTGAAGTGTGCTTCTTACAATTTGGTGTTTAAGAAGCTTTAAACAGGATTAAGCTTCTTAAAAAAAATATAAAAATATTTGTGCTAATTTTCCTCATGCCCTGTGTTAGCCATATTGCTTGTTTGTGAGTAGTGCTACATAACTCTGCAGTATGTTTTAACTCTGTGTCCTGGCGTGAAAGTCTTCTTCTTTGGCGATCACTCGTAGCCGAGTTAGATTGTCTTCCATAAACACAGTTATTAACAATGAGTCCGTAAGTGACTGCGAAGGCCAATTCTGGATCCACACATCCTTCACAGTGGAGACATAGGTTTCCGGGCGGAAGTTGATCAAGGTGAACGTAGCCTCTCAAAATCTGTTTTGTTTTCAATTGCTATATGATATTTTAGTTAAAGGCTAAAATTCCAGTTGCTCCAATAGCTTTCATCTTGAGAACTTTTTTTGTTGCCTATTCCTCTTACCATTTGCAATAACCCAACAGTTTGTTATGCCTCTGCATCTTATGATGCAATATAGCAATTTATGAAGATGCTATCACAGTGTTCAATTCTTGTTCCAATATGAGATTAGAAATAAACTTTTGCCCTTGTGTGTATTCTTACAGGAAATTGAAAAAAGGAGGAGAATAGAAGAAGCCTACAAAAATGCTATGACAGAACTTAAAAAAAAGTCTCATTTCGGTGGGCCAGATTATGAGGTAGGAACTGGTGATACACGGTAGCTCTGTCCCTAGGTCATAAGCATAAGGTAGTCCTGAGGGAAATCTTAGAATACCAGGCAATGAAGTTCAAATATTTATCTTTTTTCAATATTTACCCTGGACCATGAATACCTGGAAGCAAGGTTTCAGTGCAGACTTCCTGCGCATCAAGAAAGGGTTGTGACTTAGTAGATTTGAAAGCACAGTAGCTTAAATACACTTCTTGCGAAAACCTTTCCCTTACTTTTTAATCTGTGAATAATCGTAAGGGCGTATCCCCAATGCAATCCATTGTTCTATTTCTCATTCTAAGTCTCATTAAATATAAGGAGACTGAAACATTTGTAGCTTTTCCAGATTATGGACCCAGTTTCAAAGAATGTGGAATGCAAAAGACCCCACCTGTCCATTTTATCAGACATGTATATACTATAAAGCTTGTTTGAAAGAAGTGGCGGCGGTTGAAAGCATTGTAATTATTCATTTATACTATGCAGATGAACCAAGTACTTCCCAGTCATGTGGTGATAACAAATACGACTAAGAAGTTGACTCCAGAGAGTTTGAAGAACGTTTGTTATAGTGTGAAGGTTTTTACAACTAAAATCTTGCATATAAACCCTTAGCTAGAATAGTAAGAGAGCTTAGGATTGTCCATCTTAAATCAGGATTCTGTTCTCATTACTTAGGACATGTACTTTTATGAACAGCCCAACTTTCCATGTATGTGCTTAAGCATTATTCAGATTTGCTCTTGGTACTGCAACTCCTTCAGTTCCTTACGCTGCTGTGTAAGAAAGAGGATTGGGGGATGTGTGTGTCAAACTCCAGAGTGTGGGTAGTGCCAGACATATATTGTATTAAAATGCATGAGGAGTAAGAGATGCAAAACTAGCCCAACTGCTTCATGCTGCTTATGAGCTTTATTCCCCAGCAGTTATGTGAATAAAGATGGTAGCAGAGACGGCAGCAGATACAGACACTCCAGACCTTTGTGGGAGTAGGAGGACATTGCTCAGAAATGAGATATGGCCCCTCAAAGCGCCCCTGGTGCCATCCAGTCAAGGCTGAGCTCTTTAAGAACCATTTATTTCAGTAGTGGAGATTTTAGCATTAACTTCTGTGACACTTGACTATACAAGATGCACAGCGTGAATTGATATCAAATAATGCCAGCCGAGAAACAGAAGTTCTGGACTTCAGAATTTCTAACACATCACCACCAGTTTGCATTTGATATTTGCTTGCTTAGTGGCATTTTCTCCCTTCCAGTATCCTTGATGTTTACTGTTCCTTGTCCTTTACTCTTAGGTCTGTGTCCTCTTAAAATTGTGGTTGCCAGTGCTCACCTAGATCTAGTCTTGTGATCCCTGTATGGTAGTTCTCTTGCTTAACAAGCAGCTTGAACTACTACCTTAACATGGGAAGACAGTAATAGAATCCCATGTTCTCGCCACCTTATTATAAATACGTGAAAAGGTCTATACTATATATCATTACCTTTATGCTTAATATTTAAACAGATCTGTAGAAAGTTGACGCAATTGTTTTATTTTTGTTTTGAACTGTCTAAACAGCTTTTTACATGAGCATTTTTAATGAAATACTTTTTCCCTAATGAAGAACTTGGAGTGCATTTGGTTTATTAAAAAATGTCATTTTGTACCTGCTATCGACCTTTACTCGTGTTTGTTATAGGAAGGTCCCAACAGTCTGATTAATGAAGAAGAATTCTTTGATGCTGTAGAAGCTGCTCTTGATAGGCAAGACAAAATCGAAGAACAGGTAATGGATGTTTCTCTAATTAAGTGAAGAGCATGTATGCCACAGTGGAGTTTAATTAAGCCCCTTTAAGATCACATATTACGCTCTTGTCAGAAGTATAACCTTGTCTGTGGGTTCATGCAGCCAATATAACATTTCAGTTCATTTATTTTAGAACCTCACTTTATTATGTAAAAATATGTGTTCAGAGCAAATATTCATAGTAGTATTCTGCTGTCTATACATGTGAATGTGCTGCAGTACTTTTATTATGAGCAGAGTGAACTTAGGTCAGTTTACTAAGCTCCCTGCATTGTAACTTTTCTGTTTTGTTAATATTACAGACAAGAGACAATTGCTGTCTGTTTGCAGCACGGCCATTATCTTTAAGGCTTTGCATTCTTAACTTACGGGCTGGAGTGCCATGTCGTGCCTGCCATAGATAGATAATAATTTTTAGCATTTCTGTGGTAATTGTTCACGATACGTCCAAAATTACAAACTAATAATTATACCTTGTTATTTTAGTCCCAGAGTGAAAAGGTCAGATTACACTGGCCATCATCATTGCCACCTGGTGATGCATTTTCTGGTGTGGGGACTCACAGATTTGTCCCAAAGGTAAGATGTTTCCTAGGCTCTCCTTGATGGGAAATCATTTTGTTGTATTCCAATGTAACTAGAATGAATTGCTTGTGATGTAATCCATTGCTCTTCCTAATAGGTCCTTGAAATTGCTTTTAACTTTGGGGAAGGAAGCTGGCTTGACCTTGAAACACTTCTTCTGTTAAACTTTTGTGCTTGGAAATTATGCTTTAAAAATTCACAACTTGGGGAGAAAGTTTCTTTTTTCAGATTTCCACAAGCCCTTATTTTGCACGCTGTTGATGATGGTGCATTTTGAGCCAGTGAAAATTTATTGTGCATCAAATCTAACCATCCTCATTTAGCATCAGGGAGAGAGAATTATGTACAGGGCAGTGTTGGGAGCATAATACATAATAGGTGCATGAAGTCAGCATTTGCTGCTGTACTCCCTGCTTACGATGCTTTTGTTCTTCCTTTTCTTCATTATCCTGTGCTTGGAAGTTGGTACTGAATGCTCTGTTGTGCTTTTGTTCTGATTACTTGGTTTTTTCTTTGTCTGTCCCTGTTAGCCCTATAGTCGCTCTTCCTCCATGTCTTCCATTGATCTAGTCAGTGCCTCTGATGATGTTCACAGATTCAGCTCCCAGGTACTGTATGATTACACAGAGTGGCTTTACATATCTTTATGCTGTATTTCATCTTCTTTATTGCCTCTGTTTCCCCTGTTATATTGCTCATTTGTACTTGTTTTAAACAAGTTGCAAATGAACCCATAAAAAGGAAGTGTATATTCCAAAACTTTTTATCGTTTCATTGTTTCTACACTTAGCACTCCATGCCAAGGTCCTCTTCTGGAAAACGAAGCAGCATTAATTTATGGAACATAAATTAAACATGTTAGCTTTTTCATATCCTGCTTTCTGGATATGAATAACTTACCATAAAAGCAGCAGGACACCTGGTCTGTGTAGGATGCAGAGGAATTTGGTTTCAAAATAGCTGCTGTTGTATATAAACCAAAGATGTTCCCAAATGTATTTAAATTCTCCATTTGCAACAATTCAGTACTTCTAAGTTAAGCAGCACCACTTTTCCCAAGCATCTGTGCTCAGAAAATCCTAATTGTTAAATTTGTAAATTTAGTTAAACTTAAGCCTAAACTGTCCTAATGAAATGTACCATGGGAGGTCTGCAGTTAGTATCTTCTCCCTTGTTTGGAAACAGCACAATACTGAATATTTTCAGTCTCTTAAGTAGTACCTCACGTTGGAGATATACTAGTGGTCAGTTGACTTTAGAATGGGATATCAACACAAACTATATTTGTAGCAGGCTCAAAGATACTGACTTCCTCTGTCTTGTCCAACCTTGCTTTTTTCTTTGCAAATGAGTTTTCTTTAGGTGCTCCAAATTGCAGAAGACTTCTCCCATCAGTTAGAAAGGAATACGGCTGTAAAATGTTTATTAAATTCTATGTAGTGGTTCTAGTAAAAGTCTGAAGATTTTTCACTGTTCTTTTTAAATAGTAGTTGGTTTGTAGTTAGAATTCAATTGAGAATTATGGACCACATGTTCCATATTAGAAACCAAGCCATATGGGAAACCAAACCAAATCTCTGTTAACTGTTGATGATGTACCTTCTTAGACCAATGCTTATGGAAAGTATTTTGGGTGTTCTGTGTAGACTAAAACGGTGCTGACCATTGTACTTCCGCTTATACAGCCAGAGGCACTAGACACTGAAGCCCACCACAAAGTGGCCCAAACTAGTGTTTGAGAAACACTGATCCAGAATATCTGTTACGTGTGTGAATGGAGGATCACATTGCTTGCATACTGTTAAATTGGACTGAAAAAATGCACATACCTCGCTCTGTGAACCCTTGTTTTCAGACTTTGTCATTTTGGGAGTTGGCTGCTTTATCTTGTTTGTCAACTTCAGTTTCTAGATGTTAATGCAATGTGTAAGCTAGATAGTGGTTAGATTAGATTTGATTAGATTATTTAAATTTTATACTGCTTAATATATTGAAAATATCTCAAAGCGGTGTGATGTAGTGATATCTTCACACGAACATGCACTAGTTTAAGAGGCACATTAGAAGTGTGCAGGGGTAAGGGAAAGTCATTCTGCTTGGTCTGTTGCACATAATAATAAATTGTTGGAATTTGATGGCTGTTTCAATAGGCACAGCTACCATTGTTTCTTACTTACTGTGTCTCTAGAATTATTGCTGTCACACTTGACATAACTGGTGAATGTGACCTCTAAATTTCTAGGTGCTATGCAGCAAAGGATAAAATTTAGAAGTAGACTAGTGTCTGCTTTCAAGACTAGATTGACATTCCAGAAAGAGTATCATGGAAGTTTGGTTGTCACTATATAGCTGTCACTATATAGACAAGTAATATACAGCCCAGCATAAATTTATTACAGTCATCATGCGGTCACTGGTTGTGATACTTCTCTGTCTGGTGACAAAGGCAGGAGTGAAAAGATATCTAGGAAGTGGGTGGCCCCCTTCCATTATTTATTTATTTTACTTCTGACTGACGAAGCAAACTTCATCTTCCCCAATCAGGCTAAAGATATGTGATGGTTAACTAGTAGAATATATGGTTTACTGACCAGGGTGCTAAAGAGTTTTGAATGCTGATATGGACAATGCTGTGTCCTTTTTTGTGATTCTGGATGAGCCCAGAAAAGGCACATAATTCACAGGAATCTTGGCTGATTGTTTTTAAAAAATGTTTAACCCTTACAGCTACAAGGATATATTTGAAATCATATGGAAGATGCCTGCAAAGGATCTCACAAACCAGAGTGGTGGTATTTGTAGAAAGGGATTCAGTATTCTGCACGACTTCTTGCCCAGCAAAAATAAAAATTAAAAAAAATAGTAAACATTGTGAACAAATTCTGCATGAAAAAAGAATTCAACTTGCATAATTCATATTTGTTCAACCTGCATAATTTATAGGGGCTTCAAAATTGAGTTTTCATTGTTGTGCCGGAAGTTGGGCATGCACCGCACACAAACTGGGCTGGCTGAGAACCTCCCTGGCTAGGAGTCATTACTACTGACTGGCTTGGTTTGCACATAATGCTTTGTTTGATCATCCAGACCCAGTGGCTTAGCTTATTTTACTGCCAGCTGACTAGAATCTGAAACAATTGTTTGTTGTTGGCTTACAGAATCTAGTTTCATAAATCTGGGGGACAACGAGTTAGCTTTATGTATGAAACAGAGCACTCTAAAAGAGAAAACAAGAAGTATGAGATAGAAATTCACTGTGCTCTGTCTGGGGCTGTCCAAGATGCTCCAGGGACTGCAGCTGCACAGGTGTCGATGTGGCCTGTGAGCAACAATTCTAAAGCATCTGCATTTGATGCCTTTATCTCAGTGAACCCAATTTAAGGTGTTGACTTTGATATATAAAAACCTGGATGCCTTGGGCCCCAGCTACCTGAAAGAGTGTCCATCCCAATACTAGTCAGCCTGTTTATTCAAATCTGTCAGGGAAGCCTTATTAGAAGCCCCATCACTGGTGGAGGTCTGGTTGGCAGGTATCTGTAGCAGGGCCTTCTCAGTAGTGACGCCCCAGTTCTGGAATCCCCTCCCCCCTGAGATTAGACAGGTATAGACACTGGGAGGTGGTTAATGTGCCTTTTCTTAACAGTGGTGATTTTATACATTTCAGATTAAGGGAGATAGCTGGTAATGATTTTTTTTAAATTTACATTTGTATTGCTTGCTTCTGTTCTGTTACTGCATTGTATCTTACCCAAGTGTAACCCGCTCTAAGATCATTAGGTGAAACAGTGAGATATAAATAAATCTTAATATCTTATTTTTGGAAGGAGATCCACCTTTGTCTGAATCCTTTGTGGCTTGTGCTTGCTTGCTTTCAGAAATTCCTTGGTCCAAATCCATCTCTTTCAGACGTTCAGCTATTGATGCCTCATTGAGTACCCTCCACAAATCCACACAGTGACTGATATTTTTTCATAAATGTGCTTTTTCTTTTTCTTCTTTTTTTTTCGGAAGGTTGAAGAAATGGTGCAGAACCACATGACCTATTCATTACAGGATGTAGGGGGAGATGCTAATTGGCAGCTGGTGGTTGAAGAAGGTGAAATGAAGGTTTGTAGAACATTGCAACGTTTTATATTTTGGAAATGTAAACTAACATTTGTTTTATTGCACTAATGCAATAGATTGAAATTTTTCTTGTATCAAAGGGCAGTATAGAAAAAAAAATAAGTAAAGATAACGTTATAAGATGGCTACAGTTGGTACAGTTTCTTAACAGCATGTGAACTGGATATTTCTGCAAATGACAGGCTATAAGTTTTGTTCCTTTTTGAGAAAGTTGTCTACTCACCACCATTTCATTCCTCATTTGGATTCCCCCCCCCCCCACACGTAATCAAAGTCCTTATTTTCAACTGAATATTTCAAATAATACCGGATCCCAGTACTCTTGTGTATGCCTTACTGCCTTCCTGTTTGCTAACATGCCTTAGGCTGCCTGCTAATTTGAAAGCAGGGTTTGGATTTGAGCACAGGCATCCTGCTGATTCTTTTTGGTGTTCTGCCTCTCCACAGCTGTGCTAGCTAGGACTTGATGTAGTCTAAAACATCTGGAGGGTGCCAGGTTGGAAGGCTCCACTGTGTTGTGCTTCAGGTTCCTTTTTTTAACATTAATATTTAGAGGCAGCATTACAGGATATTTATTTTTAAATAATTCAGACCCTTCCTGGACCTACAATTATTCATATTGCTGCCTTTAGTTTCCAGGATGAAACCAAGCAAATGTTCTCAAACATTTTACATTTATTCAAAGGTGTACAGGAGGGAAGTGGAAGAAAACGGCATTGTTCTCGATCCTTTGAAGGCCACACATGCAGTCAAAGGCGTCACAGGGCATGAGGTCTGCCACTACTTCTGGAACGTTGATGTTCGTAACGATTGGGAAAGTAAGTCACCCTTCTAGTTGCGTCTGTTGATCTGGATAGCGTACAGAAATCTTAGCTGTTTGTTTAATTGTTTGTTTTGATTATATTTTTCCTTCCTTTCCAGCAACCATTGAGAATTTCCATGTAGTAGAAACTTTAGCAGATAATGCCATCATAATCTACCAGACGCATAAGGTAAGGCTTAATGCTTTACATTTATATGCGGTAGCTTTTTCATAGGACTGCACAGTACCATGTATCCTATGAAGAATGATGTACGCTATAAAGAAAGGAAACAAGCAGTCTAGCTGTTTAAAAAAAAATTCAATCCCTTATGGTGTGGTTTAGCCTATTGAAGCATTGCCAAACTCTTCATAGCAGGCCAGATCAGACAGTGAAAAATTCTATATCTGCTGTTGCTCTTTACTGGCAAGGATTTTTTTTTATTCCCTTTCCTTTGGCCCCCATTTGTCCAGTCACAATGGACACCTTTCAACTTGCAGAACCTGAAGTTGTGGAGGGGTGAGGCCTATCACATGTGTTTCTGACCCTTGCCTGTCCTGGCTTATAGAAGAAGTTGTGAGGGGGACTGGTGGTGTGGATAAGGGCGGGGAATGAATGTCTGTTTAAATCAAGACAGAGTCCCACCATGCCTGAAAGAGGCATTGGTTAAATCTCTTCTTTTTCAAAAAAATACCAACAACTCTCTCTGAATCCCACAGTATAATTGTCAACCAATCACCAATCTTGCATTCCTTGGCAAGGTGTTAGAGCATGTGGCAGCCTCTCAGCTCCAGGATGAAACCAATTATCTAGCTCCATTCCAGTCAGGCTTTAGGCCTCATTATAGAAAGGAGACAGCTTTGGTCACCTTGGTGGATGATCTATGCTGGGAACTGGACAGGATGAGAGTGTCCATGTGCCAACTGTACCCGTTTATTGAAATGTCAGATCTTGCCACAGTGATGCATGCATGCCTTAGTTACATCCCAGTTGGACCACTATAACACGCTGTACATGTGGCTGCCTTTGAAAAGTGTTTAGAAGCTTCAACTAGTCCAAAATGCTCTGGCCAGACTGCTGACTGGGGCCAGTTAACATGTTACTTCCCTGATAAAGCAACTTTACTGGCTACCGGTTCATTTCCAGGCACAATTCAAAGTGATGGTTATGCCCTATAAAGCTCTACATTGCTTAGGCTCAGGACACCTGGAAGCTCATATCTCCCAATGCAAACCTGCTCAGATGCTAAGATCCTTGGCTGAGCAACTTCTCTCAGTCCCATCAGCATTAGACACAAGAGAGAACATTTTTTCCGGCAGCTGCTGCCGTATTGTGGAATTCCCTCCCAAGAATAGTTAGATTGGCTCCCTTTTTGTTGTCCTTCCACCGGCTAAGCCCTTGGTATTCAGACAGGCCTTTGAAATCTAAGGTGCAAACACTGCTGACCACTGGACTGCTGTCAGGGCAAACTGTATTTGAGTGCTGGAACTAAATATGTTTTGATGTATCTTAACTATTTTTAACTAGCTTGTTTTTATTATTTCACATTTTATAATGATGTTTTTAAATGTTGCGAGCTGCCTTGGGAGAAAGGCAAGATACATTAAATAATAATAATAATAATTATAATAACCTTGCTCATAAAACTTTTGGTTTGTTAGGTATTTAAATCTGTTTTCCTTTTGATCTTCAATAATGGTGTGTCATACTTGGGAGAGAGACAATAGTCCAGTGATAGAGCACAAGCTTGGCAAGTCTTCAATTCAACACTCGCTCTGCGTGTGTGTGTGTGTGTGTGTGTGTGATCAGTATTATGTGATCTCGATGATCAGGACATAGCTGACCACCACACACTCCCATGGTAGCTATTTTGTGACTGGTGCCCCCAACACTCTCCCAAAGCTCAAAATGTTCTCATCATGTTAAGCCAAGCTATGGCTTAGCTCAGTAAGATTACAGAACAACGAAAAGGAAGCAAAGGAGCTTGAACATTTGCCATAACCCATGATTCCGTTTACATGATGTGTAAATCAGACCTATCAAAGCTCATGTCATAATAAATAAATGTTAGTTGTGTTTGCTGCAACAGGCTAACACAGCTTACCGCTCTAAGAATTGTTATAGGGTTGTTGTAAGATTGCAATAAGGTAATGCGTGTGGAGTGATTTAAGTGCTCTGAAGTACTATAAATATGCTTACAATTTTCTTCTAGAGAGTGTGGCCTGCTTCTCAACGTGATGTGCTGTATTTGTCTGCTATTAGAAAAATACCAGCTTTCAATGAAAATGACAGTGAAACATGGATTGTCTGCAACTTCTCGGTGGATCATGATAGTGCTCCTGTAAGTGTATATTCCAGTTCTGAGGGTGTTTCTTGCTTTAACCATGTAATAAAACTTCTCTCCAGATTACCATAGAATGCTTTTTTTTTTTTAACAGTGTACAGGCAAAAGGGAGCTAAGAGAAAGGATAATTAAAAATGCAGACTGAATGAATTGTAGTGAAAATGGAGGGACTGTGTTTGTTGTAATATTTCATCCTAATTCATATTTTAGCAACATAACAGTCTTAAATGTTTGTATTTCTTGACAGTTGAACAATCGATGTGTTCGTGCCAAAATAAATGTTGCTATGATATGTCAGACGCTGGTAAGCCCACCAGAAGGGAACAAGGAGATAAGCAGAGACAACATCCTATGCAAGATTACCTATGTAGCAAATGGTAAGGCATGTCTACACATTTCGTTGCAAACTGAGTTTATGCAAAAGCCCCGCTCCTTTTCTTAATAAAGCACCTAGTTGTAGGCACTATATAATAAACTGGGAACTTAAAAATAGGAACACTATTTAGTTTATATAAATGAGGCAACTTCGAGCCAATCTAGTCAAAGGTTTTTTTAAGGACTGTTGAAACTAGGGTTGAGTGCTTTTGGGGGGGGGGTGAGCTTTTCTTAGTTTTGCCAAAAGTTGTTGAACAACCATGCCATTTCTGAGCTATTTTTATGGGAAATCAGCAAAAAAAGGCACTGCCGTCATGGGCTGCCATAGATCCGGATTTTCCCAGACGTATGGCAACCCTAGTTGAAACTGAAGTCAAATCCAAGTGGTACTGAAATTTTAAATGTCCACTTCCTTATTTAGAAATGAGGCAGGCAGGCGGGACATTAGAACAGGTGTTTTCAACCTTTTCAGACATAGGGCTCACATGCATTTGGAGGCCATTAATCTTTTACCTTATATTTGCATGGTGCTAGTGCTCCTGTTGCAACCCACCTTGGATCAGGCCACCATCCACTAGTGGGTTTCAACCCACCCATTGAGGACCAGTAAGTACACTTGGCTAAATGCCTTCTGTCCATTTCACATATCAACAAGACTAGGTTTCATACAATGAACAGTGAAGCCACATTCAAACCTTCTCTCTGATAGGTGTGTATCCGTTCGATGCATTTACGCTTCCCTTTCTTTGCACTTAATATATTGGGTGCAATGGATGAAGTAGCTCTTAGGTTTCATAGGCTAGTCGCTACCAAATGTCATATATATATTTAATCTCTTTTCCCTATAAATACTATACTTTAAATTTACAAAAAATGATACATGTATTTCTGTCAAGGTTTTTTTTAAAAAAATTGCTGCTCTTATATTTGTACGTCGTTTCCTTTGCTCCAACATGCAATATTTTGTTCTTACATAGATATTCAGCATGCTTCTTATGCTGCAGCCAGGGATCATGAACCTTTTTGGACCTCCGAACACATGTAATGAATTGTGGGCATTACACTTCATCTAGCTGCAAATATTTCCAGCTCCCTACACAAACCACACATACATACAGGACCCATACTCTCACATGCATGTATGCAGCACACACTCATATAATTTCATTCTATTTCACAAACACACACACATTCAAGGGCTCTCTGATCAGGTCTGAAGTGTCCATTGAATCTGAAGTGTAGGAGGATGAGTAATTGCTGGAGGAGGATCCACATCTCAGGATTGACTTTCCTTCTTATAATATTTTCGTGCCCTTTTGGCCAAGGCCACAAAAGTGCTTTCTTCTGGTCCTGCACCACCTGAAGGTGAAGCTGCTCAGGCATCAAGGGTAGTTTTTGCTCAAGGACCCCTGAAACCCCACATAGGTGCTTCCTTAGATTCCCCCCCCCCCACACACACAGAGTACACAAGACAGAGTGGATCAACCCTATGCAAGGGAAATCTTTACTTCACATAGCTAATAAACTCTACACTTGGACACAGTTCTGTGCAATCCCAACCAGGGACTAAGACATCTGCCACTTTAATCAGGAGTCGGAAGAAAACTTTTTTGGGTTGTTGTTTTTGTTAATTGCTGCTCTCAACCTCTGTGCCTATATGTTCACGTGCAGTATTCAGATATGCCCAAAGACTGAGGCAAACTGATGAAAAGCAGGCCGCCTTAATAAAATCATTTGTTCTGCATAAAAACTGGTGTATTGTTCTAGTTGCATTTTTATATATGCGATGTCACTTTTCAGTGTATACATCACTCTCATCTTTATTTGTAGTGAACCCTGGAGGTTGGGCACCAGCTTCTGTGTTACGGGCAGTAGCAAAGCGAGAGTACCCCAAATTCTTGAAGCGGTTCACATCGTATGTGCAAGAGAAAACGTCAGGAAAGCCTATTTTGTTCTAGTGTTAACAGGTAATGCAATAGAGACAGCCATTGCATAATTAAGAGATACTGAGATTCTGGGAATACAGTGTTATTTGGAGCTTAATTTTAAAATGGTGCAGTAAGTTTGAAATCTTCCTGTGTTGGGAGGCAAGGAAGATTTTTTTTGTTGCAGGGTAAAATTTGAGAATCAACATTATATTTTGGGGGAATTGCTTTTGTCACTGAAATACTGTGAAAACTGAAATTGCAATGTTGCTGCCTTTGAAGCATATCTGAAGTTTGGTATAGTTGGATTCCTTGTGTTTCATATAAAAGAAACATTAGGTGCACATATTTGTTTTTGCCCCTTATAAGGCTGTGCAGTGGGTTTCTTCAGCTGCCTAGAATGATCAGTTAAGAAATCATGTAGCTAGGAAACAGTAGGAATGGGTAACGTAACCTTGCTGGCAATCTGTCTGCTAGTAAATGCAGAAGGAACAATAAATAAAATGGCAGGTGGTGATTTCATTATTAAACCCTCAAATTAAGGCCCCCCTTCTGTCTTTTCTGTGGGTGTCACTTATTGTTATATAATACTCAACAGACTCTCTTCCTTCTGAACTGTCAAATGAAAGCATGAATGGGGAATATATAATAAAGACATTATTGTGCTTTCCACATTTTCATGTTTCATAGCACCGTCTTAGCTTTGTTGGTGGTAGTCAGAACTGAAGCTTTCATCCATTCCCCTCCCTCCTCCATCCCCAGTGATTGGAACAAGGCTGTGTGAACATTCCACATGGAGAAATGAACCAAAATGAATGCTCCAAGCTGGAACGTAGGATCTACAGTCTTATGACCCAAGTCCTGGATTCTGTACTCAACTGAAGAAATACTGCAATGCCATGATGCTGATCTTTCACTGTCTTTTGCTAGCTCACCTTGCTGAATTGGTGTGTAATTATAAACAAAACACAAAATACATGTGTTGATACATGTATGTGGCTCTACTTTATTTGCTTGCTTTAGAGAAGAAAAATACAACTTTTGGGTCACCAACTTGGTTTATTGCTTTAACTTTTGAATAATTTGAAAAGCTTTTGTTTACTGTGGATCTTCATCATAAGACACTTGCACAGCTTCCATTTTGTGTATGTCTAAAAAAAGCACAAAGGACAAATGCACATATAACATACTGTATGTGCTTTATATACACAAAAACCTGTGTGTTGTAACTTTTTTTCCTTCAGGTTTTCAGTAAACTCTGTGTCTTTCGGGGGGGATTTTTTGTTTGCTTTGTATAATCATAGTTCATTGCTGCTGGTTTCTATGATAAATCATATTGTTATGTAAGACATCTCTTAATATGAGAGGGTTGTCGAGATCCTTATGACTGCCTTTTCTATGGTCTTGCTCCTATGAAGATCTTCAGGGTTCTGATGGAGTAAGTGTGAAAAGCTTTATTTTCCCCTCCCCCAGATATCTTTATATTTCTATTGTATTTTTTAGTTGTGTAAAATGTGCTACAGAAATTTAGTTATTGAACATGATCCAGAATTTCTAAATAGGTAGAGGACGTGAACAAGAAGGTGTGAGCACCCGAAAAAGCTAGAGAAGTGTCTTGCCCAGGTTGTGTGTGATGGCCTTGCTTTCTTGCAATCTGATTTCCTGAAGCTGCAAGAAGTTAACACTGTGTAATATTTATTAAAGTAAATTGGAATACATAATATAACATTCCCAGTCACAAAGAAAGAGCAAATATGCTGTTTTCTGGTCCTGCATGTTTGTTTGTTTTCTGTTCAATAAAGCTGTGTTATGAAGTTCATACATACAACCTTTCACACATGTAATATTTGCCCCCCCATCTGCATTGTAAAATGTAAAAATCCATAAAAGCAAAAAAGCAAAGTTCCCCTTAGTTGCTGTGAGAACTTAACTTTCAAGGATATGCCTGTCTGTGATGCCAACAAATAACATGAAAAGTGAACTGTGACAAAAGACTGGTCGTCCTTTTGAGGAAATGTCTCACTTGGTGGTTGTGCTTTTAAATGGAGATTATTCAGAGGATTTGTTTTGTTTTTTTAGCTGTTAGATCAACTTGTGTATATATAAAGAGAGAGAGACGAGATTTGGATATATTTTTGAAAAGAAAGCAGAAAGTCTTATTTCATATAGAGTAACCGATGCCTGAAAACAAAGACAGTACTTTTTAATGAAGATACAGCTGATGAAAATCATTGAGGTTGGAAGCAAGTTTTCTTGGTTATGGCTGGTGTGTCATAGATATGCTAAGGTAGACACACTATGGTTGATTTATACACATGCACACAGATTCCATGTTTTTTAGTCTCCTTTATTTGCCTTTCTCTAAATAATGTGCATGGAATATGCCTTATTACAGAATAATTCTGATCATGATTTGAAAATGTAGAAGAGAAGTGCCTATGGGGTAATGCCAGTAAGGCAAGTAAGTTGAGAAATTTGATCTGTTTACTATATCACCAGTAAGCATTTTATATACAGTTTCTTATACCTCAGATACGTTTAATCTTTTTACAATCAACTGAAGGATAAAATTGTTCATTCACCATAGCCACTGATGGGAACTTCAACAATGCTTAGACCCCAAATGCAGATTTAACAATTTGCTATTTCTGGTAATGATCATGGAAGACATGCAAGTAACTCTAATTTAATTGGATAGCTTTATTATACAAAGAGATGGAAAGTTTACAAAGCAGTATATAAATCTTAATATCATTAGTTGCATTTGCACTAAATGTGATGTATTTTGCAATTCTGTAAATAAAAATTACACTAAATATACTATTTGTAAAGAATACATTTTACTTTTAGACAAGCGGAGTCACTTTATTAGAGCTAGCCCTGCCCAACTGATAACTGGAGGCTTCCTGGGATATATGGCAAGAGCTTTTTTAAAAAAAACCCAATGATGACATGGAAGCTTCCCCTAAGAAACTGACAGGCTCAGTCAGCCCATGCAAAGAACCTTTCCCCCAGCAGAGAACTCTTTTCTTCCCCATCCCTGGCCCTTCCAAATGAGTCATTCCATCAAAACCCTCATTCTGCCTATCCATATCCTCCTTTGTCATTGGCAATAGCTGGTGAACACATGCTTCAGTCCCTTTTCCTTGACTTCTGCACGAACTTGACAATACAGTTGCCCTCTATGTACCGTATTTTTCGCACCATTGGACACACTTTTTTACTCTTAAAAGGAAGGGGAAATGTCTGTGCGTCCTACGGAGCGAATGTGTGGTCCCTGGAGCCAAATTGCCGGAGTGCGGCACACTCTTGGACTGGTCTTTGGTAGTGGTGGTGGAGCCGCGCGCCCCTGCCAGCAGCCTCGGCTTCCCCCTGCAGCCCCAGGAAGCTTTGGAGCAAGGAGGCCGCCCATGCCGCACTCGGGCTGCGGCTAGGCGGGCGCCCATGCCGCGCACTCCTGGGCTGCTGAATGGGGGCGGGGGGGAGAGCCGCGCTCATCTGCCGGCAGCCTCGGCTTCCCTCTGCAGCCCCGGGAAGCTTTGGAGCAACGGGAAGGCTGTGCGCCCATGCCGCGCACTCCTGGGCTGCTGAATGGGGGCGGGGGGTGCTGCTCTGCCAACAGCCTGCCCTTCCCCTCAAGGTTTGGAGCAGTGGGCAGGCTGTTCACTGAGATAGGGGAGGAAGAGGACGGAGAGGAGGGGGACCAAGAAGCTGGGTGAAGGGAGATGAGGTACCATAGGTTGCCGTGAGTGGAGAGTCATGGTAGAGGGCAAAGGAGAGGGAGCAGTGAAGGGGAGAAATTGTAGACATCACCTGAGGAGTTTGGGTGAAAGGGATGGAGAGGAGGAGGCTGGAAAAGGGGACTGTTCTGCTTGGGGGGGGGGTGGAGAAAAAAGTGGGGGAAAGGAAAGCCTCCCAAGCCTGCCGCTGAGAAGCTCTGCTTGGCTGTTTCTTGACTGTAATTCAAGTAAAGGGAATGTTTGCGAGCAGCTGGCAGGCTGTTCGCTGAGAGAGGGGAGGAAGAGGATTGAGAGGGAAAATGTGGCATTAGCAATGCTTTGGATGGATACTGAAGATGGTATTTTACATGAAGATAGCGAAGAAAGTGATGTCAGTGACTGTGAGCAACTGAGCTTCATAAATTCTGACTTTAGCAGTGATGAGTTCTTGGGGTTCACAGAAGACTAGAAGAGTACTCAAACCTTAAAGTCTCTCTTCGTTGTTAATGACAGTGCCATTCTTAATGCCATTGTTGACTGCTGTTCACTTTACATGGCTGTAATGTGATTCTGATATAACGGTTGTTTATTAAATACAGTAGTTTATACAACATTTGATTCAGAATATTTTTTCCTTGTTTTCCTCCTCTAAAAACTAGATGCGCCCTATGGTCGGGTGCGTCCAATGGAGCGAAAAATACGGTATGTGGAGCCTTCCCCAAAGGTGGCTTTGCCTCCTCAGTGCCTGTTTGTTGCATTGAAAGCCTGACTTTGCCACCACATAAATTGATTTCTGTTAAATGATGGACCTCGCTGTTGCGATGGGTGGGGTAGAAGATGGAAAAGAAGGTCAGGAAACAAGCACTGCTCATTTCTCCCTGATTTTTAGACCCTTTTAATATATTCTTTTCCACTCTGTCTAAATCTTACAAATTTCTTGGGGTGGGGGGTGGGTGCGTTATTTGACCTTAAAAGAAGTTAACTCTTATCTTATTGGGCTGAGCTGGCTCATAATAAAGTTGTACTGGTTCTCCTTAATCAAATTGTCAAGTCAAACTTTTCACTGATCTTTCTGTCCACTGTTGTATATGAAGCTGTATTTGAGTTGCCGCTGTTCATCTACATACTCAAAACATGAATCATTTTAAAGAGTATCTTGAGTGTGTAGAGTGTGACTGTTCTATGATAGCTTTATGACTCTGTTAACCTTAAAAACAAACAAACAGCTAAACTGAGTTGGCTCTTCCATGTTACAATCACAAATTTAAAAACCAGTATTTAAAAGTGAAAAGTATTAAAAGATATTACAAACAAATTTCTGTTTTGTAGTTATTTTTAATACTTGGAAGTGCTCAAGTGAAATGGTTTTGTTTTTAAAAATATAATGAATGGATCTAAAAATAGCTTGATATACATCAGTAACTATTTGTCTCTCTGCACTGATGAAGGTGGTATAGAGTTTAGGTTGACAAATAAAGTTAGCAACTTCCACAGAGCTCAGTTGACACTCCACATGCAGTGGCAAACTCTGAATATGGTGAGATTTTAGTATGAGTGATCAACGTGTGCATACACAATCCAACCAGATATTGGGTACATGGAGCATGTGTACAATGAGAGCCACATGGTTGGGAGGGGGCATGTGTTGGAATGAACCCTTTTTTTGCATCTTTATAGAGAGAGACTGAAAAGTATCCCTTGATCTGACATATATTCTGAAGATAAGGCTAAGAACATTTATTTCATGACCACACACTTTGGTACTATTGATTTTGAGCCAATTCACACCAATGAGACGGCAGTTTATTGCCACTTCCAGTTTTAGAATGGCTCTGCAAATCCTCAGCGTGAACTAGACAACACAACCAAAAGCCACTTCCTCTACCACAGAGATATGTTCCATACCTCCTGCCTTCACACAGGTAGTTGATAGCTGGTTGCTGGTAGTGGGTGGCATTTACAACCTATTGGAAAGAATAAAGTTGAGGGATGGGGAGAGGTCTGTAGTTCAGTCATAGAGCACATGTCTTGTATGCACAAGGTCCCAGGTTCAGACTAGATTACTAGCTAAATGAATAAATAGTCTGATCTGGTACAAGACAGCTTTGTGTGTGCTGCTTTGATCTAACATGATAGGGACTGCAAACTTTCAGCTACAGGGTTCTTCCTTAATAAAGAACATTATTCATTTCTTTGAGGTTCTTCTTCAAAACAGACTTCAAGTGTTCCACATAAAACTGGATGAGATTTATTCAGAGGACCATCTCGGAAGATGAATGAAACATTAGCATTTCCTTAAAATATACATTTAAAAAAAAACAAAACAACTCTAGACCAACATCAGCAATTGAAAACTGAGTTTTTTTCAGGCCCATTTAAAAGTGACTAAAGGCAGCCAAATGTATGCCATATAAGAGCAAGTTGCACAGTGACTGGGCCACCACTGAAAAGGCCCTGTCTTGCGACTGTTATGACCAGCCTTAATCGTAGACCTTCAAGCAGGGCCTCTGTAACCAAGTGGGATTTTTGTATGGGTTCAGGCAGTCAGGTCTCAAACCTTTGGGCCCAGAAATGCATTGGTAACCAGTACGACTGATATATTTGACCCCACCAGTAGCTTAGGCAGCTGTTTTCTGCACCAACTGGAGTTTTGAACCATCTTCAATGGTAGCTGCACTTAGATTACATTGCAGTAATCTAGCTAAGGTTGCCATATTTCCAAAATAGTTTTTTGGGGGATTGTTGTACAATTTAAAAACAAAAACCACCACCCCCTGCCATACATCCGGGTTTTCTGGACATTTTGCCGATTTAGCTAAAATCCCCCTGGACACCTTTTTGATGTCCAATTCCCGGACGTGTCTGGGAAAACCCAGACACATGGCAACCCTAAAGACAACCTATAACTAGAGAATGAGTAACTCTGACGAGATCTGCTTTATCTACAAAGGGGTGCAAATCAGCTAAAGAAAACTGGGAGGGGGTGGAATCCAGGACTGGTCATTTCCAGGTCTAGCCACTACTTTCAATTCGCCCACAATGGGCCTGAGTTACTCCAGCATATTGTGGAGAAATTTAAATTGCGGCTCCTAGCTGCCCAGTGCTCACCAGAGCACACTGCTGCTGCTTGCCTTTGCCACCACCATCTAATAAACATGCCAAGGCACACAGAAATGGGAAGGAAATTGCCAAAGGCCATCTTCAAATCTCTGGTTGCCTCCAGCACATTATTTTAATTATTATGTATTAATGTATATACCACTTGATACCAACAGGTGGCACAAAAACCAGACACAAAGATTGAAATGTAAAGAGGACCTTTTGGACTGAAAACCTGTGAGCTTTTGGACTGAACTTTTCAATCCGTCTGAACACAGGGATTTACATCTGAGTACATGTGCTTAGCATTGCACTGTTGTCCAAGTAAAAATTTGTCTTTGTCTTCAAGGAACTCCCATCTGAAAGCCTGTGGATGTCTAAAGGGCTCGTTTTTAAATTATTGTGCTGTTTTTAAAAATTGAGCTTTTTAGCCTGTCCTGGGATTACTTGTGGTGAAGGACAGCCTGAAAATATTTTATTTTATTTTATTCCTTTTTCAAGAAACAATATAATCATAAGCACAACATTATCAAAACAATTGGTTCCCCACCTTCTACCCCTCCCCCAGAAAAGAAAACTAATGTAGCAGATTTCCCATAAATCTGTATGTGTGGGTGCCAGACATCAGATCATCTGAATACTTTATAACGGGGGGGGGGGGGGGGGGCATGTTTTAGCAGAATTGTCCATATCAGTTGCATCAATTCAGGGTGTGTATTCTCTTTGTTTCACAGATAAAGCCATCGTCCATACTTCTGTTTCCACTGTGTCATATGTAGATGACCAAGTCTTTTCCATTTTTATTTATTTTTTGGTGTGAGAAATTGTGCTGCTACAGGAAGAAAAGTGATAAGTTCCTTGTGCAATAATTTAAGCTGAATATCTTTTTTAAATGTTAATAAACCTAGGCATGGGTTGCATTGTACATCCTGATTCGTAATTTTGCTTATTTCTGTAAATACCCTTTTGCAAAATGCACTAATTCACATGTCCACCACATATGGAAAATCGTGTCCATTACCTTGCACTCTCTCCAGTATGCTGCAAAAATTACAGTTTGAGACCTTCTCCATAAAAAAAGCGAAACAGGAGAAACTGGTAGCTAGGAATGGAGGAAAATTGCCTCATGCTGCTAAGTCAGCTCAGTATTATCTGCTCTGACCCAGAGCGGCGCTCCAGGATTTCAAACAGGATTCTCCTCCAGCCCAGCTGGAGATGTTGGGGACTGAACCTGGGACTTTCTGTGTGCAAACCTAATGCTCTGTCTCTGAGCTACAGCCCTTCCCCAAGGTAGAATAATACAAAAAAAGCTAGATTGGCGCTGTGGGTTAAAGCACAGAGCCTAGGACTTGCCGATCAGAAGGTTGGCGGTTCAAATCCCCGTGATGGGGTGAGCTCCCATTGCTCGGTCCCAGCTCCTGCCAACCTAGCAGTTTGAAAGCACGTCAAGTTGCAAGTAGATAAATAGGTACCGCTCCGGCGGGAAGGTAAATGGCGTTTCCGTGCACTGCTCTGGTTTGCCAGAAGCGGCTTAGTCATGCTGGCCACATGACCCGGAAGCTGTACACTGGCTCCCTCGGCCAATAAAGCGAGATGAGCACCGCAACCCCAGAGTTGGTCACAACTGGACCTAATGGTCAGGGGTCCCTTTACCTTTTTATTTAATTTATGGCAACATGATTTTCATGTATTGTGCATATTAATGGTTATTAGGCCCAGATTTCCAAACTAGTTACATTTAAATCCTTTGTTTCTACTGAGAGCCTAAAACTTAATTTTAACCAACCGAAACAATTGTGAACCCCCATCTCTGTCTTAGGACTATAATACCACAAACTTCTATAACAATACGCTCAGGACTGCTGCCTTTTCCTGTTCAGCAAGTTTGCCTTTCAACTGCACTTTTACGTCCTGCAAAAGCAAACAATTGGTTTGCTTTTGTTTTATTACCTACTTTGGATTCTCATTTTACATTTTTCTGTCATGAAGTATACAAATTTAAGAAGTAATAATAACTAACCATAAACAGCCCCACGACATTCCTAAGTATATAAAGCTCCAGAAGTGTGCACAAGGGGGCAGGCAAGTCTAAAATGTACTCTCTGGTTGCAATCCTTTTACACCCTTACCTGAGTAGGCATGCCTAGGATTGCACTGCTACTGTGACTTAAGGTGCTTCTACACTTTCTTATCAGAGCCAGCCAAGGAGTCGGCGATTCTTCAGCTGTCTCTCTCATCTGCAGTTCATGGTCTGCAGCAGGGAACTCAATGAGCATTGGCCCTAGAAATCAGTAGCTGCCTGAGCGTCCAGTGAAGTGGAGCAGCTTGTGCCTCAGCTGGTGTGATGTGATGAAAAGGCAGCTGATTGGC